AGGAGTCTGCTTCCTAGTAAATGTATTCCCAGCATCAAGAGAAGTGTATATCGTAGTCGTATTTGTAACCAAGATTACTTGACCAGGTACATGACCCACATAGAAAGATTTGATATTATCTGGAACTGGAACCTTGTTTAAGTTAATACCTCCATCATTCGAAGAATATGCACTCCCGTTTCTTGTGATTAAAATCATGTTTTCAGCCCCAAATCCTTCACCCTCTTTCAAAAAGGCAAAATCTTTGATCTGATCTTCTAACCTAGTGAATGACGACTTAATCCGGAGAAGCGTATCATTACTATCGCCGCTACCCAACCTAGAGCACACGAACCTGTGCTGAAATAAATGGTTTTTACCCAGACATTTGTTTCTGAACCGCTTTTGCTTGGCCCACAAAAATAGTGCTGAACTACCAGATTCCTTACACTCAGCAGCAATTTTTGGCATATCTGGAACACATTCATTTTTGTCATTTTTGGAAGACTTAAAATTCGGAGAGCATTCATAATCATTTGTAGTACCTTTACAAGGAGCAGTATCATAAACACTGACAATACTTGAAAAGCAGCGCGCATCTTGTGGTCGTCTTGAAATAACAAAATATTCTCCATTGAGGCAATTCGGTTCGCTTCTACCTGGGTAGATTTGCTCAATTTCATCATTAGCACCATTTGTATCCAAAAAGAAGTGAGTTGTAGAAGGTGGCTTCTGGAAGGCTTCTGGAAGGCTTCTGGAATGGGTATTCGCACTTTGGCCCGTTCTCGCTAATTCCTAGCCCCACCACTCGCCCTATCGCGCTAGCCACTACCACTACCGCGCTAGCCACTACCACTACCGCGCTAGCCACTACCACTACCGCGCTAGCCACTACCACTACTTGCAAAGCGCAGCCCACCTACTATAACCGCCAGCCTACTATGGATGCCATCTCCGACAGAGTATTCACAGAGTCGGTAGATTCGTCCAACGACGATCCGTCGCTTCTCACCGTCATTCTTGATCTCTCGCCTGCCAGTTGGTACAACATCAAAGACCAGATCTCCATCAACGAGATCACCAAGTCGCTTCTCGTGTTCATGAATGCTCACCTTTCGTTGAACAATTCCAACCAGGTGGCGTTCATAGCCAGCGGTCCTCAGGGCTCCAAGTTCTTGTATCCCAATCCAGGCAAGGTGTACGACGAAATCCGAACCAGAGAGGAAGACGTCGACAGAGAGCCATCGCCCGGTTTGGTGTCCAAAGAAATGTACAGACAGTTCAGGGTGGTGGACGAGGCTGTATTGGAAGAGTTGAATCAGTGCTTGAAGGAGGTGCTGGCCACAGACACTCACAAATCGGCGCTCTCAGGCGCCCTCAGCATGGCGTTGACCTACACCAACCGTATGCTGACACTTGACCAATCCATTTCCACCACAACAGCATCTGCCATCAACTCCACCACCAACATGAAGGCGTCCAGCAACGCTGCAGGCGGCAGTGGCGCTGCCGCCAGCGGAACTGCCGCCAACAGCGTGTCGTTGATGAAAGCCCGGATCTTGATCGTTTCCGCCAACGACGAGGACGACATCAAGTACATTCCCATTATGAACTCGATCTTCACGGCCCAGAAAATGAAGTTGTCTATCGATGTGGCCAAATTGGGCACCAAGAACTCGTCGTACCTCCAGCAAGCTGCCGACGCCACCGATGGCATCTATCTCCACATCGACGACCCAAAGGCCATTATTCAGGTGCTCTCGACGGCGTTCTTCGTGGAGCCATCCATCCGTCCGTACATCATCCTTCCCACCAACTCCAACGTCAACTACCGCGCCAGTTGCTTCATCACTGGCAAATCGGTGGACTTGGGGTACGTTTGTTCGGTGTGTCTTTGCATTATGAGTGTCATTCCTGATACAGGCAAGTGCCCGGCGTGTGGGTGTGTGTTTGACGACCGGGTGTTGGCGCAGTTGAAGCGAGGACCAGTGGTGATGTCGAGGAAGAAGCGGAAGGTCGAAGGGACGCCTGCTGTGAATCCCTAGATTAAACTTCTAATTGACTAATTGAGAAGGATTTCACCGGGTGAATGTCATTTTAATATTACTCCTGGTAATAAAATTGAACCAGCTAATGGGTTGAGAATATCTCCCAGTATTCCTTTGAGTGGTCCATTCTGGTTTGGAAAAATTAATGTCCACCAAAAGAATCAATCCAATGATACCATAGGAAAAGTCAGTCAGTCTTCAAGCCAAACTCTTTCAGAAAATTCTGACAATAGGGCAAGATATTGATAATGAAGAACAATTGTTCTTCAATGCTTAAGAATTTAATTTCCAGTTACTGCAGTTGAGTATCCTTGAGCAATTCAAGTATTTGGGGCAACTGATAAACCGCCACTGAGAGAAGAAGAAGCAGTATTCATTTTTAGAAATGCCCCTCAACTTCGAGGATAGATTTTGGTTTATTGGATCTTAAGACAGAAGTCTTCGGGTTTTACAAGTCAATAGTCACTTTTCCTATAACAAACTCCGTCTTCGAATGGTCCAGCCTGCTGGTTAAGCGAAGCAGTCTACATTTATAATCAGAATTTTTGCAGAAATAGGCATATTTTACATCAATTGACGCCACTCCAATTTGGGCTTAAAGCATCAATCATGTTTCAACTGACAGGACATAATATTAGATTCATGATTGGAAGTCGTGATAGCATGTATTAATAGATATTCTGGAATAATATTTACAGACCATCTGATATAGTACCACGGGAATGTAGCATGCTCTCCAGAATTTATCCCATAATTCAGATTTTAATTAAGATACATGGTTTGCTGACCAACCAATGGTTTTCTTTGATCTTGGATTTACGAAAAGGACCCCCAATTGTACTTTTTGACTTTCTTTGTGTGGATAATCGGGTAAGCTATACTTATGTATCTGTAATTTTCTGTCCAGTAAAGTCTTCCACCTCCAGGGTATCTTACGGACTCTAGTTGATTGGCCATTGGGTCTTCTGCTAATGCGGCGAACCTGAGTGACCATTTAAACACCTGCACTCCGATCAGGCTACAACCTACCATCGGTTGAATCTTATCGGTTAAAATTATCACTGATCCTTCTCCCTTCACTTCAGGCTCTGATTAATGACTTCAAAGTGGCATGATATGCTCCTCTACACATCACTTCATTCCCCGGTTAACGACCTCAAAGTGGAACGTCTTGGGGTATCCGTGCTTGTCGATCATGTGTAAGCGTCTCTTCTTTGGAGAAGAGCATACTTTCGTACACCCATCTTGGGAATACAAGAAGCACTTGAATATCTTCTCTCCTCGCTCCTGCTTGATCTTAAGGAACGGATTGTGGTTCTCATCAATATGGAGGTTGAGGAATGCCTTGGAAGGAAACGACTTGTTGCATTCATGACATGTGAAGTTGTGGTTGTAGACATGTAACTCGAATGAGGCATAGTCGGTGAAATGTGCGAGACAGTCGGGACACTGAATTGGTGCTCCAGCAATAGGAGGAATGGTGGGCCCAGTGGGCTCTAACGATTGTGGCTCGGAGTCATCTCTCAGTCTCTTCATGTGCCAACGATGTGATGAAGTAGGTGAATTTGTTAATGGACCACCTAGAATGAAGTCTGAATGCAATCACTTAAGTCGGGGTCTCTCGGTAGAAGTCGAGGATGTGGTCGTTGATCCAGTGATGCAACTTGGTTATGTCATTCACTAGGAGTGGTCTTCGCACTCATCTCAGATTTTATGCGATCCGGTAGCTTCCCAGACTCGAAAGAGTCAATCCAGGTGATGGAAAGTTTTGCCGTCTGTTACCTTTCTCAGAACAATTTGCTAGCAGTGAATCCCACTAGAATACATAGAATCTCATCTGAAGTCTCCTACTGATGTCTTTTTCCTCTACTAGCCGATTCTAAACCTGATATACCCTCTACTGGTTGCACTGTCCTATGTCTATTAACTACCTACTCGCCGATGTCTTCGTACCAGTCCTGTGGTCTCTCTGCGATAAACTTTCTCATCAACTCCTTGCACTCTTCGTTGTTCAAGTTGACCACCTCGATGCCCTGAGATCTCAACAACTCTTCGGCACCCTGGAAAGTCTCGTTCTCTCCGAGCACCACTCTCTTGACACCGTACATGATACAGGCACCGGAGCACATATTGCAAGGAGACAAAGTGGTGTACATGGTGCAGTTCTTGTAGGCCTTTCCTGGCAATCTGCCTGCGTTCTCCAAGGTGTCCATTTCACCGTGCAAAATGGCCGAGTTCTTCTGGAACCGCTGGTTGTGGCCACGGCCCAAGATAGTGCCATCCTCGCTGATCAAGGCTCCTCCGATAGGCACTCCACCTTCTTGATATCCTGGGGTTAGTACTGGCTCACGCGCCTGGCCACTCTGCTCCAGCATTAATGGCAGACTTTTCGCTTTTCAGAAGTACTGGCACCGTGGATCTAGACACTATGACCTCCATGGTCTCCACGTACCTTTTCTGGCCTCTTCTAAGGCGATTTCCAATCCTTTTTTATCGTCAAACATGTTGGTGGTGGTAAATTCAGCGCAACGGCGATATTTATATGATGAGCCGTGGGGGCGCGATGTGGGGACGAAATGTTGCAAAGATCTGGCAGCAAATGCAAATTTCTGCCAGAACAGTCGGGCAAATAGCTAAAGAAAACCATCCAGAGGGAACCATAAACGAGCACTAGACCACCAAAGAGTAGCTCAGCACGGCTTGTTGGCCCTGGTGGAGCTACTGCTCGCTTTGTCTTGTCCTGGTTGAGCTTTTCTGGTTCTCCAAAAGGCCCACAACGGCTAGGAGAGTCTGGCCCTGCGGTATGGTTCTTGCACTTGACTGGCTGGATTGGTGATTGGCGCTTGCTGGTCGTCTGGCGATAGCGGCGGCTACACAACACCCGAACATCTGGCCATCTGGAGGCAGAGCTCGTGGCGCTGTTGAGGCCCGCACAAATTGGCCAATTTGACAGAGTCACCACAAGAGTCACGGGCGGTTCGGAACAACTGGAGGCTGTAATAGGCACCCGCTGTGAAGAACCAGAGTTGGGACATCAGGCGATTATACGAACACGACCTGGTGCCACCAGAGTGGTTAGGGTTTCGGACATCTCCTAACAAAGGACTACAACCGTTGAGGCGTACCAGAATGTGGGGAATCGTACACAAAGGCATGTCGGGAAAGTGAAAAGCTTGTGACAATATGGCCAAGTGCTAGTGATCCAGTCAAGTGTGGCTGTTTCGCTAGAATCAGAGACTCCATAGCGAGAGGCACCATTACGATTGTTCCTACAAATTCTCGCGGTTTTGCTAGTTGACTACATTATGCAAACATCTCTTCATTAATTAATTACTGAAATTTGGGGTTTATCAGTATTGATCCATATTGTCACAGAGCTTCGTGCTGAAGTTGAATACAAATATCCACAACTGTGTGGTTTGAATTCTCTCAATTATCCTTATCTTCTTACTTTCTCTTCTTCCTGATCACTTGTACACATTGATACACCCGTTTCGGTCCACAGACACCGCCATCTCGAATGGCCTGGTGAGAATTCCCAAGTCGGTGACCATGTCCTGGTTGGTCCGCACAGCATCTATCTGGTTGCTGGAGACCTCCTCCAACCCATAGGCTTCCTTCTTGTAACCTGACTTGACGGGCTCCTTCTTTTTCTCAAACATCTCATTGACCAACGTCAACGTCTGTCGCTTGAAGGTATTGCTTATGAATTTGGTCTCGTACTCACAGTTGACGGAAACTGAATCTGCAATGCTGGTGAGGTTCCAGAGGATCAAGCGCTGATTCCACGTCGAGCTCAAGAAGTACCCATGACTTTGGCTCGCCATGTACTTGAACGCAGTGAAGCTCTTATTGTCTGGAGTATTTTCGTTTTCGAAAGGATCATTAGTGGCAAATTCGATCTCGAGCGATTCGAGAATACTGTCAATGGTGTAATCTTGAGTGTCATTACTGATTTCGATCAACGAATAATTCTTGACGTATGGCGTTTCTACCTGTGAGCTGAAAACTTGCTTGCACTCAAATGCTGGCACCTCCCATACTGTAATGTCCGATTCGCCACTACCGCCAATCATGGCAAAATAGCTGGCCTCCGACTGGGTACCAAGTTGGTAGCTCTTAGGAAGCGCAATCAATTTCCTGATTGCAAAAGGGGTGTTTCGGAATGTATCATCTGGCTGTTTCAATTGGACCTTCCAGCTCTTCACCAAGAGGTGGAACCTGATATCCCACAAACTGAGCACACCTTTGCTTGTCCCCACCAATAGCCACATATTTTTCTCTTGAAACATGAAGGTGGTAGTCAGACCATGAATCAAAGGATTCTGCACTTCAAAAGATTTTTCCAGTCTGATGATATCATATCCAACTATTTTCGAACACGAGGTGATTCCAACCATCAATGATTGCTTATCGTTAACCAAGAAATCGCTTTTGAGAATGTATCCATCGGTGTCAACATCTAACTCAAACTTTCGAATTATCGTCAACTTGGAGAATTTAGTAATCTTCTTGGCCTTATTTCGAATCACATCAACTCTGTATAAACGGGTAATTCCATCAACAGTGGTCACTGAGAACACAAATCGATTAGGAAGAAATCTGATGCTAGTGATTGAAGATTTCAAGTCAACAGTCAAGCTTGGATTCAACACAGTAATTATCTTCTCAAGCTTGGCAGTGTTCCATACTTTCAAAAGACCACTGTCGGACCCGGAAATGAAGAATTCTGAGGTGGGGCATACCTCAACACAGTTTACTCCGTCTATTTCTCCGCCAGCTTGAGTACTCTTGACTTGAGTTACCAATATTCCTTTTGGTGTCCAATGCTCAGCTGATTCTTTCGAGAGCTTTGATTTTACCTCTGATCCCACTAAATTGCCAAATTCAGAGAAGTTGTTCAAAGAGGGCTCAAACTCAAGATTGTTCAAATAATTCAAAATGAAGGGGTTATATCCAGTATAACTATGTTTAAGATTGACTGTGATAATTTTGGAGCTGTTCACACTGAAAACCTTATGTGAATTGGAGTCATGTGTTCCATTGTGATGCCCAATATGGCTTGAGTTTCCATTACTGTCGTGGCTCATCTCTAGCTCACCAAATACATTTGCTTCCACAGTTTGAATTGATGCTTTAACTCGAGCAAAGTTGGGTAAAATTAGTAAATTTGACATCCCTTTTCCAGAATCAAAATCTCTTAAGGAAATCGAATCATCGGGATTCATCAGCAGCTCCACGTTTGATTCTGTTGTTCTAGATCCTGCTGACAAAGACTCTGATTTATAAGACACATCAAAAAATACGTTCCTAGGAACTAGTTGAGTATTTGATAACGAACTGAATCCACTGAGGTCGGTAGAATTCGATTTTCCGTGTCCATTTCTGCATACATGATAAATATAATCACGTAAGACAAATACTTTCCAGAGGTCCCGATCTTCTAAGCCCACAGATTTCAACTTTATCAACCATTGCTTGTCTTCAGGAGACAAGGGAACTGAAGATTTGTTACCATTGGAAAGAGGAAATACCACTTCACTATTTAGTCTGGGCAAATAGACAGAATTTCCCATATTCTTGGTGAATGATACAACCGATTTCTTTGCGGAGTTCAATTGAGATAACGTGGAGAAGTTCTTTTGTTGCCAGAATAATGATTTTGGAGTTGCATTCAAAGACCAGGTGGTTGCCAAATCATACACCTGTCTTGACAAAGGCTTTGTTATACATGGGTATAAAGAATCCCAGGTGAAGGTAGACAAATCGTAGCTCAAAAAGCCTTTAATCAAAGGATACAAAAAGCAATAACGATCTGCAGCACTCAAATTATCACTTATGGAAATTATTAGATTCATAACAGCCTGCCTGATCCACTCATTGGGATGTAATAAAAGGTTAATGGAGTTCACCAATAACTCCTTATAGATTTCCAAAGCATTAAACTCGGTCTTGGGATTAATTAAACGATTCAGAACAAACTCATTAAAGATCTCGAGCACTTTAAGAACAACGAACTGTTCCAGATCCCTCAATGTTTGGATCAACAATGGCAATAAATATTGCTCAAACGACAATACCCCCACGTACTGACCGATCTTTAGTACCGAGGACAAGAAGACCAATCTTAAGTGGAAGTTGGGGTCGTTGAGATAGGTGATTAAATGGGGCAATATGATGTCATTAGTCTTGTCTACCCCAAAAAACTGACACAAGGGAAGGACATTATTGAGGAGACTAATCTTAACCACGGGGTTGGAATCTGTGAGTAAAGTAAATGTAAGATTTTCAAAATCTGCATCTAGTTGGGACTTAGGTATTGTGAATCCTGACGAAGGTAGGTTTGCTGAGTCTTGATTTATCAAGAATTGTTGGTTTCCTTCATTTGTGCTTGCACCAAGATGGTTCTCGGACTTGAAAGTCTTCGACATCATCCAGAATTTTTTTGATACACTAGCTAGATATGGTAAGCAGCTGGCTAAAGTAACTTTTATGGTATCCTTCTCTTTTAATGGATAGTTCAGAGCCATCAATGATGATAACTTTGGGAGTAGGTATTCAGGGAACATCAATACGTTGATAGGTGTGATGTAAGTGCAGGATAGTAACAAGGTGGTAATGCTTGTTAAAGCAGTACATACAACCCTTGATGATAATGTGGATGTATTCTGATTGTTGGAAGCCTGATATGAGTCCTCAATAAACTCGTTGAGTAAGGAACTAAGATAAGGAATGGAACGGTCGAGCTTGCATTCATCATTAATCCGTTCAGAGAAAGCCACAATTAATTCACAAGCTTTTATCTTTGATGAGACCTGCTTGGTGCTTCTCATCAACGAGAAGATGACACCCAAAATTATGAGAGATGCTTGCCCCAGTTTCTCGGAGAAATTAAAAGGTTTGATGTGATAATTGTTAGGCATTCCCGGTAAATTAAGCTTGATTGGGACGAATGCAGAATCGTTATCCTGTTCCTCTCTTTCGTATTCGAAGCCAAGAGCTTCGGCGATTTTATCAAAGCTCCGGTAAATCTTGTCTATTTTCAAATCATTGATTGAGATGCTCGAGTTTCCCAGTGGAATTTCATACAACGAGTTGTCGTTCAAGTCCGACATGAACTGGTACAAGAAGTCGTAAAAGAACGGTGGAAAGCACTTTTGGTGGAGTGAATGCAATAAGTCTTCAGCCGACGGCCTTTTGTTGGGGTTGCGTTGGATCAACACCTCTATCAAGCTCCTGATTTCGCTGTCGTGAATTGTGCTTAAGTCGGGCTTGTATTCACTCTTAACGAATTTGAAGAGTTGGGACAACGTGAAGGTTGGTTCGCCATCCAAGTATAGTTCTGCAATCACACACCCCAAGCTGAAAAGGTCCATTTGGTCCGTCAAACCGTCCTTTCCGGCGTATTGTCCGTCGTCATTAATTGTCTGGCCCCTTGACTCTTTTGACGAGTTGTAGAAGCGTTCTGGGGCCAAGTAACACACTCTTCTATCGGAGGAGTCAAAGTAGAACGAGAACTGGGAGGGGTTATCCTCAGGCAAGTATACGGGTTTAGTGTAGCTGGCGAAATCACTCAACATGAGCCAGTTCCATGACGTGACGACGAAATTCTCCAACTTGAGATCTCCATGGTGGATGCCTAGACGGTGGCAGTCTTCGATGATTTTGAGCATCTGGTACACCATGAACTTCTTCTCGATGGGCTCGAGAAAGGGACGGATGGAAAGCCTGTCATAAAGGTTTGTCTTGAGCATCTGTCTGATTAAGTAGCCAGCACGGTCTGTTTCGATGAGCTTGTGCCAGGGCAAGACGTGGTTGAACTGGGCCAAGAGTGACGCCTGCTTGGTGAGAAGCTCGATGACCTGGTCGAGCTGGAGCCCGCCAGGGGTAGACGACGGCTTGATGAGGATCTTGATGATCACGAGGTTGCCATTGGAGTTGTCGATGGCACGGATAGTTTTGAGGAACCGGGGATTGTTGAGGAGATCGATGTACTGGAACGACTGGAGGATATCGACATAGGAGCTGATTGCCACGGTTGGGGCCGAGGGAGCTAGAAGCGACAATCGAGCGCCCATTGAAGGTGGTGGAAGTGGGAGTGGTGAGTAGAATAGTCAATAAGCGCTGGTAATTATGCACTGGTTAATCGCAATTGAACAGAAAAAACTGGCAATTGATGCTGAAATAGGCCGGATATACCTAGTGTGTTCCTGGTGTGATTATCCAGGGGCCCTGGTGTGGTGTGTGGTGGAATCTACTGGTGTTGTAGAATAGAAGTGATTTGGGAGTTGATAATACTATGCATTGTGTGCAGGAGATAAGCCGCGCAGCGGTTTACTAGTCAGAAAGGTAGCCAAATCACCTGTGAAGTCAAGACCATTATGGACGACTTGGAGCGTGGATATGGCCAGGTACAGGCACTTCCGGTATCGGAGGAAGGGTCGCCTGTTCAGGAGTATTTGCGAGAGGTAAGACGCCAGGCGGAGCAGGAGCAGTCGGTGTTCTACAGAGCGAAGCGATCAAGAGAGGACGACGACGAGGAGGAGGACGGGCCAGAGCGTGGCGCGGGCGACCAGGAAGAGATAGAAGGTGAACGGGAAGACGAGAAAGAAGCACAGAATTATGCAAACAATGAGCAGTACGACAACGACATTCAAGAGCAATACGAGACTCACCAGCTTGAGTCATCTCCAGACTCAGTAGCGTCGCAATGGGCCCACAACGTCGTCCATACCTTCACCAGCCTCAAGCTGGTGATCGTGCCCGACCGCCAGACGACTCCTCCATCGCCCTACGTCCCCGAAACAGCCAACCAGTGGCGCAAGTACGTGCTCGATACCAGTCCTCCCCAATTGGCGTACTTCTACACCGCCATTGACCGTCCCACCGTGTTCAAGTTGGTGGTGTACTTCACCAAGTGGCTCAGTCTTTCTGCCAACGCCAACTTGTCACAGTGGGTCTGGATGGTGCTCCTCCGCATCGACAGCTCCATGGACGCCAGCGAGTTGGCGGTGATCCGAGACTTGGGCAAGAAGGCTGGCAAGCTCTGTTCCCGTGCCAATACCGAGAATACTGACCCAGTGGCTCGTGGAACCCTTGATATGATTGTGGTGGTAGTGGCCCACTACTATGGGCAGAGAGACTTGTTGGGTACGGGGTTGATAGTGTAGGCCACGGGAAGGACTACAAGACTAGTTTCACTGCTCCAGCAGGCACCTGTCAAAACTACTTTGACTACTCCTCGGGCTCCCGTCAGCACTAATTCCACTGCTCCAGTAGTAGAGGCACTAGTCACGTTAAGACCACTTCATGTACAGGTTTACTGCCGCTCTGGAAATATCCTCCCCATTTTAGCACTACCTTCACTCACTATAGGCTACAAGACGCTGTCACTTAGACAACTTCCACTACTTGCACTACTTCCACCGCTTTCGCCACTTTCACTACTAGCATTGTTGCATGGAATGATAGAATGATTGACTATTAAGGGTCACGGTTTGAGGAACCGATTTCACTTCCTCAACTCCCACCACCACCCTCCTCACTACTCCCACTAAATCCTCACTAATTTATTTGTGGCTGGCGGCGCACCTCGCGCGATCTACCCCAGCGCATTTTTCAACGTCGAAAACGAGAACGACCACCACCCACAACTACACCAACAATGGCCCCAAAGATCAGAGAGGACTTGGTTGTCCCGTAAGTACTACTTCAGCCCTGAGCCCTGCCGCCTGATTCTCCAGGTGCTCGTCACCAATTGTCACTGGTACTTCACGAAGTATAGTCGTCGACTCCGAGATCCCTGAACCTCGATGGTGGACATCTGTGGAGAAAGACCCTCCGTGGTGGTGCTTGAGCCCCATTCCGTACTAACCCCAGATATAAGCATGTTGCTGCTAAAAAGAGATCCGAAGCTTCGGGTATGATCGCCCAATCGTTGCCCATGGCCGCCATGTTCATGAGAAACAAGTTATTGTCGTGGTCCGCCTTCTTCTTGGCCGTCCAATCGTACTTGAACGAACCTATCAACGCCCCCTCTGACGACTCTGTCCAGCAGCCTCCACTTTTGAGAATCGTGTTTGCCGTTATCTCCATGCTTACCTGTTACATGGACATCGTGTTTCCAAACTCTTCTCCACAGGCCAAACGTTCATTTCTCCAAAATGCAGCTGAAACTGCCACTGCTGCTGCCGCCACCGCTACCAGTTAGTTTATTTCTACGTAATTATTAATAATACATTATAAGTGAACAAGCGTTGTGAGACGAAACTCACCAGGGCCCTAGCTGGAGTTGAAGCCCTTCTAGGTCTATTGGTACATTTTTCTGGCCCTTCCCACGAACCAAAGCTCCAAAACAATTAGAGCCGGAGTTACCAGGGTTCTTTGGACGGATTTCACTTGGTGGAAATTTCTCGTTCAAGTGCTGGGACTGGGTTTCTGCACTCCGGGTTTCTGATGAACCTATACTGCTGACCTGTCCCGCTAGGGATCTCCATTGCTTTGGTTTTCTAGGCTAGCTTCAAGAAAATGGCTGAGATTATAAGAGTGTAACATCTAAATTCTTTGACCTTTGGTTCTTGTATGGCAAGCACACCATTGATGTGGCGTACTACTCTTTAGTTGGCGTGTCCCACTTGAAAATCACACTCTGAGTGCCCTTGTAAGAAACACATATATGCTTGGAGCTACTGTCCCATTTCAAGTCACAAATGCCAGTATTGCCATCCTTTGCGTCCTTGTTCTCCTGGACTTCAAAGTGATAAATCCCTAGACACCGCAAGAGGTCCTTAGGTCCCGAAAGCGAAAGGTCCCACACGGTGACTCTTCCAAGATCATCGCCTACTGCCAACAATTTGAGGTCGGGTGAGAGAGCAGTGGTGAACACTAACAAGTCGCGGCGGTGGGAAACAGGACTGTCTTCATCGACTCTGAAGTTGGCCTCGTTCTTGAACAAATCAACACTCTTCAAGTTGTTACCGTTGCTTGCGTTCCAGATGTTCAACACCCCGTCCATGGAAACCGTGAGCAAGATGCTGTCGTCGTGGTGCTTGGACAACCAGTGCAAGTCGATCAACGGCGAGGTATGGTTCTTGTAAAGGTCGGACTTTTTGTTCAAATCTAAGCATTCTTGCGAGGAGCCCCGGCTCCACACCTTGATGGCGTAGTTGTAGTCGGAGCACGAGGCCAAGAGCTTGGACTGGGGGTTGAACTTGAGGATGGAGATGCTGTTTTCATGGCCGTTGAGGTAACCCATGGTGTGGACGTCTGGAGAGCCGCCAAACGGCTGGTGAGTGATGGAGTAGATCTTGATCGAGAACTTGGTTGTGGACACCGCAAACTTGTTTTCGTCCAACCAGCAGGCGTCGATGACTAACGAGGAGTCTGCCGCCTCGGGGGGCCTGATCTGCTTGATGAGGCTGAGAGTGGTGCCGTCCCAGAGGCTGACCTGATTGTTGCAGTCGAGCGACAATAACAACTGGCCGTTGTGGTTCCAGATCAAGCTGGAGATGAGCGAGGGTGGGGGCAGCTGGATGGCGTCCTCGGGCGAGATGTCGCCACTAAACGTGTTGGCGATGTTCTTGAGCTTGCCGTCAGGCGACCAAGCGCGGAGCTCGCCGTTGATGCCGGCAGTGATGATGAGATTGCCCTGGGGGGACCACGACACCACGTTTATTTCGTTGCGGTCGTTCAACACCTGGGGGTGGCTCAACGTCACCGACTCCGCCACACGTCCGTCCTTGATGGCGTTGATCACTGCCACCGAGTCCTGTTTGCCGTAGGCAAACACGGGGGTGGTGGGGTGCCAATCTGCGACCAAGCTCTCGTCAAACCTGATTTCTGGCACGATTTCGGCCGTGTGGAAGGCCACAGGCTCGTGCACGTCTTCAGCAGCTTCCTGGGCGTCTTCGGCAGCGTCTGCCATCTCCACGTCGCCGTTGGCCACTGCCGACTTGAGAGTCAACGGTGCTGGCGAGTCCGTCTCTTCACTAACATTAGCGACGTCTTCGCTGATCAACACCTTCCAGAGCGAGAAGTTCAGCTCGCTGCTGCCATTGCCGTGAGTCTCTGCTTCCTCCTGTGCCACCGAGTAGAGGATACCTTTCTGGACCAACTCCACCAAGCACCCAGGACGGAACTTGTCGATGATGTGCTGGTTGGCGGCACTTTCGTAGTCCAGACAACTGGAGTGCTTGTCGAGCGCGTAAGCTGCCAAGTCATAGCCAGACTCCTGGAGGTAGCGCCATACCAAGTAGTTGAGTTCGTTGCTGGTTAACGACATGGTGGTGGTGGAGGTGTTTGGTTGTTAGTTTGTAGTGCGGGTAACACGCGAAAGTTGAAGTGGAAACTGTAACGAGATCGTGAGAAAGATAGAGAAAGGTTACCGTTACTGAAACATAGGAGTTACGAGGCTTTCAGTATTACAGTGGGTTGACGAAGACGAAGAATTGTCGTCTCTGAAAGTACTAGCCGAAGTCCATATAGAGCCAGAAGTAGTGCTATAGGTCGAATCACGGAATCACCATCCACGACTCTGAATACTACGCTAAACACCAAACACAGACCAAAATCAGATTCACGGAAGAATCACGGAAGATTCACGGAGAAGCAGAATTCGAAGCACTACGCTAGTCCTATCACAAAGCCAGCTAGCAGAAGTACTCCAGAAGTGTTGTCCAATTGAGCTATCTAGGTAACCATTCAGATCTGAATCAACAAGTTGTCATACTCAACAAAACATCCGTTCAACGTAGCTAATCGACGAGAACGAATCAACGTGACGTCCCAATCGACGAGAGATAGCTGGTCATACTAATAACGACACATCTCAATCAACGTGTCTCCAACCAATACGCCCATTCCTCCTCACAATCATTATCTACTCTCCCACCAGACCATTCCCTCCCCACCATGGACTACAAGAAAACACACCGTCAGAGTAGAGCCCCGTGGCTGCACGGTGGCCCCACAAAGACCCACAATCCCTACGCAAACTCCCAGCAGACAGCACCAGGCCAGGACCATGACCTGAACCTCCTTCTGTTGCCCAATCCCTACGGTGCAATTGCTGCTCCAGGTGCCACCAGCCGTAAAAACACCAGAAGGTTGAGTATTCACGCCTCGGCTTCTGCCCAGCAGCATGGACGCTCTTTCTCGCTGACTACCGGCTTCGATATCTCCAACCTTCCCCCAGTTCCACACTTGCACAAGACTACCACCAATGCCTCGGATCTGGCCCTGGTAGACGAAAAGGACGAATTTGCGAACATCGAGGCCAAAATCTTCAGGGACTTGTCACAGGGAACAGCTTCGGAAATTGACGACTACTACAAGCTCTTGGTTAAACAGAACACCGTCATCACTCGAGACATCAAGTCCAATATCAACCAGAACCAGAAAAATATCTTGCAATTGACCAACGACTTGAAGGAAACCCAGGAGGAATTGCTCCAGTTGCGTGTATCCACAAAGGAGTTATACGAGGTCTTGGATGACTTTCGCGAGTCGGCCCAGAGAAGACTCGACCTCGAGAGTCCAGATGCCAGCTCCCAGCAGAAAGCACAAGCCTTGAAGAAAAAGAGAGACAGATCGTCCATTTTGGTGCTTGAGAAAATGTGGGCCAACGAACTCCAGTCCTTGTTCAAGCACGTGGAGGGTGCCTCCAAGTACATCCAACCGTTGCCAGGAAGACACGTAATAGCAGAGAGTGGGAGATGGCAAGAAATCAATGCTGGTACATGGAAACCAATCAAACCCACTCACTTATTTATCCTCAATGATTTGTTGTTAATGGCCACCAAGAAGAGTGCCCATGAAGGCGGACCATCCACTAAGTCTAGGTTACAAGCAGTACAATGTTTGCCATTGAGTCAGGTGGAGCTCATTCAAATACAGCCACCATCAGCCAAGAGCGATGATAACAAGTCATATCTCATCAACATTAAATCAAAATCACTCAGTTATGTGTATCAAACAGACAGATTTGACCATTTCCTCAAAATTACAGAAGCATACAACAAAGGAAGGAACGAGTTGGTACAGCAGGAAAGACTCATGAAGGTAGGAAAGACTGCGCAGGCAGATTCAGTAGACACCAATGATGAAAAGAGACAGTTGAGAGAATCTTATAGGAACTCTGGGTCCATGGAGCCCATTGATGACACTGGAAAGAGATCAAGTGGTAACTGGAGAAATAGCGGTGATGGTGTTTTGCAAGATATATCTGCCAGGGTACATTCTAGAAACAGATCTCATGATTACGGAAAGAAAAAGATAGTAAATGACAAGGGTCATTTCTTCAACGACTTGAAGAATTTGGAAGACAAACTTGACGATGTGGATGTGGAAATAGCCCATAACCAGTATGACCAGGCAGTAGGGTTCTTGGGCCACATCGAAGGCAAGTTGAAGAGCATTGAATCGGCAATCACTAACAACTCTGCCAATAATACCAAGGCTTCTAGCGAAGAAGTCAAATTGCTTATTGATGTGATCAAGTTGAAAATCAATAACAGAAAGGTCAAGGTCCAACAAGGGTTAATCTTTGACTTGCAGCACAAGATCGCCAAGCTTACTGAGGACGAGATCGAGAGTATCATTGTCTACTTTGAAAGTTTCAATCAACTTGAGAAAGGTATCTCATCCTATTTGAGTGCTATGTCCAATCATTTATCTACAACTGTCACCAGATTGATCGTGGGTGTGCAGGGATCTACCAAAATAGATGTGGTCAACTATCTTTCCAATTTAGTGGTGGTGAATATCTCCGTGATCAAGAGAGCGGTTTTGGTGTACAATCGCAAGATTACTCCTATAATGAAGAAAAATGGCAATGATAAGGTCGATTCAAGTGGTTTGATTAATTGGTGTGTCGACGAAATTACCAAGTTAGTGGCCCAGTTGAAAAAGCATCTTTTTGGCACTTTGTTGTCGTCTGTGGGTACCAATCCCGACACTGACCAGCCAATATTAAAGGTCAAAGACAAGGTTTTGTTCCAGGATTTCCTCGATGTTATAATACCTCAATTGGACGAGCTCAAGACGGTTGGTGTGAATGTGGATTTCGTATTTGAAGAGATACTTGTATTACAGGAAAATGAAGAATAAAGCAGACTTCAACTGAGTGCACCACGCCTTGAATGATTATGGAGTTTATCCTTCTATCGATCCTTAATATTTCCCGTCCATCAACGAAAGTCTTGAATCCTGTATATGATAGTATCACCGAGATCATTAAATAGACAATTAAATAAAGGATTATCGAGGGCTTACGAAGATATTGAAAATTTCTCCATTGCAGTACCGAACTGCTTATGTAGACGCTACACCACAACTAGAAAATCCGTGTATTTTAACCTTATGTCCAGGGACAAACCCAAATAAATAATGCACCAGGCAATGAATCGAACGAAATGTGAGATCCAACCTGGGGCTACAGCTTGAGGGGTCTATCAAAAGCAGCCCCAAGTTTATAGTTTATCGTACAACGCTCCCAAGTCATTGTGCTCTCTGAAATAGGTACCGTACCGCTTGACCACTATCAAGGCCAGGCCAGCTACCAAAATGAGGCCAGCGATGATGGAAAACAAGATTCCTGGACCAATCGATGCCAATAACGGCTCCACGATGAAGGTGGCCACCGCAGCCAAGATCTGTCTGAGGAAGTTGTTCAACGCAACACCAGTGGCTCCTTTTCCGGGAAGAGAGTCCACCAAGTAGGTCACAGTGGCCCCAATCAACAACATGGAGGCAAAGCCGCAGAGGGCGGTGCCGATCAAGGGCACCAACCAAAACTGGCCGTATTTGAGGGTCCACCCGAAAATCAAGCACGCAGGCATGTACAACACAAACGCCACCACGATGTTCCACGAGAGTCTGGCCTCGGGATCTAGTTGGTTGTTGTGGGACTGGGCGTACCTGGCCAAGAGGCGATCGTTCCAGCGGCCGCCAATCACGGACGCAATGATGTAGGTGACGGAGTTGGGGATGTACAACAAACCGATGATGATGGCCCTGAACTTGTAGGGCTCGCGTGCGTACTCGTAGGAGATGGTCATGTTGAAGAAGTAGATGGCAGCGAAGCAGATGGAGGATGCAGAGCACACCAAGGCGATCTGAGGGTGGGTGAGGAGGATCAACGAATGGATGGGTCTGACGATGCAGTCGTAGCAGTTGGTGCGGTAGCGCTGCCAGGTGGTGGGGGAGTCTGGAGGCAACTGGCTGGCGGACTTTTTGAGCTCCTCTTCCATCAACTCGTTGAACACCTTGCGGGAGTATGACGAGCGGTTGGTGGTGTACTTAGAGAGCGAGGGCATGACGGGGTCGCCGATGGGGGCGTCTTCGTAGACGGAGTGGCGGGTGGAGATGCGGGACAAGTGGGAGGCGATACGTTCGATCTGGTCGGAAGAAAGAGGGAGATGGGAGTGGTGGGAGTTCTCATCGTTGTTCTGGGAATTCTCGTTGTGCTCAACATTCTTGTGGGCATTCTCGTGAGAAGTCTTGCCAGAGTTCTCTTGGAAGTTCAGAGACCCCTCGTGAGAAGTCTTCCCGGAGTCCTCCTCCTTCTCGTCCTCTGCCTCCGCCTGCTGCTGTCTCAACAACTCGCGAACTGCTGCAAAATTATCATTTTTACGCAATGTCTCAGGAAGCGCAAACACAATTAGCACGAAGTTGACGCCAGAAAAGATCACCAAGAACCACTGGGTGGCACGCCACCCCCACACCTGCGATAGCACCCCACCAAGAATGGGCGCGAGGAACGGCCCACACAACGGCCCTAGGTAGTAGTAGCCCATTGCGGTACCGCGCTCCTCCACCGCAAACACGTCGGAAATGGTGCCAGCGCCTAGCGCTTGCACACTGGCAGAACACCCGCCCTGGAGCACCCGGAGCACGATCAACGCCAGGATGTTGGGGGCATAGGTGGTGCCGAACGAGAACGCGAAGAAGAAGCCAAACAGGATGATGTACACCGAGCGACGGCCCCATTTCTCGCTAAACGCCAGCCACCACAACGGAAACACTCCGAGCGAGAGGAGATACACTCCTACCGACACGTTGACCATGGAGTCGGTGGTGTGGAGGGTGTGCACGATGTCGTCGATGGCTGGCAACATGATGGAGGTGCCCATGGGGCCGGTGACGGCTGCGAGGGCGATGATGAAGGTGATGAGGTGCTTGGCGGACTGGGGGTAGTCGCGAGCGTCCTCGTACTCGGGCAAGAGCGCCCACGACGCGAGGAGGCCCCTGCGCTGGAGGCGTGGGATAGTGTTGGAGCGGGTGGTGGTGTGGGTGTGGGAGGTGTGGACCAGCGAGGTGTGGACCAGCGAGGTATCTGGATGGGGAGACGGCTGGTGGGCGAGCGGGTTGACCTGGTGCTGGGAGTCTATGGAGAGCGACGAGTTGATCGACATGGCGTCGTTCGGGGGAACGTGTTGGGGACTGGAGGCCATGGTGGTGGCTATTGGTGGTGATAAGAATGAGAAACTGGCGTGCGCTCGTTATATAAGGTGCGAAAGCGTGGAGCGAGGCCCGAGCACAGGGACTGGCCAGAATTGGCACTACGAAGAATTAGCACTACTAGGAAGGGTGGGGAGAGGGGAGGGTGAATGTGGTGTGTGAAGAGGCAGGGAGGGTGCTACTGGCGCTAGTGGCCCTAGTGGAGTGGGGAGCCGTCCTGGCCACAGTAGATCTGGCTGTCAGTTGCGGCAGATAACTCCGCTGCGCGCTTAACGGCGGATTTCTTTGTTGGGCACCGTAGTGGCGGCAAGATGGGGGGACGCTAGGGGAAGCCAGCAAGTTGGCTTGGCTTCGGTTCTGTTCCGAGGCCTGGTGGCAGATCGTGATGGTGGGTCGTATCTGGTGGTGGTGGCGAAAGGCATCCTGTCGTGGGAGATTAGTCATGCTATCGCTAAATTGGTGGGGAAATGTCAGCGGTGCGAGAAAATGGCTAGCGAGCGATGGCCATTGTAATTACTTATTTGGCTCTCGCTGACATACTCATTGCACTCCTTCCTCATTACACTTGACTGGCTCCCTGCTGGTATACTTGGCTGAATATCCAGCTACCTCCACATGATTGCTCTCAGCCATACTTTATCTCTCCTTGTTCGCTGCTCCACGCAGGTTTGACGTCTTTAACGTTTTGGCCCCAGGGCTCGCACCGCCGTGTGAGTGCGGTGCCGTGCCAGGAATGGCACCGCCATAGCCGTCTCAGGGGTGGTCCCTGAGGGTGTGCTGTCGGGTACCTCAAGGACAATCCAGGAATATGGCTGCGAGAGTGGTGGAGGTGCGGCCAAGGGCCTTTCACCGAAGAATAGCGAGTTCTCGGAATCCAGAGCATTGCATGGAGTATTGGGAGGTCATGCGGTAAAACACACGGGTTCGTTCCAGAGAATTGGATTACTTTTGGGATGGTCGTGCTATTGGCTCGCTAGTATAGTCTGCGCTTCCTTCAGGAAATTAATACGGGGCCCTCGGACTTTCAGAGAATTTGTCCGAACCTGCCAGAGAATTTCTTTCCACAGTATTGACGCTCCCGAACTTTTGCCATAGTAATATTCTCCAAACAATAAGTACCGGCTCTAGTGGTATCTGACTGGTAAGTCGCAGAGGTCAGTTATCCGACCCACCAACTGGCATGCATTCCAAAGATTAATCCATGCTTAAGTATAAGCAATTATTCAGTGAAGTCACGAATGTCCATATCGTTTACTTTTCCAACTACCTGGTCAGTTACATTTACTCTAGGGCTAATAGTCGTTTATTTGACAATTCTCATTACTTAATAATTCTAGCACAGTATTACTTTAATTGAAAGCACCTACTACCTGACCTGTAATTCTATGCCTTTAATATTTTTATAGATAGTCTTTTTAACCTGTATCACGTTAATTGACCGTATTTCTACTACATTAACCATTTCTAGCCATCTCATATTGTTACCGAGGCCTCCATGTCCTGCCTAGCGATTTCACTCGCATGTGCGACAGGCCACGGATGGGCCGGCAGTGCCAATATTATATGATCCTTTTAATATCTTGTACATGCCGGTCTTCGGAACAGTATGCAAGAATCGTGGCATGTACCAGCCTACACCAGCAGTTGCTTGCTGAACAGGTTGCCTCCACTACCAATCATGACCCAACACGCACGTGACTCGAGTCACGCGACAACTCCATCTTTAGTGGCGTTCCATTTCTGGTGACAACCATCCCCCACCGTCTGTGCCTTCGTCGTCCAGTACCCATTGCCCCCTCCACGCCTCCTGGTGTCCTCGCTGCCCTCTTCCTCCTCCCCTGCCCAATGGCTCGTGAGTCCCGTTCGCCTCTTGCGCTCGTAAGGGCTGCCCTCCTTGGCCCCATGTTCATCCTTGGCTGCTTGTCGATCACAATCACCCAGTACGTCGGCTTGAACGTTCTTCCAGATGCAGAACTCATCCAGGGCATGATCAACTTGACCAAAACTCAATTTGTGGTGCTTCTTACCTTCATCACGTCCCACATCAACCCCTCCAAGTTGGCTGTCACCTTCGACCCTAACGGCTCCGACAGGTTCAGAGCTGTGGACGGCACGTTGCTCAGCACACTCACGCCCAACTCAGTGTTGATCTCCAACCACCAGATCTACACGGACTGGTTCTTCCATTGGTACCTCTCGTACACTGCACGGCTCAGCAACCTGATGCACATCGTGTTGAAGGACCTCTCGCACATTCCCGTGTTGGGATACGGCATGAAGAACTTCAACTTCTTGTTCTTGTCGAGAAAGTGGGAAAAAGACAAGGTGTTGTTGACCAACCAGTTGTTGACAATGGACGCCAACGCCAGGGGCTTGGGTCCGGCAAACAACGTCAAGCATGTGGCGTCGACCAACATCAGATCGTCTCCCAGCGCTCCCGATGTCGTACACTGGCCCCAGGGTGAAAATTCGAACAAAGTTTGGCCCTACCAGTTAATCTTGTACCCCGAAGGCACCGTTCCTTCTGACCGCACCAAGGGCCGCTCCAAAGCTTACACCGCAGAGAGAAACCTCCCTCCATTGGACCACGTCCTTTTGCCTAGAATCAGAGGGTTATTTTTGACGTTGAGAAAATTGCGCAACACCGCAGAAGTGGTCTACGACCTCACCACAGGCTACAGCCAGTTGAAGCCTGATGAATACGGCGAGCTCGTGTTCTCGCTCAAGCGGTTCTACCTTCTCGGTAAAGGCCCTTCCCAGGTCAATATCTTTGTCAAGTCGTGGAAAGTCAGTGAAATCCCCCTTGGAGACGAAACCGTCGATATCGACGATGCCAAAGAGGAGGACTTGAAGAAATTCGAGGACTGGTTGGTTGCTAGATGGTATGAAAAAGACAGGTTGTTGGATACCTTCTACAAAACAGGATCTTTTGGTGTCCAGGGCACTGAGACCGTTGTTGCTGATATCAAGCTTGGAAGCCAGTTAGAAATCTTTCCTGTATTTGTGCCGCTTTTAATACTCGCATTGTTGTTGAGAGCAGCCTGGGTTCTTTTGTGGAAATTGGTCTAGAACTTGTCACACCCCTGCGAAATGTATGAAGTTACACCTGCTCCGCAAAGTGCTCCAGCTGTGTTTCATGTATCGATTAACCTCTATGTTGCATCCTATAGATATGCTTATTACTAGAACAACTGATCTCAGTGTAGAATCGGTTTCAGCAATTTTGCAGGTTACCTCCAGGTGTCGCACCTTGGCTCCGAAATTGTTACAGCTTCCAATGGGTGCAAAATTATAAGACCTTCGGAGTACCCGTCCCTAACCATGCTTTTCAGTTCATAGGTATAGGTTGTTTGTACAGGCACTGCTTAGTGATATATACAGTCTTGTATCTGCCTGAATTACATCCACTCATGATACTGTTTCTTGTCAAATCTGTGTTTCAATACTTCGTGGTAGCCATTGCGTTTACCACCACATTCCTCTTGGGCTTTCTTCTACTAGGCTCTACGGACACCGCTAGTGTATACTCGAACGTGTACCTTACCAGCCTTCAATTCAATCAGTCTTCGGAATTTCTCCCAAACATTCAGTCTGCACTAAACGCAACTCGCAAAGGATATATGGCGGATATGTCCATCAAGATCGGTTACCTCAGTTACTGTATGACAGTACAAGGCAACAGTACGTGTACTGGGTTTGGTACGGGAGCTGATTCTAGAATAGCAGGTGTTTCTATTGTTCCCACCAGTCTGGAAAAGGCCCCACAACTCGACTTGGTAGCAATCTCCAAATCCTTCAACCAGGTTTGCCATCCCAATCTACTCATGACAGTGGTAATAGTGACTATTCTCACTATGATAGTGTTGTGCTACTCAGCAATTCCTGTTGTGCCTGGTAAAAGAGTGGCCCACAAGGTCAGCTGTTTCATGAGCTTCGCCAACCTCATTCTCTGGGGTTTGGGCCTGATGTTGCAACATGAAGCCGTCTCCTCTGCTGGTAGAATAATTGGTCCATCTTCGATGGGTATGCTAGAGGTCCTGAAAGGAAAGAGAGCAGATGCAATGACGTGGATAGCCTTCACATTCATTTTGGTCATCTTCCTCAACACCGTAATGGTTCTAATCAAAGACCTCAAACAGGTTGACAAGAAAGTCTAACCCAAGGAGAACACGAGCACAATTTCTTCCATAATGAGAATGTCCAAAAACTGAACTTACCCAAAACTATTTTGTACGGTTCATTGAAAATTTTGGACTCAACTTACATATATGCTAAAGTAATGCACATTAAACACTGATTAAGTTAATAGATAGAGTTTGGGCATCTGCTTTGCAAAAGTTTCGAAAAATCTTTGTAGTCCGTTTCAACGGTTTTGTTTTTTAATTTTCCACATTCGCAGCCAAAAAGTTTAATTAGAATTTCGTTTAAAAAAAATTTGTGTATTTTCTTAACAATTTCCATAAAGTCTAGAGAGAGAGACTTTAAGATGGAATTGAAGATAAGACGGAAATTACTAGATACGAAAGACTCCTTGTTAAGCTGAAGACCTTCAAATGTGCGGATCATTCGATGGAAAACCATTGAGACACAAAAAGATCATGATCAATAAGACCAACTCCGCAAGAATTTTTTTTGATTTGTAAAAAACAATTCAATAATGATACTAATAGTGACAGTCTTATTCTGAAGATGTGCTAGCAATGTTCGCAACATGAAAAGCCACCTAAAGCTGAAATTTCACTCTGCAGAACTTTGTTCATTCATAACTTGCCACCAGAGAATTATGATCATTATGATGCCCTGCATTATATCTAAGAGCTGGGTTATTAACCACCCATTTATTTTTGATGGATCTAAATAGAATTTCCCATTAAACACCAAGCAACGCGACCCTCAAAAATTAATTATACACCGAGAGGTCTTTCCGGCCCCACAGCAGAAAACCCTTCCTTCTAGTAAATTGCGATAAAAATACTGAACAGTCCCCCAAACTGGGTCGTCCACCAGCCAAACAGACTAATTGGCACCTGAAGCTGGAACATATGCCACCACACCCATCTGGAGAACGAGCTTGGGCGAGAGCCACCCACGGTCACGCGGAAGTCACGTGCCACGCATTTTTCCCAGTCCCTCCAGTTCCCACTTTTCTCACACCCATTTTTTCACCTCCAAAACAAGCTACTTCTCCAACTTTCCTTATCCCTTCGTTCACGGCGTCTGTCCACAACCTCGTCCCACACACAACAGCGTAGCCTGCTACTCCGTCCTTGCCGTATCCACGCCAAGCCCGTGCAATTGCCCACCCTTTCGTGTCACCATGTCCTACACTGCCCAACTAGACACCTTCGTGTCACGTCTCAACCAGCAGGCAGACTACCGTACTGCCCACTCAGTGCTCTCTGAGCTCCTTGACATGATTGAGACGTTCAACGGAGCAGCAGAATACGAGTATTTCCTCAAGAACTTGGTGCCTATCTTCCTCAAGAACCTCGAAGAGGTACCCATTTCGTTTTCAAGCCAGTCGTCAGAACACAAGTTGAGAAATTCGATTTTGGAGATCATCCACAGATCCATCATGAACGACACGTTCCTGCCGTTTGCAGAGCAGATCCTCGACACGCTAACCAAGATCTTGGTGGATGAAAACGAAGACAACGGAGTCTTGTGCATGAAAATCATCACCAGCTTGCACAAGGCCTACAAGACCAAGCTCGGCGAGAAAGTCAAGCCTTTTGTAGAGATCATCAGCCAAATCTATGACAACATGCCCAAAACCGTCCAAGAAACCTTCAATTCCAACCAGCTGAACTCCGACGAAGATGATCGTGAAATGAGCCCTACCGCCTCTTTTGAAGAGGGCTACACTAAGCCTTTGAACAAGGCCATGTTCTCATTCAAGACGTTGGCAGAGTGTCCTATTACCATGGTCTCTTTATACTCCTCCTACAAAACCTTGGTTGCATCCAGCCTTCCGGTTTTCCTCCCCAAAATCATAAGTTTATTAAAATTGCAAGTGGACGAACAACGACAATACAAAGAAAANTCTTCCAAGGAAAATAAAGCAACCACCTCCATATCCCCAAAAATCAAAAACCGTCAAGCATACAGTGATTTCATACTTGCCCAAGTCAAGGCTGCCTCATTCCTTGCTTATGTGTTCATCAGAGGCTACGCTAACCAGCATCTTGATCCAGAACAATCTAAAGTGGTTCCGGACGTGATTTTGCGCTTATTGGAAGACTGTCCTGCGGAACTCTCGGTGGCCAGAAAAGAATTACTCCATGCAACAAGACATATATTGTCGACCCCTTTCAGAACACAGTTTATTCCAAAAATCGAACTCTTGTTTGATGAGAAGATTTTGATCGGAGATGGTTTAACTTCCTTCGAAACTCTTAGACCATTGGCATACTCCACTGTTGCCGACTTTATCCACAATGTTCGTAATGAATTAACTCCAAAACAGATATGGTCTACAGTCAACATTTATTGTGACTTATTAAAGGATGATTCCTTAGCATTGACAGTCCAAATCATGAGTGCAAAGTTGCTTCTAAACTTGGTGGAAAGGATCATGAAATTACCAAACAAATTAGAAGGTAGACAATTGTTCATGATCATAATTGATTCTTATGCCAAAAGATTTGCAAGCTTGAGCCGGAAGTATGATTACATTATAAATAAGCACGAAGAATTTGAAAGAAATAGACTTGTTAAGGAGGCTGATTCCAAGAAAGCTATCCAAAGATACTCATCAAAGAAGGTTGAAGTGGACGAGCCTGCAAAGGATATTATAGCTCCAAAAGAGGAAGCAAAGGATGATGAGGATTCTCAAGACGAAGTTTTCTTACCCAAGGAACCTAAGGACCCAGAGGAAAAGTACATTGACATATTTAATATCGATTCGTTTTCACCCATCTCCCCTTCCCCTGTTACTAACAATTCTGATCTTCTCAAGGATGCAAGGTATCTTTTCAGAACCCTTATGACCTTCCTTAAATCTGTCATTTTTGGTTTGAAGAACTGTAACCCTCCAGTGCCCCCACAACCAGCTCAAACAGACCCTAAGAATCCTGGTCAAGTTATCAACTATGACAAGTGGAACGATTCTGCAAGAATAAGATCCTACGAAGAAGTTAACATTTTGAGAGCTTTGTTTAGAGGGGGAATAAGTTGTTTAAGATTCTTTTCAGTTTCGAAACCTAAACCTACAATTTCACCAAAGGCCTTTGACTTCTCTACAGGTGGTCCAAACTTGCCAATCACTTCATCCAAGGAGGAGAAAGATTTGATGGAGATTTTCGCCACAATTTTCATTCATGTCGATCCAGCTTCGTTCAACGAAATCGTCAACGCCGAGCTCCCACTCCTTTTCAATTCCATGTTGGAAAATGCTGCTTTGCTTCATTTACCCCAATTCTTTTTAGCCAGTGAAGTCACCAGTGCTAACTTTTCCAGTATTTTGATTTCCTTCTTGAAATCTAACCTCGATCAATTAGGCAAGGTGGAGTTAATCAAATCTAATATACTTATTAGATTATTCAAATTGTGCTTTATGTCGGTGAACTTGTTCCCTACAGCCAACGAAGGCGTTATACTTCCTCATTTGAATTACTTGATTTTGGAATCGTTAAAACTCGCAACCAAGGCTGAAGAACCTATAGTGTACTCCTATTTGGTTAGAATTCTTTTCAGAAGTATCTCAGGTGGAAGATTCGAAAACTTGTACAAAGAAATCATGCCCATCTTACCGGTATTATTGGAGAATTTAAATAAGATGATTGCTAATGTGACTAGAACATACGAACGTGATATTTACGTGGAGTTATGTCTCACTGTACCGGTTAGATTATCGGTGTTGGTACCTCACTTGAATTACCTTACTCGTCCTTTGGTTTATGCCCTTAATGGATCTCAGGAATTAGTCAGTCAAGGTTTGAGAACTTTTGAACTTTGTGTGGATAATCTTACAGCAGAGTACTTTGATCCTATGATAGAGCCTGTTATTGATGAGATTATGGCTGCATTATGGAAGCACTTGGAACCTGTTCCCTACCACCATCAGCATTCTCACACTGCTATCCGTATCTTAGGTAAATTAGGTGGAAGAAACCATAAGAACTTCAAGCCATGTGGATCTTTAATCAGCCAGTCTGACTTAGACCAAGAGATAAACGCCTTGTTCCAAATTCATGGTTTGAATGGCAAGGTCCCAATGTCTATTACCCCAGGAGTCCAGTCGGCCATGAAATTATTGCACGATCCCAGATTGAAAGTCCATTACAGGATTAGTGCTTTCAAGTATTTGTCTAGCATATTCAAATTATTCATCGATACCACACCAATACCAGAAGGATATGATACTTTGATCAAGAATGGAGTTGAATTTCTTAAGCAAGACAAGCCTATTGAAGATATAAAATTGGATGAATCAGATATCAAAGATGTTGATAGATTGGATCGTCAGCAAAAGTTATTTACCAAGCTCTTGGAAATGCTTTTTTTCTCGATTTCTATTCCTGAAATCAAACAAGAGGCCAGTGACTTGCTCGATGGTATTACCACTCACTTCACTTTGATTTATCTTGGAACGTCTGTGGTGGAAAAGATCAAGAAGGAGAGACCATTCTCGGTGAATGACAATGAAGGAAAAGCCTACATCAGTGAAACTGCGTTCCTCAATGCATTAAACTATTCATTGAGTTTCTGGGATAAAGATGTCAGAGCCAAGGGTATTGAGGTTATTCAGAACATTTTCAAAACTACCTCCGTTATCTTCGGCTCAGATGAAAATGCTCTTTACTCCCCTGTTTTCAGATCTATGTTTTACAAGTTCACCCATTGTTGTTATAACGAGTACTACCACACCAAGCTAGGAGGAATTTTGGGATTAAAAACCATGTTTGAGGATATTAACATACCCGCAAAGTGGTTCTTCAAAAGGCAATTTGAGTTGGTAAGATCAATATTCTTCATATTGAGAGATACTCCTGAAACTGCTCCATTTGAGATTAGAGAATTGGCAAAGAATTTGGCATTGAAATTGTTGCATGATTGCAACATAGAGCTTACAAAGGAAATTATTCTCGAGAAGCCTTTCCAGACTCTTATTGGAGCATTAGTTTATGACTTGGCCAGTGCTAACCCTCATGTCAGAGAAGTGGCGCAAGCCTCTTTGAAAGTCTTGTCTGAAACTACTTCAGTCCCAATCGCTTCAATTATCAGTCCTTCGAAACACCTTCTTTTGACGCCAATCTTTGGGAAGCCATTGAGAGCTTTACCTTTCCCTATGCAAATTGGAAATATCGATGCAATTACTTTTTGCTTGGATCTTCCTGATACTTTCTTGACTTTCAACGAGGAATTGAACAGATTGCTTTTGGAAGCCTTGGCTTTAGTTGATGCTGAAGACGAATCGCTTGCAAATGTGCACAGATTATACGAACATCGTACCGCCAAGCAGTTAATCGAATTGAGAGTGGTGTGCATCAAGTTGTTATCATTGGCATTAACCAAGCCTGACTTCTCTCTTGGATCGTTGGCTGAAGCTAGAATTAGAATCTTGGGAGTCTTCTTCAAAGCTTTGTGTAATAAGTCTACTGAAATTATCAATGCTGCTCACTTGGGATTGAAATCATCTTTGCAAGAAAATGCTAAATTGCCAAAGGAATTGCTTCAAAATGGATTGAGACCCATGTTGATGAATTTGTCTGATCACAAAAAGTTAACTGTATCTGGATTGGAAGCCCTTGCTAGATTATTAGAGCTTTTGATTTCATATTTCAGAGTGGAGATTGGTAGAAAATTGCTTGACCATTTAATGGCTTGGGCTCAGATCAATACTTTGAGACAGATTGCCGGCCAGGATTTGGAAAATAACCATACTGTGCAAATTGTTATGGCTATTTTGAATATTTTCCACCTTTTACCACCCAAGGCATACACTTTCATGGAAGAGATCATCAGTACCTTGCAATATTTAGAAGGACACTTGGATCGTCATCAGAATTCGCCATTCAGATTGCCAGTGTCCAAGTTCCTCAACAGATTTGCAGAGAATTGCATGGAGTATTATATTACCAATTTCAAAAACAGAAAACTTGGAAACATGCTCTCATCTATTGCAGGAATGGAAGGTTGTGACAAGATCAGAGAAGTTGCAAAAGAGAAGCTTGCCACTATTATCAATGATATAAAGTACGAGGAGCTGGGTGAAATTAAGGTTGTAAAGTTTGCTAATACTATAGATTTACTTGAATCTATTACCAGATATGACTCAGAATGGTTTGATCAACGTAAGTCTTTGCTTTTGGACTTTTCAGTTATCGTTGAACAAATTGTCACTATCAATAAGGAGTCTACCTTGATTTCTTCGATTCATTTCCAATCAGATCAAGCAATCGAAAAGTTACAATCAATCTTAGTTAAGTACTTGGAAAGAAACCCTAAAGAGGCCGACGTTTTGTTCAGTTTGATTGACAGATATTCTCAATTGAAATTGAAGATCTCGAATCTGATGGAAGATTTCATTTTCAACACTATCGTGAAGTCAGACGACATTGAATTTAGAGCCCTCTATTTGAGCAGGTGTGTTGATTTTATTAGCGACTCAGATTCTAATTTGAAGTCAAAAATATATTTGCTCAAGAGGGTTTTCAACCCGATCATCCTCTATGAGGCCGAGACAAATGGAAAAGTCGATGCATTCTTCAAGGACTCAGAATCTGAGCTCCCTTCATGGTTGACAAAACTTTCCGAAAACATCTGGAAGTCTACCAATGATATCATTACTGACCATACGTCAGGTATCCTCGATAACTACAGATATCAATTACTTGAAATGACAACAATTCTTTTGAAATGGGCTTCGTCATTTATTGGAAGTTTGCGTAAGCATATCATCAAGTTCAGTTGGAACTACATCAAGTTGGAAGACAATATCACCAAGCAAGTTGCCTATGTTACCACATCGTACTTTATTTCATCGTTTGAAACACCTTCGAAATTGGCCACTCAAGTTTTTGTGGCGTTATTGAGAACCCATCAAACTGATTCCAGACATTTGGCCAGACAAGCATTGGATATTTTGGCACCCGTCATGTCCGAAAGAATGATAGATAACGAATCGTCTCCAGATACATGGTTGAAATGGCCAAGAAGAGTGATTTCTGAAGACGGATTCAATGTTACACAGGTTCTTAATGTTTATCAATTTATTGTTCAGCATCCAGATTTGTTCTTCATTGCAAGAGAGCACTTTATATCTAATATCATCACTGCTATGGGTAAGCTTACCATTTTGGCTAACCCAGCTCTTGAGAATCAGGTGTTAGCCATCGAATTGGCCGAACTCATTCTTAAATGGGAAAGAAAAGCCCAACTGGAAGTCAAAGATGATGCTATGGAAGAAGATAAATTGGAAGGTGATTTCACAACATCTTCCACTTATTCCATTCCATTTGGTCAGAGAGAGGCATGCGTTACATTTTTGATTCGTTATGTCTGTATTAGCCCTCAAAGAGCATCGGAGAGTGAATTAGGCCAGAAGGCTTTAGGAATTCTTTACGATTTGTTGAGTCCAGAACACTGGTCTGAAGTTTCGGTTAAGTTGAGTTTCTTCGAAAAGTTCCTCTTGTCAAATGACTTGAACTCGTCCAACTTACTTGGATACTGTTTGAATGCCTTGGAAGTATTGGGTGTTGTGTTAGAATGGAAAAAATCGGAATGGATTGTTTCGAATTTGGCTTACGTTCACAAGTTATTGGAGAAGTGCATCAAATCAGATAATCACGACATCCAAGAGGTCTTGCAAAGAGTTTTGAGAATTGTGTTGCAAGCTATTGAGGATCAAAAGTCAGGAGGTGATGAAGAAGTCGAAGAAGATGAAAATGTGAAGGAATTTATTTCTTTGCTTTCTGCTACTGTTGCTGAGGATTTGGGAGATATGCCTTCCGTTGCAGCTGGTGTTACATTATCTTGGACTTTGGCCAATTATAGACCTGCAATCTTAGATTCATTGTTGCCATCGATCATGCGAACATTCAGCAAATTATGCAAAGATCATATTACCATTACTCACCAAGGGTCCCAGACCACATCTTCAAAGGAGACATCAAATTCCGAGTATGAGGCTAAGATGACCACTAGACTTTTGGAGAAAATTCTTAATTTGTCGTCAATGAGGATTTCCAACCTTGGTGATCAAAGAAGAGTGTTTTTGTCTTTATTGGCCCAGTTGATTGAAAGGTCATTAGACAAGGAGACTTTGGAAAAGATTATTAAGATTGTTAAGAACTGGGTTTTCTCCAGAACAGACTTGTTCCCAACCACTAAAGAAAAGGCCGCGATATTGAGTAAAATGATGGTATTTGAGATTAGGGGCGAACCTACCCTCTCCAAGGAATTCTATCAAATAATTGTTGATATCTTTGAAGATGATACATTCAGCTGCACAGAGTTAACAGTCAGAATGGAACAACCATTTTTGGTGGGAACCAGATCTGCTGATGTGTCCATTAGAAGAAAGTTGATGTCTATCTTGAACAATAGTCTTGAAAAGGACATTAGCAAAAGATTGTACTATGTCATTCGTGAGCAAAACTGGGAGTACTTGGCTGACTATCCATGGTTGAACCAAGCATTACAGTTGTTGTATGGATCTTTCAATTTCGAAAGAAAGTTGGAATTGGTGGAAGATGAGTATCGTTTGACTCCTTTGAGTGCATTGAAAAGATTAGGACCATTGAAGAACCCAGAAAGTACATCATCGGAACCAAAGGCCGAGGACGCAAAGATGGAAGAATCCAGCGAGGCAGATGAAGCAAATGGTGATAAGGAAGACGCTATGGAAGTCGACCAGGAAACATCAGGCTCTCCATTGGCCGAACTTCTCGAAGCCCATGCCACATTTTTGGCTTCACTTGACACTACTACAGCAGGTGATATTCTTGAACCGCTTATTGATATGTTCTATCAATCCAGTGATACAATTTATCGTGCTTGGTCAAATGTTTTCCCTACAGCATTTTCTTCCATTCCTAGGTCCGAACATCTTGATTTCACACGTTTCTTGGTTATTCTTTTGTCTAAAGACTACCATACTCGTCAAATTGACAGTAGGCCCAACGTTATTCAATCTTTGCTAGAGGGAATTTCTAGATGTGATGATCTCCAGTTACCTCCATTTGCTGTGGAGTGTTTGGGAGCTAACTTTAATGCTTGGTCCCAAGGTATTCACATCTTGGAAAATATTGAGGAGCAGTCCATCAATAACAACCTGGAGTTCAGAGAAATTACACAAGATGCTTTGGCAAAGTTGTACGCAACTTTGAAAGAGGATGATATGTTCTACGGTTTGTGGAGAAGAAGAGCCAAGTACTCGGAGACGATAAGTGCATTATCTTATGAGCAAGTTGGTATTTGGGATAAAGCACAACAATTATACGAAACCGCCCAGATCAAAGCAAGAAGTGGCGCATTACCTTATGGTGAATCTGAATATGCGTTATGGGAAGATCATTGGATATTGTGTGCCGAGAAGTTGCAACATTGGGATATTCTTACGGATCTTGCAAGACACGAAGGATTCTCCGATTTATTGTTAGAATGTGGATGGAGAGTAGCTGATTGGTATAATGATAGAGAGACGCTAGACCAAACAGTTAAAAATGTTATGGATGTTCCTACTCCACGTCGCCAAGTGTTTGAAACTTTCCTTTGTTTGCAAGGATATGGCCAGGAAAAGGAATCATTGCAGGATTTGTCCAGACTTTGCGACGAGGGTATTCAGTTGGCATTAAGGAAATGGCACGGATTACCTACCAGATTTAACAATGCACATATTCCTTTGCTTCATACATTCCAGCAATATGTGGAATTCATGGAGGCAAGTCAAGTCTATGCAAGTTTGGTGAGCACAAATGCTCAGAATTTGGATGTGAAGTCGCAAGAATTGAAGAGAGTATTACAAGTTTGGAGAGAAAGATTACCAAATACCTGGGATGATATCAATATTTGGAATGATTTGGTCACTTGGAGACAACATGCATTCCAAGTTATTAATAAGGTTTATATGCCATTCATTCCAATTTTGCAGCAGTCGAACACCGGAGGAAATGCAAACTCGTATGCTTATCGTGGATTCCACGAAATTGCTTGGGTTATTAATAGATTTGCTCACGTTGCTAGAAAGCACAACATGTCTGATGTTTGTATCAAGGAGCTTACCAGAATTTACCAATTGCCTAATATTGAGATTCAAGAAGCGTTCTTGAAATTGAAAGAACAAGTTAAATGTCACTACCAGAATCCAAATGAGTTGAATACTGGTTTAGATGTTATCAGCAATACCAACTTGGTCTATTTTGCTACTCAACAAAAGGCAGAATTCTTCACTCTCAAGGGTATGTTCTTGAATAAGCTTAACCAAATGGATGAAGCAAACAAGGCTTTTGCAACCTCTGTCCAAATTGATCTTAACCTCCCCAAGGCTTGGGCTGAATGGGGTATGTTCAATGACCGTCGCTTTAAGGAAAATCCAAGTGATATGGTCTATGCCAATAATGCCATCAGTTGTTACCTTCAGGCTGCTGGTTTGTACAAGAATGGAAAAACCAGAAAGTTGTTGGCTAGAATTCTTTGGTTGATCAGTTTGGACGATGCTTCGGGAACCTTGGCTCAAGCTTTCGAAAACTTCAGAGGTGAGGTTCCAGTGTGGTATTGGATCACCTTTATTCCTCAATTGTTGACTTCACTTTCTCACAAAGAAGCAAGATTGGCTAGACAAGTTCTTGTTAGAATTGCTAAGAGTTATCCACAAGCTTTACATTTCCAACTTAGAACTACCAAGGAAGACTTTGCAGCTCAACAAAGACAAGCAATGGAACTTGCTCGTCAAAAGGGCGACAAAGAGAAGACGGAAGCTAAAACTGACAGTATTGCAGAGGATGGTGAAGAAAAATCTGAGAAACCAGAAGCAAAGAAGGAAGATGAGAACGGTAAACCAATCCCTTCAACTGTTCGTCAACCACTTGAGCATGTTGAGGAGATCATGGGAATCTTGAAGACAGCATATCCTTTGCTCGCCCTTTCATTGGAATCATTAGTGGACCAAATCAACCAAAGATTCAAGTGTACTGCCGATGAAGATGCGTATAGGCTTGGTGTTGCTTTACTTAATGATGGGGTTCAATACTTGAACCGTCTTGGTAATCCAAGAGATGATGCTAAGCTCCCCCCCATTACAGAAGCTAATATCACCAGATTCGCAGAAACTGTCTTGCCAAAGCAGATCAGAGCTGAATTTGAAAAGGATTTGGTTGTTGGTAAACCTAAGCTTGAAACCTACATCATCAAGTTGAGAAAGTGGAGAGATAGACTCGAAGATAAATTGGATAGACGATTCTCTGAGGTTAATTTAGAGAATTTGTGTCCTCATCTTAGTGAATTCCATCATCAGAAGTTTGAAGACATTGAAGTTCCTGGTCAATACTTGTTGAACAAGGATAACAACAACCATTTTGTCAAGATTGAAAGGTTTTTACCAACTATTGACTTGGCTCGTGGTACTAATGCTTGTTACAAGAGATTGAGAATCCGCGGCCATGACGGAAGCTTACATACTTTTGCAGTACAATTTCCAGCTGCCCGTCATTGTCGTCGTGAAGAGTGTATTTTCCAACTATTCCGGATCTTTAATGACACTATTTCGAAGAAGGTTGAAACAAGACGTCGTAACATCACGTTCACATTGCCAACTGCTGTTCCTTTGTCTCCTCATATCCGTATTATCAACGATGATACTAGAGACATTACCATGCAAAAGATCTATGAAGATTTCTGTCGTCGTAACGGTAAGTCTAGGGATGAGCCATTTATCTACACCATTGAAAAGTTGAGAGCTGCATTTGACCAAAGATTACCTAAGCCAGACATTATGAGTATTAGAGTGGAAATTTTGAGTGCCATTCAGTCCTTGTTAGTCCCTTCTACGGTATTGAAAAACTACTTCATCGAGTTATACCCACAATTCGAAGATTTCTGGTTGTTCCGTAAACAATTCAGTTCCCAGTATGCTTCGTTCATCTTCACAACTTACATGATGTGTGTGAATGCAAGACAACCTCAAAAGATACATGTGAACAAGGGTTCAGGAAGTGTTTGGACTTCAGACATGTTGCCATGCAAGATTGCAAGCAAGAGTGCTTTGGCTGATAATCCTCAGGGTGGTCCTGCTCCATTGTTCTACAATGCAGAAATGGTTCCATTCAGATTGACACCAAACATTCAAAAGCTCATTGGAGAAACCAGTTTAGAGGGTGTTTTGTCAGTATACATTTTGTGTATTGCCAGGGCATTGACTGAACCAGAATCGGATTTGGAGCAATACCTTACTTTGTTTGTTCGTGATGAGGTGATCTCATGGTGTGCTCAACAAGATCCACCTAGGGCAATCCCCCAAGATAAGCAATTGAGAGATATCGTCAAGATCAATGTGGACTTGGTGATAAAGAGAGTTTTGTCTATGGGTCATATTAGCTCTGGTCCTGCTGTTGCTACCCAGAATGTCTTGGAGTTGATTTCCCAAGCTGTTAATCCTAGAAACTTGGCTGCCGCAGATACTTTGTGGATGGCATACTTCTAGATTGTTTGTATATTGTTAGAACTTTGTATATTATAATTATAAAGAATTTGTATTATACAATCTGTAGCAAACAAAAAAAAAATCTTGCGTATAGTTTAAACAGCTCCTGGACTCAGACTTCTGGCAAGTCGCTGTCTTATCACATGAAGTTCTTTTCCTTCGATCCCGCTATAAATTTGGTTATCTCTTATTTGGTTAAGCTATGCAGTTTGTTGTATTCATAGGCGTACATACGAGGAGTCTTTAGGCTGATGATAAGGGATGGAAGATGTAGTGAAATACTTATGAATTCTATAAATAAGGAAGTTACGAGACAACATAAGGAAGCAAGCGAAGGTACAGCTGAATAACTTAAAGGTATAAGACAAGTTTTGATCGAAAACTTAAGTGAGTATATTAAATGGGAGCTACCTACCATAAAGAGCATATATATGTTGGTCAAGATCAAGATTACAGGACGACTTCAATGTGGTAAGGGTGCTGATAAGTATATAGAGATGTTTTTTCCCAAAAGAATTACCATATATGCTCTGAAAAGTATCCTGGATTCTCAGATACTACAGGCCTTGTTGGGACTCTGAGGGATGTTGTCCTTGTCCAAAAATTGGTTTTCTCGTCACTTGGATTATGGAAGAAAATGGCAATTTGTGAAAGAAGCATTGCAAAATTTGCACCCAAATTTCGCCCAAAATCACAAGCTTCCAAGTTAACAGAGCCAACGCAAGGTTAGAAATTTGTATAGGAATTTCACTCTTATCCTAACGTATTCCTACAGAAGATCATTTTGCCGTTCATTTGGTACCAAATCATAACTCTACATACCTGGCAATATCAAAAGAAATTAGAAAAAAAAGACAGACCGGCTGTCACAGAAACAACGATCGCTAATGAACCTATTCAATAGCCTGAATATCAGAGTCATCGGTGAACTTGGCTTGAGCAACACTAATCTTCTGGTCATCCAAGTTAAAGATCACATAAGCGTATCTCAAGAAATTGTCACCCAAGATGCTTCCACCTATCGAAACCTGCAAGGAGGTGTAGTCGAGCAACTTCCCTTGGTCATCGTAGGTAGGTCCAACCAAGCTTGAAACAGGAACTTTGACTGTGACATCATTAAACTTGTAAGTGATGTCATGTCCTTGTGCTTCATCTGTGGTAATTCTCCATCCATAGGGTGTGTTACTACCTGGAAGATTCTGAATGATACCTTGGTAGACGTTTCTTGGCAAGTAAGTGATGGTAGTACCACTATCCAAAAGAGCTGGAGAACCGTATTGGATCTCATTGTCTCCAACAGTGACACTGTCAACATTGATAGCCAATACCTGGTCGTTCACGGTCTGAAGGGTAGCAAATGAACCGTCAACCTTCTTGGTATCGTAACCACCAAAGATCACTGAACCAGTCGTGGCATTAGGAGAGTTCAAATACAAAGAATAAGCATTCTTTCCGATTAAACCATTCTTCTTCAAGGTAGCTGGGTAGTTGTTGTAAATCGGAGCAGCACCGGAGGAAAATCCAGCTTCATTCAGATCGAAACCAATACCAAAAATTCCGAATGGGTTAACTGTAGTGAAAGCCAAACCAAACTCAACATCAATACTTGGACCATTTGGAATTGCAATGCTATCGGTTACATACTCCCCATAGGCAAAAGTATTATCACCGTAGGTAATAAAAAACTCGTTATTATCCGTCTTCAAAGAAGTTGACTTTTCAGCATCCAAGTATCCATTGGATTGCAATTCTGCAGTGTCGGAAGCAAATCCATCAGTACCATTAGCTGACAAAACCCACAAATCGGAGCTTCCAGTATCAAGGTCAACGAGAATTTGTTTCTTTTCGGATCCAACAGTAATGTTGGTGGTGTAAAAAACATTCTCGTTAGTCAAGTTGGCCGAATAAGAGCCATCTGAACCAGTGGAATATCCACCACCATAAGGACGACGGCTCTTGCCGCCTTCAATACCCTTGATACCCTTGGTGACATTAAAATCGAGCTTTAAAAATCCAGACCCACTTCTCTTGGAGTTAGAGTCAGGGATAGCAATGGCATTTGTAGCCAAGAAGAGAGCAGCAGAAGCAAGAAGCTTTGAGGTGAGCATGGTAAACAATAGTGATAGTTCGAAATATTCGATGGAGAACAGTAAGACCTTCAAGAACGCTTTTTAAATACTTTTGATTTTGGTAAGCATCCACAGTATGGCTGATTCTCTGAGAGAGGCTCAGGTTCTGAAAAGTTCTGGCAACAACCTATCCCATGGTAACAATGACAACCGTAGGGGTTTTCAAGTCCCTGCTGGGCCGCTGTTGATCACTCACTTGCTGATTTACTTGACCAGATGATTCAAAGTAGAACAATTCATGGTCAATCTTCCTCGATCCACTACCTATTCTTGAACTGTTCTGTAACTACGGCTTGGGTGTCCCTAAATCGAGCTTTAATGTTTGTCTGACGTTTCAAGCGTTGAATTTGACACATGCACAAATGTGTCAAGAACTAAGAAAGTGTCACCTGGCGCCGTTGAGAGCGCGGCTGCAAAATATCCACATTTGTGGAACGGCAAATCCACAATTTTGACTATTACGAAGTGGTTGTGGAGGCACCTGGATACACACCTGGAGATTCATCGACTAGTTATAGACCTTTTTGAGAGCATCTACTCAATTACTATTCAGTAATCTAATGTATCGTTTGTTGATTACGTACAGTTTTCGGGAATACATGGCCCCCTTAGTTATTAGAATACAAGGTCCTCGGTTCTTTGGGTTGGTACTTGGAAATTAATGCCCTTATTATGTATTTAGATCTTCCAAACCCGCGCTAAATCAGCGATTTTTGACTTTCAAAGCCACAAGTTTTAGGTTTTGATTTCGCAAGGAGTCGGACTAATGGTCGTACTTGTGAAGTTCGCATTTTCTCGATTCATTTGATTGTTCACAACTTTGTTTCTCAACAAACGTACTCGGAGCTCATACTATTAGAGGTTTTACTTTTGCCCATTTGCAATGTTTGTACTCTACAAAGCTTACTTTGCCAGTAGAAATAGAATCGCTCTTATTGTCGTCTGTTCTCGAGAATAAATTAATTTTACTCGATTGTGACTGGTTCCAAGTAGTCTTCCCTGGTAATAAATAGATAGAGCAGGTTATTTGGAATCGAGGTCTTGTAGTTTTATCTGGAGATTTTATCTGGTAGTATAGTATCTCTTACCTGGAGCCATTGCACCATGAGGAACCACTTAAAACACCCCCCAGATGCAATCATCAAATAATCCTAACCATGCCATTATTCCAGTTCGTAACATTAACCGAAATGGCGGCTTGGCCCCACCATGTGTTGTAAGAAAAACTTGTTGGGAATAGGGCTCGCATTGTGGTACAAGTATAATTCTAATAGAAGCCGCAGTATTTTCTTCTCACAGTGCTTCAATTATTGGTTAGGTGTCTTATTTTCACTTCTCTACTGGTGGATTAATTGGTTGGATTTTGGATTTCAATACAATAATTCTGATGTGCCCAATTGTGTGAAGAGGCTAGAAATTTCACATCAGGTTCTAAAATTGCCAACAGCTCAGCTGGATAAATTTCTCAATTGATTTAGTTTAATTCTTGCAGGATTAATTCTCATGCACCTATTTAGAAAATGCCTCAACTACTGTTGGACTACTTGAAAATCTAATGGGACCCCATTTTTCATAATTCCAATGGAATATTTTGTATTTGCTAGCACCTTTAGAAAGGAGGCATGTGTCAAAATTCTCGAAATTCGTCGGCCACTCCGTCAATGCAACCAAATGCACCGGCGATAATTCCTTTTCCACAGTGACATTCCTTTGATCCATGGACTAATAACTTCCTTATAAGCCTCACAATTTCAACTTGTGGCTTCATAAACTCACTATGGCTGCTAGAGGTCATATGTTGCAATAGGATGGTAGTACACAAATGGCTTGTTGAACCAGAGTAACCACTATGGCCAATTGAATTTGTTACCGGTACGTAGCTATCCCCATGGTTCTGAAATCCTGATTTTCTGATGAAAATGAAGGGAAGTAAATCTGTTGGTCTAGTGATAAGACTCACATGATCTTAGAACTGTACTATCATTAACATTGAGGCCGAAGGTATCACCTTCATTTAACCAGTGCAGAATGGACAGGTTTCACCATACTCTTAAATATATAATTATATATATATAATAAATGAAGGTAGGAATCTATTAAATACCGTAATTAATTTGAGATCCACTTACTGAAACTAAAGATAAATTTAGGTATGTTCGGAGTGCATTTTCAGGGCATTCTGAGACTACTTCCATGGGAGTCTCCAGTACTTCCTATCTTCATCAATTACTTTGGCGTAGGTGGCACAAATGGATTGGCTCGTGTAGCCAATTGACTATACAACGTCCTCTCCATCCGTGGAAACACTTTGGGCGACAATTCCACTCCTTCGCTGAGCCAGAGGCCCCATGAGCCCATCATATTGGCCATAAGCATGTCTGTGAAAAGACGGTCTCCGATGACGATGATTTCGTTGGAGGCGATTCCGTGGTTGGCGAAGTAGTCCTGGATCTCTTGGAAACATCCTGGCTTCTTTGTGGGGTGGCGGAGCACCGTCACTCCAGTATCACGTTCCAACTTCTGGGCTTGTTGGTAGTCCTTGTCGTCGTTGGTACCTGCAGAATTGCTGACAATAAGAAGGTGTTCCTTGGGAAACGAGTCCTGAAGTCTTTTCCACGTATCCTGAAGTTAGTAATTGGTCATTGTGCTGTGATGATAAAGCACTTAGAATCTTAATGAAGTACCCGAAACATAATGAAGCACTCAAAATGATTCTAATTATTATCAATTTGAGTGTCAACATCTCTAAGAGCGCTTCTAAGCAAAATGCTCCACTTTACATACTTCGTACGCAGGCCACACCTTGTCATCGTGATCTTTGGCAAAGCAGTTGTCCTTGTCCAACACTACACCACGAATCGTGGCCTGGGGATGGTTTGGAATGGGGAACGGAAGCGTGATCTGGTCAAACGACTTCAAGGTGAGATGAGGAAGGCATAACGAGGGGTTGTAGAGGAGCCTGGACACGTTAAGCGTCGCACTGACGTTGAACATGGTGGTGATGGCAGAAGGCATACTCCGTCATGTGATCAAGTGCTGCTTATGCCGAGCTTATGTAATCAACAATCATGACTAAATATACCACGTGTCGTGCGTCACGTGATGAAACATTTTTCTCGCCATACACAGCCGTCCAGAGCCGTATCTCTCCAAAAGCACCATGTCTGCCTCCACCGACGCTGCTCTGCACAGCGACTCCAGCACCACACCTGCTGCTGTCTCCACAGAACCGGCCGCAAAACGTTCCAGGCAAAGAGCCAGGCAACTGCGTCCAAAATCCAAGAAACCGCACCCTGGTCCATCATCACCTACTGACGACGACGACGATTCCGAGGACTGTTTGATCTGTGCCAACAAAATCCGCTATGCAGCACTCACACCATGTAACCATACCACGTGCCATACGTGTACGTTTCGTCAGAGAGCTCTTTATGACAAGAAACAGTGTCTCATTTGCCGTAGTGAAAATGAAAAGGTGGTATTCACAGAACAGCTAGAAAAGAACTATGGTGACTTCGTGGCAAAAGACTTCGTTGATTTCGACAGCAAGCGCTCCATCGAATTTACCCAGAACTACGTGTACACGGACACGATGGATCTTCTTAGCAACAAGTGTGCGATTTGTCACGAGAGATTCGACAACTTCAAGGGCTTAGGCGAACACGTCAAGGCCAGCCATGGCAAGTTCCACTGTGTGATCTGCTCCAAGTTCAAAAAAGCATTCGTCAGCGAGCTTTCGTTGTATACGCATAAGGGACTCCAAAAGCATCAGAGTGAAGGAGACGAACGCGGATTTACAGGACATCCAGAGTGCAAGCACTGCCACGGAAAGCGTTTCTACTCGATCGACGAGTTGAATATCCATATCAGAGAAAAGCATGAGAGATGCTTCATTTGCGACCAATATAACCCCAAAACTGCAGATTACTTCAAGAACTACGACACCTTGTACAACCATTTCAAGAGAGACCACTACGTCTGTTCCATGCCCTTGTGTGTGGAAAAGAGATTTGTGGTATTCAGAGAAGACTTGGATCTCACTGCGCACATGTTAAAGGAGCACGGAGGGTTGGGAACAGCTGGATCCTCGCGAGTGGTGATTGGATCCAATTCCAGACATTTCCAGTCACAGTTGTCGACTTTCCAAGAATCCAACACCAGAAGATTCCTTGAAAGAAACGACGAATCAGAAGACCACAACTCCATTGAAACCAAAAGAAAAAGATTCGAAGAAAGAGCCAAGCATTACTTGAACTATGACACAGCCAAGTTCAAAGAGTTCACCAGCCTCAATAGTGGATTCAGAGCCAAGAAGTTTAATGCAAGAGAATTGTTCGAATTCTATGGTAAGTTATTTGAGGGCCAAACCGAACAAGAATTGAGACTTTTGTTTTCGGAATTCATAGAGTTCTTCCCCGAAAACTCCGATCTTCACAAGGACTTGTCGCCTGTGGTAAAAGAGTTATCATTAAAGGCTGATAACGAGCAATTCCCAATGTTGGGCAAAGGATCCACCCCCGCTGCTGCAACCTGGCTCAGAAATGGCAACAAAGCTAAAAGCCAGGCCGACAAATTCCCTGCATTAAGTAAGCCCAAGAAAGCATCTTCAGTACCATCCACTCCCCCCATCAGATACACCACCGTCATCAAGAAGACTCCTGTGAAAAAGGTGGTGGTGAATACCTCCCTGGCATCTTCTGGCTATGTTCCTGATTATTTGAACAATATGTCCAAACCTTCCACGCCCGTGTTGGGGTCGCGTTCTGCTAGCCCTGAAGTGGGTGGAAGCACCAGAAACGGAGCTAACTGGGCCAGAACTGGCACTGGAAGCGGAACAGGTAGCAGACCGCTTGCTGGGTCGAGAAATGGCTCCTCCAGCTCGTTGGAGGCCTCCAAGTTCCCGGTATTAGAGAAAAAGTCCACCAAAAAGGTGATACCTCGGGTCAAACAATACGACATTGCCGATCCCGATCAGTGGGGCAGGGTGCCAGAGCCACCGACTGTGCCTGTGGATACTGGTATCGAAATCACCGATAAGCGTCAACAGAAATTAAAGAAAAAGCAGGATAGAATATTATTCTCTAGCTGAGTAGAACAACAGACTAAAATAGTTTGGATGATATCTTGGATAGAAGATTGTTCTCCAGCTGAGTAGGACAATAGCCTAAACTATTTGGACTATAACTTCATCCATTTTTATGGAGTATCATATGTAGTCTCTGAGGCTCCTACTGTATTATTGCATTTGTTATCTCCTGTATCTAGTCCACTTTCATCTGCTCCGACCCAATAGAATGGTAGACTTCCTCAAGGAAACTGTAATCCGTAAGATAGTAGATATCTGATATACTAAAATAAGTGAGTGCAGGCCCCAACGGCCTTTTAAAGGAGACGATGACCCCCCTTTGCAATCACCCTAAAGATGAGACAAGACGCGAGCTGGCTAGAATCCTCGATCGACCTCAATTACTAAGAAAAGGCCAGATATTAATAAAACCCTTAAGTCAATATCAGAGCAATACTCAATACTCGGTTTTTATGCCCCAGATTCTGCAATTAAAATTAATTAACGCCAGTCAAACTATTTTGAAATTGAGCAGTGGGGTCTAGCCCAGGTCTCTGGCCATTTGGCGACTCCTCTATGGTTCAATTCCGGCTAGACTTGTCTGGGAATATGAGACAATTTCATATCCTTTGATAATGCTTTCTTTTTGTTTGTTAACAAGAGTCGGCAATTCACAAACATGCACTTGTGCGCCTGAGCGGGATCGGTACGTACGGGAGACATATGGCGTGAGGCCTTGCAGACTGGTGGAAATGGCTTAACTGGTGCTGGCTGACCCAGACATGGTTTCAAGTGCCACAAACCACATCCACAGACGAACGATCTGCGCGGGAAACGAAAGCCTGGGGCACTCGGGTTGTCTGATGGATGACTTTGGTTGCGATTATTTCTTGAATAGGAAGGTAGGCTGATTGAAGTGGATGGATGGCTTCAGCAGTGGGTTTTGGTTTGCGGGAGAGCTCCAAGGGAGTGACAGCTTCTGCGACGGCTGTGGATGCATTCATCCATGCGTGCTAGGCCTGGGCGCAATGGTTGCACTCGTGGGGCATTGAAACAGGACGTTTTGCTGGGGTTCTCGGCCGAGTCGGAATTTGACGTGCAAATGCCTAGATTAAGCTTTTGTCTATTGTAGCCATACTTCTGCATGCGCATATTATACGATAAATAAGGTGATGCGGTGCGCTAATAACAGAAACAGAACCGACCAGTTCCGGTGGAAGTGAGACACTTTCCCTATTGTCAATGGGGACGTAAAAAGCAATAGAACAGCCACTGCAGGTGACCATAGAGTACCTTTCTCCCCAGTCAGGGCCACCAGCGACAGCGGCCGGCCAAATACAACTCGAATAGCTGGATACCCTATTCGACTAGCACCTCTATGCAGCTAGCACCCTGTGTGTAGTCTGTAATGCTCTGCGCACTGCACATCAATCGACTCCGAAAATTCTCCAAAGTTGACAGCAACTACACTCCCGACCCCCGCAACTGGCTGCCTGTTTGCACCCAAATGGCCCGCAAGTCGTCTTTCCAACTCCTGTTCCCCCGGGTGTCGCAGGCCGACTTGCTCGACCGCCGCCCGGAGTTGCTCCAAAACTGCAAACGTCGCAAGACTTCCCACCACCACCACGACTACGACTTCTCCAAAGCCGCCAACCAGTACGATTACAACGAGGCCATTGTCCAGGAATACTTCGACGTCCCCAACTACACTCTCAGCCGCGTCAATCTCTGTCCCACCGTTACCAGCCGCCTCGAGTACCTCCGTTTGGTGGAGCTGCGCTTGGCCGAGCCTGTGGAGATTGTCCGCGAGACGGTGCTACAGTCACTGCCAGCTCCTCGCTACGTAGTGGATATCGGTACTGGCGCCTCGGTAATTTTTCCCGTGGTGGGACTAGCACTCAACGACACCACCCGGTTCATTGCCACTGAAACAGACACTGCTGCCATGTCGTACGCCCAACAAGTGGTGGCTGCGGACCCCAGACTTGCATCCCGTATCACCCTCGTGCTGGTGGAGCCTCACGACGCCCTCATTCCCGTGGAATCCGTGGAAGCAGCGGTGGCCGCAAGCGGAGGCTCGGTGCGGTACACCGTGTGCAATCCGCCGTTCTACGAGGACGCGCGCGACCTCCAGCGACGCGAAGCTGGAAAGTCTCGCAAGCCCAACGAGCTCACCGCCAGCGCTAGCGAGCTCTACTGTGCTGGGGGCGAGGTGGCGTTCGTGAGCCGGCTCGTGGACCAGAGCCTCGAGCTTCGCCATCACGCCAGCTTTGCCCACACATGGTACACCAGTATGGTGGGGATCCGCGAGCACGTCGACCAGATCCAGGCGTACTGGACTTCCCACGGCATTACCAATACCTGGGTGCAGGGCTATGGGGCTACCACCAGGCGGTGGATCGTGGCATGGGCCACTAGTGGGGCCGTAGATCCGGGGCCGCCAGTGTACCGAGCGCCGCGGCCGGAACTGGCCGGGGAACGGCCGGCAGTGCCGGCAGTGGTGAGTGCAGCACCAACTCCGGCGATCCCGAGCACGTATCAGACGCTGGTTGCCAACTACGTCAGCGCCCAGCTCGCCAGGTATGCACAGACACATGCGTTCGAGTACTTGGTGATGGAGTCCCAGGCGGTGTATGTGGTGACTCGCCAGCCGGTGTGGTTGCGGCGGTTCCGGCGCCGTCCGCGTGTCATGACGCCTGTGGTGATCCGGGTGGCGGAAATCAGCCCCATCGTGGTACACATGGCGTATAATCAAAGCGGCGAAGACCTGCAAGCAATTATCACTAGTTTGTCTCAGATCCTTGCAGGCAGGCACTAAAAATAGTTGCTGTCGGCAGCGCCGGGTGCCGAGCATATAAATATTTGCACCCGCTGCAGAGTACGCTTAGCAGAGACGATACCTTCAAGTACAATTGAGCGTTCAGTCAAGCTGCAATTACACATTACGTCAACCCTACAGCCCAAACTGCCAGTTACGAAACTAGGACTAATTTAGAGCGAACCACTTTTACAGCCAACAACTTCTACAGCCGACCCCACCACTGTTTCAAGCAGAGACTACGACTTATTTGCTGCCAACGACTGCTATTTAAAGCCAAAACTTGGACTAATTTACAGCACAAACTACCATTTCTACAGTCGAAACTGTCAATTCACAGCCAACTACTGCTTTAGGCCAACCACTTTTCTCACCCACCTTAATAACTCCACCAACATGCTCTCCATCACCCACAGCACCCGCCGTGCCTACGAGTTGTACTACTACTTCCTTCCCCTTTCCGTGATGTCCAGCGCAGAAAGATACATCTTCAACTCCATCAGCTTGGTGTTGGTGTCGCTCGCGTCGTACTACGTGATGTTTATTCTCCCCCGTCTCATGGCGAGGACGCTTGAATGCTTGTACTACTACGCCACTGGCAACTTCATCTCCATCAACGTGGTTGTGTCCACCATAGTCATTGGCCGGAATCTCCGCTCCAAGGCCCAGTGGGAGCCCAGCGTCAACGGCTCGGTTTCGCACCGGTAGTGGAGCTGGTGTCGTTAGGAGGACTGGTCGCGCAGCGAGGGTTCGCACCACGCCCCGCTAATTCTCCCCCATTTCGCACCACACACCGCCAGGCCCAGAGCTGGTCCCGCGAGACGCAGAGCCATCCTAATTCCACGCTACACCAATGGCCCCAGCTAGACGCTACCACTGGCCCTAATTGCAGCTAGACGCTGTTACCACCGCTAATTCCTCGCTGCCACTCCCCTGCCTCCTAGCCAAACAACTCCCAATCATGAATTGTATACGAACCGCTAATATCCCGAAACTTCTTGTAGGCTTCTGATTCCGCCACCGCGCCCATCGCGGCCTCGCTAGCCACTGGCACGTTCATGGTGATCAACACGTCTGTAGCCACCCTGGCCAACCGGATCAACGCCACCATCGTCACCACTGCCCCAGGCAGGTCCGGTTCCCTCCTGTCTCTGCGAGGGTTCTCCACACAAAAGTAGCTCAAATGGGCTGGCTCGCCTGTTTTGGTGGCCACCGCCTCCACAAAGTGGTTGGTGGCGCCTTCAGCGATGTCTTCGAGGTGCATGCCAATGGCTGCGTCGTACTCGTCCAGTTCCACCCGTTCCAACAAGTCGAAAATGACCGACTGGTCCCACTTGGAAGTGTTGGATGTCAGTGACTGGTCTTCGATGATGAACACCTCCTGGGTGTCTGGAACCTGTCTGATGCGCGACACGTCCACGAGTGCCTGGGAGGGAGAGATGGCGATGTCTGCCAGTGCTGCTCCGCCGTATAGTTGTACCATTGTGGTTGGTGTGGGAATGGATATTTTGGCAGTATTTGAAGTGGTGAAAATGTCGCGATGTCTCACCAGATGGAGGAAGAGATCTATGAATAAAGGGTAATTTGAGGAAGACTTCCTTTTATTTTAAACGCAGGTGATTCCGGTGGAAGAAGTGGCGGGGATTTATCTGTATTCGGTTTACCGTGATATACCACTCAAGAAAGTCCTTGTGAAAACCTACTCTTGAATTTAGCTGGGTGTTTCCATTTGAGCCATTGAGTAGATGTAGCGCAACTCTCGTGAGATGAGTAGCTGTGAGTTTATTCACACAAATATTCTGTGGGTATAACTGAATTTTCTGTGAACTTAATCAGTCAATTCTATGTAGCTGAATATTCTGTGAATTTATTCAGTCAATTCGTTCGTCAATGTAGCAGACTACCGTAGCCTTTTAATTCATTCAGTCAAGATATTTGGTCAAAGTACTGATCATTAATAATAAGCGTGATTTCATTCTCTCACGAATTACTTCTGTCTAAGTATCTAATTCCATTCGCCTGAATATTAGTGTGGGTCCATTTCAATTCAGTAGAACTAGCGTGCTATAGTATCCTGTGGATTCATTTCACTCAAGAATTCCCGTCAATGCACTGACTTTATTTGGCTTGATATTCATTGACTGTGAATTTCCAACGTTCCACTGGTGCAAGTAAAAGTCACTATGAAACAAGTATCTGTCTTTCTCCCCGGAATATTCAGGGCAAACATGATCTTTCCTGATTATCCACAGAGAGCTTTTCCTCTAGCGCATAGAATTACACCTCGAAAATCCCTGACTCAGTTGCAGATTACATTGTTGAATTGTGACGGCAGATGGTGTTAGAATCATTGCATCCAACGGAAGCTTGTGACGTGTGTGGATTTGATTGTGCCTTCGCTTCAATAATAAATTGCACCTCTCGCAATTGTTTGGCAATCAAATGGCCTTTCTAGCATATATGTCTCGCAAAGATTCATCGTTTCATTCCATTAGCAATTACAATACGTCAGAAACGAATAGATCGCCCTTTTTTACTTACAATGAGTTGATACCGTACGTCTAGTCCTGTAAGCTTTTTCTTGTTGCTACATTTTCGTTCTATTCACGAGCGCCTTCCAAGACTGAATCCCAGCAGTTTAACTTCTTCGGTCTCAAATTCCAAATTCCATATTCCAAAAATACTTCCTCGCCAGTACTTATAAATAATTATGTGCACTCTATCAGTTTTGACACACGATCTATTGCCACCTATATACTCAAAAATACACAGTTTATCTCTCTGAAAACATGATGCAATACACCTCTGTGGTAACCTCCATCATACCACTTCTCCAGTACCACCTCCCATCACATTTCCTGTAAAACACCCTATCCAACTCACAATCCTCGTTTAATGTGGTGCCCGCGTGGATTTCGTCCTGCACCCAGACCCGTCCTGGTGATGTTCAAAATCAATTAAATCACACACAACAACAGTGAAACACGTCGCTGTCCACACCTCAAGGCCTCCAGTACTAGACCCGGCCAGCGCCGACCCGCCACCATGAGCTCCACCTACTACAACAAGCGAAAAAGGCCCATCGTCATCACGGTGATCATTCTCGTCGTCATTCTTATCATCACCAAGATCACCACCTCGAAGAACTCAGGTAAGAACTTCGGCGAGGTGCTCCAGAACATACCCAACGAGAGCATTTTGGGGTTGTCCAACCTCATCACCAACGAAAACGAAAAGAGCCAGGACGAGTTCTTGACCAAGCTCGAGAAAATGAACTCGAAGTTCTTCCAGTTGCAAGACGAGCGTTTGAAGAAGTTGGAGCGTCAGAACGAGCTCTTGTTGGAGCAAATCAAGTTGTTGAAGAACCCTCCCCAGCAGAGCTCGTTGCGCGAGAAGTTGGTCTATTTGTATCCCTACGACCCAACCGTCAAGTTCCCAGCCTACATCTGGCAAACCTGGAAGCACGGCTTGAACGACGAGAGATTCGACGAGTTGTATCGTGAGGGTGAGTCTCAGTGGGCCTGGAAGAACCCCGGCTTCGTGCATGAGTTGTTCAATGACGACACCTCCCATACCATGATCAAACACTTGTTCAAGCAGATCCCCGAAGTCATCGAGGCCTTCGAGAGCTTGCCTGAGGTCATCTTGAGAATGGACTTCTTCAGGTACCTTATCTTGTTTGCTAAGGGAGGTGTGTACTCCGATATCGACACCTATCCATTGCAACCAATTCCAAACTGGATCCCAGAAAACGTCCTGCCAGACGAGTTGGGAATGATTATCAGCATCGATACCGACTCCTCGTCCCCTGACTGGAAGTCGGAATCGGTGAGAAGATTGCAGTTCTGCCAGTTCGTGATTCAAGCCAAGCCAGGCCACCCTATCTTGAGAGAAATCATCGCCAACATTGTGGAAGATACCTTGGCTAGAAAGAGCGAGTTGATGAGCAACGAGCAGTTGAGACTCACCGGTTCCTCCAACCAAAGAAGTCTTGAAATTTCTAAGTGGACCGGTAGTGGCAAGTGGACCGATATGGTGATGAGATATTTCAACGATTATCTTCAATCATCCATATTCCAGAAGATTACTTGGAAGGAATTCCACGACTTAAAGATCCCCAAGTTGGTTAGTGACATTTTGGTGTTACCAGTCCACTCGTTTGCCTCAGAAATAGAAATTCCAAAGGACGGAAAGATCGATGATCCATTGGCGTTTGTCAAGCATTACTCTGCAAAGATATGGAAAACAACCTAGGTTGGAAACAGGCTAAAGTAGCACCAGATCTGGAGTTTGTCTTGAACAGTATGCTTTGGATGATGGCCATTATAGAAGTGGTGCTCAATATAAGTAGATACATACATCGACAGTGTTCGATTTTTAGGTGTAGTCGACTGAAAGAATCATCAAACGGGTTTCACTTTCTTGGTGTTCCAAGTAGTATGGTATGAACTTATCTAGAATAGTTACAACAATCAGGTAGTTCGTTCATGATCGAATAACTAGAGCTTTCTTCCCAACCAAATGTGATGGTACATCTTGAAGAGTATGCGTTTTATACTTCCAACTATTAGAAGAGAACAGTATATGATATTTGGTTCACTCTGACACGAACTGCGGTGCAATTCTAAAGCTCATTTTACTGCTGAATCAAGAATTGAATTCGGGTTTGGGTGTTATTGCATAAATGAAGAAAGTATTGCTAATACAATATGCAGCATAGTCTCAAGAAATATTTATACCATTAGTTCTTCAACTAATGTATAAATTTAATGACTGAAGAAAAATGATCAGAAAGGGCCCAACACAATAAGCTTGAAAAGGGGCCCCTTCTGTAAGAAAACTTTCATTGTTTGATGATGCAAAGCTCTAAGATCACAGTCCCTACACTTCACTTCATAATCTCTTGGACAGTACTTATTTCGCTCGCGGATAACTTATGTCTATTTGTGTATTTTCACTTATTTGCACCCGTCAACCATCTCACAATGGCTAAGATTAAAACTGGCTATCATGGCTCACATCTCTTTGAGAGTGGCAAGAATGGGAAAGGAAAGGTTAAGAATGGAATGAAAGGAGATAATGCTATCAAAAATACTTCTGAGTCAGTGAAAGAGAAGCAAGACCAGTCTGCTAGTGTACAAATTCCTGACGAGGAGGATAACAATGACTTTCTGTTAGGCCTGGCAGGACTGGACCAAACACTGGGGTCAAAGAAAGACTACGAATACAGAATCCAGAATCGTAAACTACAGAAGGTAATGAAAAAAGTGAGTTCCAAGTTAGCAGCTCAAAAAGCGATGAATGAAACTTTTATTCGTGCAATTGTAATGGAAATACTTGAGTCCCAGCCCCAATGTCTGCATCACCAGACAAGTCTGCCACCAGTTTTGCAGGACAAGCTTATGAACATTATTGACCAAAATCTCTTCAGTTCCCCAAAAAGTGATACTATTCCCTTCAAGCCTTTCGTGCCCGGAAAGATATACATGAAAGAAGATATTGTTACACCAAGCACTATTGAAAGATTGGAAAGCAAGTTAAGACAGCTTGATTCGTGCTTCCTGTACCCACTTTGCCTCACAAAAGAGGATCTATTTGCCATGTACCAGGCAAAGCTATGTGAAGATCTCGCCATCGACGTCACGCAACAATTCTTGAATGTCTCAGTCCCAATAAGAGCTCATCTGGAGCCTACTGGTCCTTCTTTTCTTTTGTGATTTTTCCTCTTCCTAATGCACTTTTAAGTAAGCTTGCAAGAACAATGTACAAACCTGCTGCAACGGCTATTGTAGTAATCGTGTTAACCAGAGCGAAGTCAGATGTCCCGTGGGGAACTTTCACATCAATGAGTCCCTCATTCAAGTGTGGAAAGTGGTAAAACACCGTATCGTTGGTGAAATACAATTCGTAATTACCTCCAATTGGGGCCTTGTTATCCAAGGGGGAGTAATCCAAAAGGTGATCCTCGGAAATGGAACATGCGACAAATACCTCTGGTTTGGGGTTGGAAGCAATGGTGATACTTTCTGATTGATCAGGGGCTTGATATCTAGAATGGAGAGTGAAATCAATGCTTGATGAGTTAAAATCATCAAACTCGAACAAAATTTCATTACCCCACTCGTGAACCTTGTAAACTGGAGCCTCTAATTCAGTTTTTCCATTCTGCACCACCAAACGGGCACCTTCAGGTACTGATTGGTACTTGTCAAAAATAAGCGAACGAGCCAAATTCAAATGGTAGTATAACTTGCACTCTTGGATATCGTCATCAGATGGCTTTGGAATGCCGTTCTTGAACTTGGTGCTGAGTATTGGATGAAGACCGTTTTCAGTGATGGTTGACTCCACGGGAAAGTCGTCGAGGTGTCTGTGTCTAGGCTTAAAGTGGAACATTGTCTTGTGGTAGTTTTCCTCGTCTTCGTCCTGGTTCAAGAGCACACGGAGCCCTGAAAGGACCAAATCATCGGGAGTAGACACAGCAGGGTCGACCAAGAAAAGCCCCACCTCGGTGCTTATGGCTGGGTCGGTCTCAAAGCTGAGAGGCTCGTTAGTGTGGTAGACCTGTTTGAGGACCATTCCACCTTTAGACACAAATATATCGAGAATTGAGAAGTCGTCCACAAGGAGCTTCGTTCCAGGCGTGATTCTGTCGATGTTCTGCATGAGCTCAGGGTCCACGGTTTCGTTGTAGAGGTAGATGGTCTTCAAAGCACCTATCCACTGGGTGCCGTTGATACTGTGGGTGAATTGCTCCACAAGAGCTTGTGACTGCTCGATTAAGTCCTTTTGCTGGTCACTGGTGTACTCAGAGCTTGGTTCTACGTAGAATGCCGTGCCCTGGGTGGTGGGAAAGTTGAAGAGTGGGTTGCCATCCACTGCCTCGTTGGCCTTGACTTGGACTCGTAACAGCTCAATGAGCGGAAATGGGTGGGATTTAGGCACGATGATGCGCTTTTCCACGTAGAAGCCTTCGGGAGGGGCGTTCAATTGGAACGACGACTTGTCCATATGAGTGATTAGGCCGTCATGGGAGGCCGATGGGTTGTGGATGGTAATTCTTTGGCGGATCATGATGGCTGGCTAAGGGTGATGTGTGGGTCTTTGGAGTGCTGCTGCTGCTGGACGTGGGGACGCTCAATGGGCTTGATTGGGTTCGGGTGGGATAGCTGGAGTACTTGTGTTGGTTCCGATTAGATAAACGCTGTGGACGACATGCGACATGCTGCGACACGTCGCGACATTCCACGACATTTAATGACATTCGGCTGTGATCTGGTTGTATCACGTGATGGGTGTTGATGTGGGACTCCACCCACGGGCCCCACCACAATAGTGTCTGGCAACTCGAGCACAACAGCCAGATGGAAATCTAGGCATCTATTGTAATGTCTGCATACTAATGGGGTGTTAATTACCCTGCAAAACAAAGGGGACAATCGAACTTGCAGGATATTATGCTTCTGGGGATTGTTCCACTCGTATCAATATGGTTTTGTGGCATGCACCCGCAGCAAGTCTGCGGGGAAATCTGGGGGGAATAAGGATTGCCCAGAACCCTGCGTGAAGCCTACATGATTGTGCCGTTTTGGTGTAAATTACCTATATATAACATGGACAACCAGGTCCAGAAGAAGTGAATGGTGTATGGATGCAACAGTATCATAACGCGGGGTTTGAGATTAAGCTTCTACGCTCCTCATTAAAGACCCCACCAACTCTTGGAACTCTTGGTTGTAGATAAAGTTTGCCTCCAATAACCTTTTGAACAATGACACATCTTTATTATCTATCCTTGCAGAAACTTTCAAGGTAGATTCTATGCTTGCATAATACTCGTCAGTCTTTTTCAAAAATGCTGGGTCAGGCAAACTTCCAGTCTGGTTCTCCTGAATAAGCAAATTGTAGTCATACAACATGTCGATGATGTCGTCGATAACTCCGTTGAGGCCCTCCCCACTCAAATATTGGTCGATCAGGGAGTTGAACTCGGCCTTGGCCTCCTGCAAGGTTTCCAAGCATTTAGTGTCTGCATTCGAGTTTATGCGAGCCACCACGCCGACAATACTGTGGTTGAACGACGCCAAGATCGATGTGAGTTTGTCAACCAGGGAGGAGAATATCTGGAGTTTGGCCAACACCGCCTCGTGCATGGCGGGGTCGAGAGTGCCAATGGGGAACAACACGCGGTGGGCCTCGAACGACTTGAAATCGTGGTTGAGAAAGTTGTCCTTGAGATTGCACAAGTTGTCGGCAAAGAAGAGCTCGTTGCTGAAGAACTGAGTCAAGATGTGGGTGCAGTCTTTACTTTTGAATAATGCAGGCATGAGTGCCTTGAGGCGCATGGATTGATGCAGTCTTGGTACCGGTGCTATGGGGTACTGGTGAGTGTAAGAGGGGGAGGATGCAAGGTCGCCGTCAGACACAAACGACTCGGTGTCGTCTTCAGAAACTATCGACTCAGCATCGTCATCGTCCCAGTTGTAAGACAAACTCAAGGTCAAGTTGTCAGGGATGCTGGTGGTGGTCACCGTGGTGGGAGTGCTGACTGAGTAGATGCTGGAGGAGAGAAAGTTGGCATTTGTGATAGCTACTGGAGTCGCAGACATGGTAAGGAATAGTTGTGGGTTGATGTCTACAACAGCAGATCGAGAGGTTTATAAACCCTGACGAATGCGTGAAAACTGCAAAACTCCGCCTAAGCTGAGCAAAGCAACAAAATCAAGGCACGGAAAATGTCGCGGGGCCCGCCTTGCGGTCACGTGACGGCGTCGCCTGGTGGTTGCGGGAAGGGGGTGCCGTCTTCACGTGAGCGATCACGTGAGCGATCACGTGTCTATTAACTGAAAATCGTGTATTTGACTGCCACGTGATATGCCACGTGACTCTATCTATAGCTCGTCGTACTCCCTCCCCTTCTCCATTTTCTTCCCTCCCGGCACCAACACCCGATACTCGATGTAAAGGTTGCCGAACTCGTCGTTGTCCCTGTTCTCGTTCCCCTCGCGAGGCATTCCCTTGCCTTCCAACACTTCTATCTCGCCATTTATCACCATCTGGCCAGGGTCTCTTCTAAGCACCACTTCTTCCTCGCCTTCCTCGTCGCTGAGATGACGGATCCGCCTCTCCCAGCCTCCGAAAAGCGACTCGTTCAACGTCACTACCTCTGTCCTGTACAAATGCTCGTTAACACGACGATAACCCCATCCCTTGGAGAACTCTTCACGGAAGTTCACGATCAAGTCTCCTGGCACTATTCCTGGATGTCTTTCGCCTTCGCCCTCCAAAACGACGTTGGAGTCTCTGGCAGTGCCTGGCTTAATGTACACGTCGTAGTGTCTAGGCCCTTGGTGGCTTCCCTGGCCGTTACAGTGCTTGCAAGGATGCAGGATCTTGTTACCACGTCCTCCACACGCGTCACACGCCATGCGGATCTGCTGGACCATTCCTGGTGCTAATTGACGCTGCACCGTGATCTGACCTGACCCGTGACACCTGTCACATTGGTGCGTCTCCTTGTCTTCGGAGCCTGTGCCGTGACACGTCTCACACAAGTTGGTCATTTCCACGTCAAACTCCAACAAATGTCCGTTGTAGAAGTCTTTCAACGGAATGTGTACGTTGACTTGGGTGCTGTCGCCTCGGCGCTGGCCGCCGTGGCCGTGTCCAGCGTGTCCTCCAAAGAACTGGTTGAACATGTCACCAAAACCAAAGTCCTGCTGTTTGCGCCCTTCAGGGTCACCAAACTGGTCGTAGTTGCTCCTCTTTTCGGGATTGCTCAACACCTCGTAAGCCTCGCCCACCTCCAAGAACTTGTCGTGAGCCTCGTCGTCATTTGGATTCTTATCTGGATGGTACTTGAGCGACAACTTCTTGTAGGCCGACTTGATCTGCTTGTCGTTGCAGGTTTTGTCGAGGCCTAGCACCTTGTAGTAGTCCTTGGCGAGGACATGGAGTGCCAAGAGCGCTAGTACCGCGAAGATGGGGAAGAGCAGCCTCATTGTGGTGTGTGGTGGAGGTGAAAGTTACACGTCAGAGAAGTGGTGATGGATCATCGCGTGATTGAAGTCACGTGATTTGGGTGGTTTCTGGCTTAATCTGCCTTACAGTGCCCCAAAGGGGCAGCAGCTACCGCCAGGCTCCATCCCTAAGATACATGCCCATCTGCCAGTCCAAATTCATAATTTTGTCTCCTACTGACTTGGTAACTAGCCATAAACATATACGCAATAAATAAAACAGAGCCAATAACGTACTTGGAAACGTCTCAATTATTCCAATTTCTCCTTATTGAATGTTTCGCTTGGAAAACCTGTCATTAAGTCTCTTGTGTGATTTCTCTCTAAGATAATCCATTGAAGAGTATGCTCTCCAGTGGTCGTGCGCGAACCACATTCACCATGCGACACCCGTCGGCCAGTCCCATAAACCCCAAATTCCCAACTTATTGAGCTTGAACGGTGGTACCAAACTGCCACCAAATACCTGTGCTCTTCGCCGGCACAAATCTGTCGCCAAGCACCCGCCACACTGCCACCAGGGCACTTTCTAGTAACAATTGCTCACAGCAAATGTCGCATGTCGTCTACAGGTTAGGTTGTGGCTAAGATCATAATTGGCACGAGCCCGGAGTCGCTTCGCTTGCTAGCCATGGCCGATTGCCGCCTCGTAGAAGCTTTTCATGCCTAGTTGCTAGACAAGACGGTCACGAGGTGGAACTCCGTTAGTTGGCTGTGGCAAGTGCTCGCAAAAACTGTCTGACAACGGTATGATACGTCACCAATGCATCCCTTGACACCAATCAGCCCCACGGTGACGTCAAATCTGGTGGTGGCTAACATCATCCAAGACACGCTGCAGCCCAGCGGCACTGTTGCTTGAGCATGCGCCAGCCTCGCGGTTCCTGGATCAAATTTCAGGTCCTGACGGAAGTCCATCTATCGCCAGATCTTCTGCAAAGGCACAAGCCACGGGGAATACTGCCTGCATGGAGTCTGATAAGAGATCGTACGGCACTTTTGGGGCAGTGCAGATGGAGGTGGCTTTCTTAAATCGGAACAGGTCAATCAAGTCTTTGGTGTACTAAACTGGAGTTATTCCTGCTCCACGCATCCGCAACCGTCCTTGAAGAGCAATCTGAAATCATAACCCAGATGGTTCTTTCTTTTACTGGTGCCTGTGACGATACATTTGGAGCCACAACTATACCTCTGGAGTAGCTGATCCTGATGACTTTGGCGATGCTTCTTCAACGCTAAACTAGTGGCTGGGGCAGGAGTGGTTGCTCTTATTGCCAACAATTACGGTGTAATCTCCTGAAATTCCTGCAACAGCTCCAAAAGCCGCTAAAGTAGAAAAATCACTCCTCTGGTGCTTGGCTGGGCAATAACCCCAGAACTGCTCTCTCTACAGTGCTCTAGCATACCATACGATGACTTACATAATTTACTAACCAGTTCCTCGTTCGTCCACATGAATGACGATTATTCATACTGTTGACCTAGGCCCAAGAACCTGTTCAGGAATGGCTCTGAATTACATGCTGATAGGCCAGTAATTGAGGCGATTCTTTAGGAACTCATGTAATTTGTTTTCCACTAGCTGTAATTAATTTCATGGAACTAAATTTTGGAATTCTTTCCAATTCTTCTCCTTATCATTAGGCAATTATCTTAAAATATTCATCGAACTCTACTTCTTCTAAGTTACAGCATTGTATTAATTCTCCTAATTCTTATTCAAATCTTCTTCTTCTGAATATATTAATTAGTTTTCCAATTCCTCTATATCATTTGCACATATATTACATAATTACGTCAATCACACTAGACCTCCACCTTTTGTAGTACTATATCTACCTCCAGCTGGCACGACCCCACGTTTGAGTCACGCACGACCTGATATCACATGCGGAACCGTTCCAGAATGCCATCCACTCCATCCAAAACTTCCACTGATACCAGCATCGTGTGGACTGTACCCATTTCTCGAGGCTCTCACTACTCATATTCGCCTCTTCTCCGACATATCCTTCGACTCGACCTTTTTTCCCGCTTCCAGGGCTCCATTTCTACCCTATTCTTCCTATTCTTCCCCAGAGCCGTTACTGCCATTGCCCCACAATCCACAACCACCCTGTCAAATGTGGTCCTACGCCCCTGTGTCGATACGTCTAGTCTCTTCGCAAGAGCTCCATGGCCTATCTGGCATACATCTAGTCCAATGCGATCCCAGCACCAAATCGCTAGCAGCTGACCAAGAAGACTTCGTCCTCACGTTCAACTATTTGCCCAATCTCCAGGACTTCAACATCATTGTAAGCTCTCATGGCTCATCACAGACCTCCCAGGTCACCTGGTACCCTGCAAAAGTGCATCAGTTGCACGAAATACCCCTGCCATTAACCGAAAATCTCGACGACTTCAGAAAAAACGGATTCAGACTCTTCCCCCACGATTCCCATAGAGCCAGCCTCTTGTCGGTGGCAGTGATCAAGTTGGCCCACTCAGCACGCCAGCAGTTATTCCAAAATGCACATTATAGTGCGCTTCAAGTAGCAAATCCTAAAACGGGACAGTCGATGGAAATCATATCCAACCCGTTCACCTTCAACAACTCACTCCTATTCGCCAACTTTGTATCTCGCGGCACCATCAACTACTCTGTTGGTGGCTCCCACGCCCCAGTGGCGCATTTGGCCGATATCAGATACATGGAAAACATGATTGGTGGAATCGCCAAACAGGACGATAAATTGGTGGGATTGGTCCTAGGCAACTTGAAGAAATCAAATGGTGATGGCGATTTGCTCACTGTGGTTCCCTGGAACAGTTTGAGGAATCTATTTGATCATAGTTCATTAATACCGAACAAACTCGCTGGGGTGGCTCTTCCCGAGATCCGTCCACGAAAACTCGCCAAAAATGCCCTAAGAACCCAGAAACTGGCTCTGGTGTTTCCTATTCAGGTCAAGCATCAGCTCACGTCGTCTTGGGGATCTTGCGTGTACTATAACCAAACCACATTTATCACGAACCTCCATGTGGTTAAGCCATTCCTCGACGATCCAAAGCTGAAACTCGAAATCCTTCTCGACAGTAAAACATCCATACTATTCGAGCACTCCAACTGCATCTCGACCCCATCTCAGGCCCTTGATCTTGTGTTTATTAAAGTGGATCCCCAGAATATTCTAAAACTCGATGCATACATATCTTCCAATGAACCAAACCCTTCCAGTTTGAACGTTTGCACTGGAGACAAGGTCACCTCTTACAGTTATGGGTTATTCTTTAACCCCAATGATATTACTCCTTTGGTTTCTACTGGTATAATTAACACAATGTTGGCACTTCCAGTGGGTGCAAAACTGGGTGCAAAACACAAGACCATCACTTCAATGATAGTCACTTCTTCGTCCTGCTGGAATGGCTCCTCGGGAGGTGGGCTCTTCAATAGTGAGGGTCGTTTGGTAGGCTTGATCTGCTCGAACGCTCAGGTTTCCGTCCCCTCGCTTGAGGAAGGAACACCTCCAGCCAGTGTGAAGATTCCTCAGATCTCATTCGTACTTCCCATTGACCTCATCAACTATTGCTATGTACAAGACATGAACCGGACTAAGCTGGAAATCAGCTCCGATATTGGCAACTTGTGGCAGTTGAAACAGTTTCATGTGGATATAGTCCAAGAACTGTCGAAGTTGTAAGACAGACATGTCCAGCAGTGGTGCTGAAGAAATTGCTTTTGGTTTAAATTAAACCCATTTGATAGAACATAAAAGCACCAACAATATACTTAAGAAGAATTAAGTGATGCATCTGAATGTTTACTATAATATGGGTACTTGGAGCAACTTCGTAGTGTTTGTCTTTGGGTACTCGATTCATTTCACTTCTAAAACATTTCATTGCAAAAGAATTTAACTGAAGAGTTTATTGACTTCTTCATGAGCTATGAGCTACTGGCAATAAAAGTAATGGATCGGCATGTAAATTGATTTGATTTACGAAGGTGTATCATTCATTGAAAGCAGCAGTAACTTGAAGTAATGGAAAATCTGCAAATTAATTCAAATTAACAAAACTATCTTATACTAATAAATTGGGTTCATTGATTTAGCTGCTATCTAAAACTCTTTTAGAAATACTCGGCAAGGTAAATAGCTTTAACAATTACATAAAGTTACAAACTGATACAAGACTGTATAAACGTTTGAATATATATACTTCCCTGGTAGTCTACGCTGTTATATGACTGTGTAAACGTTTATGTACATAATGATACGCTCTGGCTGAGCATTGAAGGAGTCTATACAATTGGAACTAATGATCTGCTAGATATTCTAGTGGTTGCCATCCAAGTATGACCAGCATATCAGAAATAGGCAAACAGCTCCTAGGCCCGCTTCATCACCCCTGGCACCATCTTTGCTTCGCCCTTGACATCGATCTTGTCTCCTTGGAATTCGTATCCACCGTAGCTCTTGCCCAAGATGGGTGGAAGAACGGGGATTTCTGCCGCAGGAGCAGGCCCCAACCCTGTTGCGAGTGCTGGAGCGTGGGAGTTGTAATTCTTGCCCATACCAATGGAGCCCTGTCTCACAGGACCCGAAGCAGAAGAGCTGGACGAGCTGTTAGACATCACAGGACTGACATTATTGATGAGATCCGAAGTATTATTGCCGGTTCCCAAGATGCCCAAGGTGATAGAATTGGCTCTTCTGGCCCCAGTGCCCATCATGTGGTCAAAATCGTTGTTGAGCACATTGTACGAGTTAGAGTAGTTCAAGTACATTGAGTTCATTGGCGCAGCAGAAGCAGTGTACCTTTCCTCCTGGAACTTGGCCACCTCACGCTGTATCAAGTCGTTGATGTACTTGGAAATGTTCACCTTGAGGATCGACAAGTTGTTGCTGTTTCTGAGGACACTGGAGGTGGAATTGGGGGCTCCGTTGTACTGGTAAGCATTCAGAGTTGGGTCTGGTGGGTTTTTCAAGCTGATTTCACTCTTGACCAAGTTCATCCAGGACTCGAAAATGTGGTCGAGCTTGAGCTTGATGACCCAGAACCACTTCTGGTTGAAAGTGAAGTCCTCCTCTTCGGGGCCGTTGGACTGGATGTTAAGTTTCTTGGAGAGACAGTTCTTATTGTCCAACAACAAGTAGATCAAGTTCTGGAGAATGTAGTTGTCGTCGAACAACTCTGTGTTGTTCCAGATCATGATGATGATCTTGTTCATGATCACGAACCACTCGATGATGAAGGTGTTGATGAAGTTGAGCTGGAGGATGTTGTAGGACTTCAAGTCGATGATGTTCAAGTGCAAGTACTTTGTGAAGAAGATGATGGGGAAACTGATGATGCTCAAGTTGTTGTTGATTTCCACGGGATTGGACTTGTAGTTGAAGTAGTTGGACAACGTCAAGTTGACGTTCAAGGTCTGAGGGTTTGGGGACGACATGTAGTCGATGACAAACTGGTTGATGGGATAGTTCATGTTGATTTCCTGGAGGGTGATGGTGAGGAGCTGCCAGTTGTAGAAGTATGCGGGGATGAAGAGGTAGTTGTTCAACAACTCGTGGAACTTGAGGGGACTGTTAATGATGACGTTCTTCTTGAACAACTCGAACAACTTGAGCGACTGTGGATGGGTGGGCGCCGCAAACAAGAGGTCGTTGGGGGTGGAGATCATGGTGAGGTTGTTGTGGATGTTGATGGACTTGTTGATCAAGATGATGGAGTTGTGGAGGTAGTTGCGTGAGGAGAAGATCAAGAAGTTCTCGCCCGAGAGGTACAACTTCAACTCGTTGAAGAGCGTGGAGATGATGATGCTGTTGAGGAACTTGGCCTCGGCCTCCGACTGCGGAGGAAGCGAGATGAACGACTTGGAGAGCTGTGACATCACCAGGAAGAGCGTCAACGGCTGGGAGTCGTCGCTGGCGTCCTCGACGACGCGTCTGTGCACGAAGAACGAGTAGAACTTGGGAGGCCCGCCCTTCAACGCGTTCGAAAGCAAGATGTAGATGTTCCAGAACATGTTCAAGTTGCCGTCGATGATGTTGTCGTTGGAGGCGCTCATATTGTTCAAGTTGGACAAGATGATGTAGCTGATGTCGTTGAGGTAGTTGAGGATGATGTCGTCGCTGATCAACGTGCCCTCGTCCTCGAACTCGTCGCCGTCGAAGCTGGCGTAGTCGAACTCGATGTAGATGTACAGCAACAAGAACAAGTTGTTCAAGATCTCGATCTGGTCCAACACGTTGTTGTCGTTGTTGTAGTTTGGAATCAACTTCTTGATCAAAAGATTCCACGACTTCAACAAGAACTTGGACGCGTCGCGTCGGTTGCGGTTGGCCTTGTAGCCAAGCGACACCACGGCGTAGATGATGCCCACCTTGAAGAGGTTGGGGTGGTGGTGGAGGTGCTTGTCACGTGCGTTGACATTGAACGAGTTCAAGTATGAAAAAAGGTCTTTGAGAAGACGGTCAAAGACGTGGAAGTCCTGGGCTGCCAGCACCAAGTGGATGTAGCCAATGAGGAAGTAGTCGTTGAGGGCGTAGTCTGCGTTGGACGCGTCGACCAGCACGAGCACCAGCTCCAACTTGCGGGTGATGGAGAGGAGGTGGATGAGATCGTGGTTTGTGAGGTCTGGCTTGTCATCGGACTTTTTGCGCTTTTTGGGGTCGGGATGATGGTGGGGGGAGGTGGGGGCGTGAGTGGAGGCGTGGGTAGTGGCATGAGTGGCGGGATGAGTGGAGGCGGTCTGGGTGGAGGCGGTCTGCGCAGACGCTGCTGGCGCTGGTGGCGACTGCGAGCTAGTGGCAGCCGCAGCACGGTGGTCGTCCTCGCCCTGCTGGATCTGGGCCAGGCTCAACTGGAAGTTGTGGACCGTGCGGCAGTGACGCTGGAGCAAGTCGCGGCGCACAAACGACGACGTGCAATGGAGGCAGTGGAACGGTTTCTCGTTGGTGTGGGAGCGCTCGTGGCGCTGCTTGTGCTCGGAGCGGGTGAAGGCCCTGGCGCAGAACGCGCAGATGTATTTCTTGGTGGCCATGGATGGTACGTCGTATATATATGGTTATGCTAGGGGACGTCCTGGCCTCGCCCTGGGCGTGGTGTCGCCCATCAGGTATATATACATGGTACCCCGCAACCCCGACATCCAGGTTTCCCCTCAGGAGATTCTCCCATGCCCCAATCTGGTAGCATCACCGCGCAAAACTCTGGCAACGGTGGTCCAAACGCACAATAATGTCCCCGCGTGGGGTACATGCGCGCGAGCCGCATGGTAGGCAAGGAGGGCATTTACGCGGGGTAGCACCATCGCCTGCCTGGACGGTGGTGGACCACCGGGTGCGGTGGGCTACCGGGGGTGCTATCGCCAATTGGCCCGGAAGGGCGACTTCCAGGTCGCCGATGCTTTTTCCCGGTGTTTGGGCGCCACCCCCCAGGAGGCCCTGGGCCCTGATGATCTCCCCCACCCCCGCTGCATTGGTGCATCCAGCGGCGGCTGCTGGTGGCACTGCACACGATAGGGGTACGCACCCGGACACAAATCCGGGCTGCAGCTTCGGTGTCGGTTCCCCAGCTAGTCCGTGTGGAAATTTCCATCAACCCCAGCCGGGGCCGGGGCACCTCCAAAATTGACACCTCCACCGGCATCCAGCCGGTGTCTGCATATCCCAGTCCCCGGCACCGGCACCGACACTGTCATACCGTCCCTCGACCAGGACTAACGTGAAGACCTTCTATTCCAGAATTTCGATACGCCTCTCGTGTTCCTACCCCCTCCCCGGCCCGCGCCAGGCGCTACCCAGCGGAACTGTGGGGCTGTTCTTTGTGGCCCTTCGTATGCAAGCGATTCATCTGAGATGCAAATCTGGAGATAACAGGACTTCCTCCATGGAAAATCGCCCAAAACCCCACACAGTCCCCAAATGGGTCCCTGCAGTCCTTACTTGTGCTGGCCAGGCCCCTCCATCTCTCGAGGCCGTCCGTAGCCCCGGTTTTTGCGGCCTTCCTGCTCCCGCAACACCAACAAAACACACACCAAGACAAACTCGGCCTCTCCAAGCACCTCACGCCCAAAAACTCGCATGGTTCCACTGCGCAAAATGCGCCCCAGCACCTTCGTTTCCTCCTCTCGAAATGTGGCGATTGGATGGTGAACAAGAAACTCCTGGGCCCTCATTTCCGCCTGAATTAGCCCTCTGTCCTGAGACTCTACCACCAGGAGCATACGGTTGTGAACTTCTGGCTTGTTTTTCAGCCGCAACACCACGCCGTCGCTGAGCATGGCAGTGTCAGGCTTCATGACAAAAACCTTGAGAAGGCCATTGCCGAATGTGGAAGTTGTACCCGTGACCCCCACCACGCGGAGTTTCGTATTTCTGTACTCGAAGTCAGCAGTGGGGCGTGACGAGTTGTTGTTCATGACGACCACGGGAGGCGTGGGGGCCGCGAACTGGAGCACATAGGCCAGGACGTGGGACAGAATCACCCGGAAGTGGACCGTCACTTCGTTATTATTGGTCATGTGACCCGCGTCGCGTGACCCACTGTTCCGGATCACCATGAAGGGAGCTCCTCGCTTGAATACGCTCATCACCGAGGTCGACGTCTGCCAGAGCGCCCTCTCGCCCCCCTCGAACGCCTGCTGCGACTCGAAAACCTCCACTCCCAGCTGGAGAAACGTGTTCATGATAGGAAACTCCCGAACAGTCGTGTACTGGTGCACGGGATGGCCAAACACCAACGGCTGGTTAATCATCGTCTCCTCTGACACGAGCGACTGCATATCTTCACTGGTGGCTTCGTTTCCGATTCCTGTATCATTTTCCGGTGGATCCAGATAAGTCAGGTTCACGAGCGTAGCGAGCGTTTCCTGGCTGTTTCGCCGCCGAATTTGAGGGGTGCTGGCAGTTGGAGCCCGCTGAGGCAGGTATGTCTCTCTGGATGGGGAAGACTCCCTGTTTCGTCTCAAAAGATGGTTGAACATTAGTCACAAGACTTAGGAGAATAACAATCTGATCACATCGCGAATATCGGAACGCGTGATGTGCGGCACGTGACTTATATGATCTACACTATTCCCAAGTAATAAGAGTAGGCATAAAGCTTATGTGACCGTTGTGACTAATTGCCAATTCCAAGAGAGGTTAATTTTTTCGCATCGCCTAACTGATTATCTTTGCTTCACCCAATTATTGGTGTGATAGGCTATTCGTAATTCTAACTCACAGTTTCAATATTCGCCTATAATTCTGTCTGCTTTGAAAACACGATTGCCGAAACTGATTCCCTCTGTAGCTTGCGCTTTAAGATTCGTATTTCCAAAAAACCACGAAATAGTCCTTTTGGAATATTTAACTCGTTATCTTTTTCCAGCTATAAAAGGTATTCCGGACGCCAGCAACGAATGAAGTATCCTAAGAATGGATATGAATATCGGGAGGTAGAATTAAGATAAACACAATAAAAATATAGTAGCCAAAAAGAGAGAGAGAGAGAGAAGCATGTGAGGTTGGTGGCAGGAAAGGGATTGAGGGATGTTTCATTGCTCAAGAGGTACTGGTTTAGCGTTCATTAATAATTCAACATTTGATAATTCCATATGTTACAACCTTCGATAATTTAATTTACCTCACAACTACGCTTATTTTTAATTACAGTTATACCTTGTTTGTTCAACAAAATAACAGTTATTAATTGTGATCGAATACATATCTTGTGTTTAGCTTAATCAAGTAAAATAGAAAAAGCTACGTAAACAAGTGGAGGTCATATAATTCTTTACAAGTTGAGGTACTCTATCTCGGCCTGGAAATATTTTTTGGAATAGGAAGGTTACTTTGTTTCCTACCTGGGTCTGAACTAACTTATAATAGTGATATTAATCAGAGATAAGATAATTACTGGTGAATTGCATGTAATTTTAGACCGTTAACTTCTAATAGACAATCCATTGAAAACATATGGGACATATTAAATAGTACAAGAAATGAGATGTTGGAAAAGTTTAGAGGTTGTCGGAAATCTGTATACAAAAAATCCTATACTATTGGGAAAAGCAAAGGTAAGTGTTATCAATTATAGGTGTGATGGCGTAATTGGCCATACACCATAACTCGATGGTTATTTCAACTATTTAAATGTGCCATTTTTGGACAATTCGTTTGTAACGGTTAACAAGTTTTTACATTGTTTACTATTATTGGTAAAACATAGATTACGTTGGAGGAAACCGTTGATTGCCCCAAAAGAAAACATACTAGTTTTGGCCAAATCGACTTAAGCTCTTTATCTAAACGAGTATATATGACTTAGTACCCATTTACTGGCTCAAGAAACGTGCGGTTTATTGCTGAAGTCTGGCTACGAGAACTACAGAATATCCTGACGTGATTGATGTAAAACCTTTCGTGCCAGGCCACTAACCATCCGTAACCAAGCCGGCTCACAGCAGCCTCATCTGCCGTACCTCCCATTTCGTTGGCCTCCAGGGCAAGCCATCCGCGGGATTACAGTGCCCGGGCTGCGAGCACCGAGTCACAAAATTTGATTTGGCTAATTACTGACATACATTTCGGCCGAAACTGCCCTCCGGAATCGTGTGTTGATGTTCACGGAGAGCCACCCAGTCGGACCTGGGTCTACTGAGCCTCATAATCCCGCTTGGGCTCGGGAGCCGTTGGGTCCAATGGAGAAATTGCACCATAATAAGAAGAAATTTCCAGCTCTGTTAGTGGCTGGCGGGTGGGGCTCATCGCAGCCCAGCGGAAGCGCCAGTAATGGTGGGAGCAACCCCACTATGACGTCTTTCCCCAGCCGTCTGGTTCCGAGTCCTGGTGGGTGAAAAGTGTCCGAGAAAAACAAAAACAAAAATGTCTGTCTGAACCGAATGCCTCGAACTGCCCTACATTGCTGACTAGCTAGAACACTCAATGACCCATCATTGGCCACTATAGGACCGTCGTACCTCCTCCTCCACCTGGTAGAAGATTCTACCGTCCTCCGGAGTATCGCCCTCCGGGCCAGCTCCTGCACCAGCCCCATGCGCCAATACCAGCGATGGGGCAAAGTTGACAAATCAGAGCTCCGATAACGCACTGGCCTATTTTCGTCGGGTTTTTGGCTAGCGAGGAGATGAGTTTCGGCAGGACAATGTAGCCTGTCCCTGACAGGAGGAGCCAGCGATGGCCGATTGCGAGGAGTCGACTAGTTGCAATGGCCAGTTGTTTCTGCACGTTTTCAGCTAGTTTTCAGCGAGTTTTAGCTCGATCTACGTTTTGTGGATATTAATTAATATGTATTGATCAGACCAACATTGCCATGATTCCCCAATCTAGCAATGTGGCCCGGCTGGTGTAATGTCGTTGATTCCCGTCGAGACATACAGTATCCTAAAAAAACCGTCGTAGCAATATAACAAACCTCAGAAACAAGGCAGATAATAATATTATCATTGGCACGCAGGCAGGGCCGTAGCCGTCGCCCACGAGCTAGCAATGATATGAAACAAATGTGAAGACCATCAGACCTCCAATTTAAAATCTTTGGTTGGACTTCTTAGCCTTGAGCTTCTTTTGCACAAAGACACCGGTGACGGCAACGAAGGCCAAGAACACCAAAACGAAAACTAAGATAACACCGGCTGGCAACATTTTTAATCGATGGATAAAGAAGAAGAAATTGCCATGGGGGGTCGTCCACTGTATTTATAAGAGGGAGAGTGCAGAAATGTCAGATTGTGCGCGCACGTCCATGTCGGACAAACCGGAGCGTTAAATACCTCACTCGGGGTTACGCAGACACTCGGCCATGGACGGACGAATTGGGCCTCGGATCGACTCCGGCGGCTCGGTTTGGGGTGCTCGTGTGAACTGTGCCCTATTGGCACCGTCCTGGGGTCGCTGTCATGCCTGGAGCCATCGTGGTGGGGGCAGACACTGATGGCGAGGTTTCTGTCACTATCGGCGAATGCACCTGCTTCCGCATTGGGCAAGCTGCTTGCTGTTTTGGGCCCCTCGTCTACCCATCACGTGGCTCGTGGTATAAACACTCTAATCATAACATAGCACCCATGCGGCTTACATCGGGACGTCCCGGCACAGATCCTACCCCTCATGGTTCCCTGCGATGGGATAGCGCCGCCAGCCTTCCGCACTCCGCCAGCAAACGGCTGGGCATGTCTGACTTTCCGCACCAGCCGATTTCTGGCGGAGGAAAACGTCCGGGCTTCGCTCCAGTGACCCAATTGGCCCAGGTGGAGGTGCTGGCGTTGACCTGGCTACTTGCCTGGCCGTCGCTAGAACCTATTGTCGATTGTTCGCTGCGCTCGCTTTTTTGAAGTATTTCCGCTAGGCACTTTTCCTGCTTCCGCCACCGTTATGCACCGACAATCGCATCAATATGCACACCCCCCTCTATCCTGGCTACACCTCTACTAACCTAAACGTACTTTGGTAGACACCGCTAAATAATCATAGCCTCCCATCCGCCAGCAATTAATGGCCAAGTCCGCTTGTCTCAGCCAATTGTGGCGCCTTCTGCAGATGAGTCGGCTCTTTCGATACCCGGCAGGTGGACTGTACTAAACAGTTATATCATCATCTCATCAATACATCGGAACTTCGTGTCTTCGTCAATCGGGAGGAGGTGCTCTCGTACGATGGTTTATCCTCTCGTCGTAGATACTTCAGATAGGGCGTGGCCTTCGGTCGCAGTGCAACCGATTTTGCACCCATTCTGTCCTTGGTTAGTCGTCGAATTAATCGCGAGTTCCCGCTCCTCTGAGTGATGCCTGCTCCCTTCTTAGATACTCCGGTACCCGTGACATTCTCGAAATCGCCCACTTTAACCGTTAGTTTACAAGTGGAACCTTCAGGACTGTCGGGAGACGACTTCACTCTCGATGTGGCACTTGCCGTAGTTTTGACATGATGCTTCAACTCTTCAGTACCGTCACTGCTGATATCAAATTCTTCCATTATTCTGGGCCTCTTCCTGTTGGACGAGGTTGAAACCAGGAGTGGTTTCCTTTCCTTGTAGTCTTTCCTGGTATTCTTAGTCAGGGTGGAGCTCAGATCGTGGCTGACCTTCTTGGTGCCTTTGAAACTATTGTTGGTCCTGGCTTTCTGGGTATTCTTCGTGTACACCAAAGATTTGTCGTCTTCTGTCTCTCCTTTCACCAGCTTGATGTACTCGCCCAAGTTCTTTCTCCATTCTCGTTGGTCCACCGATGTTTGCAATGCGATCTTGGCAAGTCTTGCCTGCGTTGATAACGTGCTGTCAAGCGAGTTCATCACTGGTTCACGAGGTTGGTACGGAATATTGTCATAATCTCTGAATACTTGATCCACACTCAATGACTCGTTTCCGTACCTCTCTAGCAACTGCAGTATGTTCAACGACTCCCCAGGAGCAATCGGTACTGGCTGCGAAGGTGTCACGCAGTCTAAACTCACTTCCTTTCTCAACACATGGTCAACATCAACTTCGGAGAAGAAGGCACAATTCTGAGGTAGTTCTTTAATGCCTAATTGCTCGCAAAACATGGCTCTGGTCCACAAGTTGCTGATTTGGAGCAACAATGCGGCCTTGTACTTGTCCTCTTCTTTGACAAGGAATCTGAGTTCGTCGTGTACCGTGATGGCCAATCTAGCATCGATTTGGTATCTTTCGATGAGATAGGCCATCGACACCACCAACAAGTGCAAGTAATCAACACCAGAACTTTGGATGGCCCAGTTAATTCTGGAAGTAAGATATTCGTTCTTGTTGAGATTCTCGCTTGTCAAAGCAGCGGTGATCGATGCTCCAAGAATGGGTGTTCGGGGGTTCTCTTGATGGGCAATTGCTTCTAACGCATTGAACATCACTGACTCGGAACCACCATGGTATAGTCTTCCACTCAACAACGTCGACTTTGACGATTGTCCCTTGGTCTTTGCATAAAGCTTCATGGCGATTTCTTCTGCTTCCTGGTCGCTCAAGCTGGAATTACACTGCTTCAATAGTCTAGTCGCAAATTTGACTCCTGCTCCATAGATTCTTCCGTAATTGAAAACTTTGGCATCTCCTCGGGAAATGCCCATGATTTCGGCAGTTTTGGAGTGTAGGTCTGTCTTTTCGGACTTGTCACCTTCCAAAGTCATCCATCCCAAGGCAGTGCTTCCGTGCATTCCAAACAATGAGTCTCCTACCAACGAAGCGATCCACAATTCCTCAGAGTCAACATCTGCTCCCACAAATACGTATCCCTTGGGGGCCTCGATAAGTGACTTCAATTCGGAACCGATTCTGTTCTTTTTTGCATTCGATGCAGTAAGCCAGGTGTTTTCTGTGGCCCGTCTGGTGATGGTACCCATTGTACAAAGCTTGGGTAAAATGATTCCCATTTCCTTGTTATTTTTCAAACCGAAATCGTTATTTGCATCTGAATAAACCACAAACTGAGTGGAAATTCTATTACGATTTCCCATCCAATAAGACGCAGCATTATTCAAGGTCAAAATCTCTTGGGCGTAATTATACTCCGAGGTCAATGTTCCGTCCTCGAAAAATTTGAGGTATCCTTTTGACAAGATACTGGTTGTTCTCTTCGCTGGGCCATCAGGATGGGGGATCTTGAAGAGTTCGTAATTGTTTCCTTCGTCACGCAATTCAGGAAGGTACTTCTTAAGATCATCTTCATTTAACCTAGCTCTAGTGTAGTTTTTTGATTCCATGAGATCGATTATATCGTCCTTGAGAGGAACCTTGAAACACCAGCCAGCAGAATTGGTCCAGAGCAACGGATATCCTTCCCATTTCAATCTCAACAAAAGGGGAGTGATACGAGTGCGGACCGAAATGTTCATTTCCCGCTTTCTGACTCCATCCACGGTGGTGGTCTTGAAAAGATCCCTGTACCATTCTGGGTACCCTGTCAAATAGGCGTTGTTGGCGACTGGAGTACCGTCCTTTTTGAGCCGGGGCAATTTCAACGTCCAATCAAGCTGACGAAGCCACGGATCATTCTCTTGGTCTGGCTTCTTCGAGTCTGGATGCTCGATGTATCTGACCAATTCCTGAGCCCGTTCTCTAAGGATTTGGGCCACTTGTTCTCTATTCTCTTGGTAGACCTGTTCCGCAGTCTTGATGTATGAATCCCACTTGGTGCTGGTAGGCAATATCAATGACCCCATGTGCCTCAAGGCTCCAAAAGATACCGGATGAGGCACCTTTTCTCTGAATTCAGGAAAGAGCTTCTTGGTCACCAAGAAGGTGGCTTCGACGTCTTTGGCACAGTACGACATCAACTTCTGGAAATTCTCCACCACTTGGGCCGGATCCAGGCCGCTGAAGAAGTCCCGATCGGACTTGTCCAAGTCCTGGCCCCAATGGAACTTGTACACGTTGGCCAACGAGTTGGGCGAGCCCTTATTGAGCCACGGGTCGTCGATCAATTCGGAGGCAAGAAGGCTGGCTGCAGATGGCCTGTCGAAGTCACTGTCGCTGGCAGCCTCCACCTCTTCCTCGAGGGCCGATTTGTTCTTCTTGTGCTTGTTCCACATGGGACGTTGCTGGGAGCAGATCCCAGCCACTGCGACGTGGAGGGCCATTCCATCCAAGAAAAACGCCTGCGACTGCTTGATGTTGTACTCTTCGAGGATTCTCGACCGGTCGTACGAGACGTTGTAGCCCACCATTAACTTTGGAGTGGCCAAACTGTCGAACGGAATGAGATGCTCCCAATTATCGTAGGAGGCGTCCTGGGCGTGGTTGGTGAGAAGAGGTGACACCCAGCCGTACCAGGCCTCCGTGGAAGCACAGGTGGCCATCACTGCATAGTTGGAGCGCTGATACATCACTTCAACGTCGAAAACCAATTCGGACTCAAGGGGAAATTCCACCAGTTTGGGGGGCTTTCCGGGGACATAGCGAGTCCAGCCGGCTTGGAATACCCATTGCAGTGGCTGCGGTGGCACCAGCGAGCTCGGAGCGAAGAGCTTTTCGGCCATGGCAAGGTACGGCTGCAGCACGGCTGTTCCTATTTTGTGGAAGTGCTCGTCGAGAGACGAGCCCAAAAGCGCCGGAACATGGGCAAATTCGATGGGGTTTGTAATTGTGGTCTTTTTGCCGTAGAGGTCGTTGTGCTTGAGATGCTCGATGGCCACTGAAAGGAGCTCAGGGTGCTGTGGCTGGAGATATTCGGTCGTGGACGTGCTGGGAAATACCTTGCGGTGGAGGCTTTCCGAGAGATACTGGATGCCCACCTGATTGACGCGTGGAGACTCTTTTGGAGCCTGTGGAGCGGGTTGTGGTCGCTGGAGGCGTCCCAGCTTATGGAGAGCTCTTGCGGGTCCTGGAGGGACTAGTCGTAGCAGAGAGCGTCGCGCTAGCAGCGGCACCCGTATGGGTGCCAGCAGGGCTAGACGTAGCAGCATGATGGAGCCTGTGGCGGTGGAGCTGGCGGCGTCTGGACGAGTCTAGGTCGGAGAGGACTAATGGTGGCAATCGGCGGAAATTGACGGGAAATGGCGGTTTTTTCGTGATAAGGATGTTGGCAATCCTTCAGAAGTCCTGTCCTGAAAGCAGCAGGGCGGTAGCAGCGCTTGAGGGTCTGGAGTAGCTGATAATGTGTCTGGAGACCACTTTCTGGCAGAGTTTTCTGGGAGTGTGTGGGGCGTTTCTGGCGGAGGTGTGGAGCCTGGGACGGGCAGAAACAGTCGGGGACGCTTTCTGGACGGCGCAGGGGCTCTGATATAGCAGCAAACGGCGTGGTTGCGGCTGTGTCAGGTTTGCCTTCTGGGGTGATCTGGAACATAAACAGGAGACCGTTTGGTCACGTGACCGCAGCTCCCCATCCTGCAATTCTTCTCCTCTCCCCCCAAACAGCAAAACCACAACAACCTGCACATACCCCCACCGCTGTTGACGTGCCCCAATAATTGTTTTGAACCACCCCAACAACTCCAGCCCTCCACCAGCAGTATCATCTGTTAGACCCCTCCAGAACATCCGCTGCACTCCCATGTCTGAATTCTCCAACCTCAAGAAGGCGGACCTCGTCCACGTGCTCAAACAGCTCGAAATCCACACCCTTTCCAAGGACACCAAGAAGGTGTTGTTGGAGAAGCTCAACGCCTACATCGCCGAAAACCCTTCAGACTCGACCTCCAAGATCCAGTCCATTGTTGACGAGAAGGACGAGTTGGCTGAAGAAGCCACACTTGCGGAAGACGAAGAGGACGACGAGGCAGAAGACGCAGAAACCGAAGACGCAGAAGACGACGACGACGAAGAAGAAGCCGCCGTCGCTGCTGCTGAAGATGACGAGGACCCAGACTACAACGCACCTCCTCCCATCAACCTCAAGCAATGGGTGGTGGACCCCATCATCGACGCCTCTGAGCAGTGGATTGCTCGTTTCTACGAGTACACTGACAGCGTGGGCATCACCTACCTCGAGTACTCGGACGTGTTAAGAGAACGTTTGTCGACCACTGTGACCCTCAACTTCGTCGAGCTCTTGTTAGAGGCCTCGTTCTTCTTGTACACCCACGTTCCTGTGGTTGCGCTCAAGAACAACGCGTTGAACCACCAATTGCTCAAGGACAACAACTCGTTCTTCGCTGAAAGCACACTTCCCACTCCCGAATTGACTGCGTTGTTGCAGCTCTCGTCCCTCTATACCTTGGCTCTCTGGGGAGCCACTGCCGTCGCCTTACCCTTGTTGGTTTCCTACTACGTCAACTTCTCCAGAAGAGTGCTTGTTTTTGATGGTGCCGAAGGCATCGTGGGCAGAATCTACTCCTACGACCCTTTTATCTTTGCTGTTGCCAAGGTGGTGATCTTCTACTTTGTCGGTCAATTGGGTCCTTTGACCAACTTGCACTCATTGGAAGGCATTTGGTACGCTCTCCAGAACCGTTTCTTGATCCAGGTTGCTGTCTACAGTGGCTTCGTCAAGCAATTGGGTGCTTTCCCATTGGTTTTGGGTGTGGCCAACGTTGCAGTTGCCCTCTACTCTCAATTTGAAGACTATTAGTGAGTTAACCACATGAGAATTCACCATTCAGTTGTCAGAGGTGAACATCAAGCTTCTGATTCCAATGAGAGTTCTCGGAATTGTCTCAGGATTTCTCAAGATTCAGTTGTCAGAGGAAATTGTGCAATTTTCCACCATAAAGCTCTGCTTCGAGTGATAATTCTCGACATTTTCTCAGCTTCTGCTTCTGTTGCAACCACATGAGATATTCTCCGGATTTTTCCAGACCATCAAGCTTCTTCTGTTTCTCTTCTTCACTTCTACAAGTTACAATGTGTTACTTATGACTCTTCTCTTTTTGACTCCTACTCAAATTCTATTAATGTCCACGATGTTTTCTGTGGTGACTCTGCTCTGTATTCTCATGCTGTAATATATTGGTTGTTCATTATTGTAGATCTGCGGAATTCCGCACTGGTCGTTCACTGTATAACTGAAAGAGTTCCCCGGTCGTTGCAGTAAGCAAATGCTTAGAGTTGGCTTGTGGAGTGCAATGATATAAGAAACAGCACCACATATATGCTTTGCATCCTTTTCAATATGGCCCACTCACAGATACTCCCTTCAAGGGAGCTATTTGGTGACTGGCCACATGGTCTTCAAGCCCATCATTTCTAAATCGTTGGTCAATTCCTCCAGTTTGGCAGACTGAGGTCCACTAAACTGCTTCATGATTTTTGCCAATAAAGTAGCCTCTGAGAACTTGGAGTCGGGTCCGTCCCCCTTGATTTTCTCGATAATTCCGTTGATTTGACTAGAGGCCGTTTGAGCGTTACTCCTTCTTCCCCTTCTCTTGGCAGTGGCAGTATTGGATCCACTATTGCTATCCGAAACATTTGTGTCGGACCCAGAGGTAATTCTATCATATAAGGGACTCTGGAAAATTTGATGCTTCAAGTTGGATTGTTTTCCACCACTATTTTTAGTGTCCTTGGTAGTTTTATTAGGTAATTCCCCTGTGATAATGCTGAATTCTTCTGGGGTTATTAAGGGCATGAAGTCATGAACATTAGAATGCTGAACAGCAGGGGAGAGCTTGAATAAGTCCTTGGACTTAATACTGATATTTTCGAACTTTTCTATGTCTTCCGGTTTTAACTCCTCGCTCATTGATTTCCTGATGATTTCCTTTATCTCTTGGGAGTAATCTCTATCAGACAAACCTGAGAATAACTTGGATGATTCTTTGGATTTTATATCATTGAGCTCCTTGTAGTTACCCGCAAGGTATTCATTGAATATATTCTTTTGGAATTCTAGAAAGTGCTTCAACTTTTCGAGCTTATTGGTCATCACCAAATTTAAGTGTTTGTACACTCTATTAGAGTCTTGGTAGAATGATAACGAATTCTTCAAAAGGTCGTAGTTTTCCACCATTCGAAGTCGTACCAATTCTTCATCTCTGAGAGTATCTATCCTTTCCTTATACCTCAACAACTCTTCATCGTTAATAATTGAGTCTGTGAAGGAGATTTTTGACAGCTGTAGGTTTTTCAATCTTTGTAGCAATTGGTTTCTTTTGGCGTGATACACCTGCTCGCGGTGTTCTTCGGTATAAGCCTCGAGTTCTTGATTGGTTTTGACGAGCTCTTTCCTTCTTCTTTCCCTGTTGTTACCGTTGGCAAAGGTTATGTCTTTCGAGGGGTTATTTATGATGTCAGAAGTGGAAACCTGCAGGATATCTTCCACATAGTATGAAGCCATGGTGTAGTGATCTTGAAGCTCTTGCTGTGTTTGGGTGAATTCATTAGAATTGTCCATACTATCCAATTCTGTGGTTCTTAGCAGGTGCCTCAAATCACTGGTGGTCGACTGTACTCTTATGAACTCCTGGGGTCTTGCACTGACTTGGACCATGTTGATTTTTTCTTCGTCGTTCTTTGCATCGTGGTAATCGACGTAATCCTCGGTGCTGATTCCGTCCAAGTATTCGCAGTATTCATTAAATTCGTTCTCTCTTTCTTCGTCTGAATCCACCTCCTTCTCTTCAGCAGAGTTGGTGCTTGCTTCGAGGGCACTTTTCTGGGCCTCTTCTTTCTTAAGAAGGGCCTTTTGCCTTTGCTGCTTCTCGTACTCTTCGATTTCAAACCCCTCCTGGTTGGACTGGGCCATTATGTCAAACAAAGACCCGGCTGCGCTTGCAACCACCATGTCGGTTCTGGGCAAGTACTCGTGGGCATCGATGAAAGCGTCAAAGACGGCTCCTGGCGTCAAGTTGGACTTGTGTGCTAGCACAGGGTAGGGCATGTAATTGGGAGGGGGAAACGGGAGAGGAGGGATCTGGAGGTACACCGAGGGGTCTTCCTCGGTTGGTTCCGTTTCCTTGCCCTTTCTTCTTGTTCTTCGAGGGGGAGTGACTGACTTCTTCTTGAACGACGCGAGCGAGTACGGAAGCTTGTCCGCATCGATCCTGGGTGGCCGTGGGTATATAAACGGCACCATTATGCCACCTTTCTCGTTGTCGTCAGCGTCGTTGGTGTCTGCACGGTCCAAGGGGTCACCGTAGGCCGGCAAAAACGGGGGAAACGGTGGGGGAAACTGCTGGAGAATGCCATCCACCTGGTGGATGATTTGTGGGTCTGCCACGTCGGGGTTCAAGTCAGCGTAGAAATCGGATCTTTTTGCATTTGGTTGGATAAGTGGCACCATGGTGGGTGGAACCGAGTGAACTGCCGGGGCGTTATGGTAGAACGGAGGCATGGGGGCTCCCCAGGCTTGTGGGAGTCCCCACACACGGTTTGGGGGTGGTGGCGGCTCCAATGGTCCTGGTGGATGGTGGTGTTGGTTAGCCGCTGGCGTCTCGTCCAAGCTTCGTGGCACGGCGTCGATCTTCTGGCGTTTGTAGGGCGCTTCGAGGAGCCTTGCCAACGTCTGAGGGCTGGGGAGGTCCATGCTGCGCTTGGTACGCTCGACACTGTGCTCCATGGTGTGAGGAGTGGTGGTGGTCGGTGTAGGTATTAGCGAGAAAGTGTGCGTAGATGGGCGAGGAATAGCGGACTGCAAAAAATGCTAGGGGCGGCGTAGGGAGAATGCGAGGCTGCTGGGCACAGGGGGAGGTGGTGCGGCAATTTGCAGCTGGGACGAGGTTAGGGAGAATTGTAGGGGGAGTGGAAGAAGGGACCTGGCGTGGTAGCGGTGGTGGTGGTACTGATCTTGTTGTGGTATTGGTGGTAAGCTGGTGGTAGAGCTGGTGGTAGAGAATTCTGGCGGTGGCAGTGGTATTGCGAACGTTGAGTTTGGCTTGAAAACGGTGCTCAGCACCGAGAAAACGGATCCTAATCGTAGCACCATCCACGATCATTGTGACGGTGAATCGAGCGGCGTTGGGGCGTTGGCTCTGGAGATACGACTGCTGTAGAAAACACACTATTTGTAGTAAGAGTTAACTTGCGTAGGTGAAACTGGCACTATCTACTGCGATAGGAGCATCATAGGATTTTTAAAACAGGGTGAAACTGGCAGTGATGGACCCAGCGAGAGTCTGCCTGGTTCCAGAGTCTTCTCATAGCGAGATCAAATGTCGACAGTCAGAGCCGTGTGATAATACCAGCTGTAGCCATCTGGTAACCGCAGGTCATTACTCACGTATAAGCCTCGCTTTGGTGGGAGTTACCCTATATAAATCAGTGACTTTTTAGTGATAAATATGCCTTCATACACTCGATAATCAAATATCGCATCACACGTATACTGTAGGTTTAGATATGGCGTTCGACCACCCTTGGTTTGAATATTAGGCAAAAATCAGCTGGTGAAACCTCACTAAAATCCACCAGAGAGCTACAATAATTAAATACCCGATTATTAATGCCAGGTGTTGATATGATACCTTTTTTAGTAGTTACCAATGGTGAAACTCAAATGGTGAAACTCAATCTAGGAAGAAATTCCATTTTTAATTCTTCTTCGCTCTCCTCCTCTCAGAACTGGTTCCCATAGAACATACTAGATAAAAAGTTGATATTCTAACTGCTGCTTCTCGTAATACGCCTCTCTAGGCTTAGTCTGTTGTCTATAGGTCCAAAGGTGCCCTTCTTCTATATTGCCTTGCTACTTTTAATGTTCAACCAATAGAGTACTTCTTGGTTTGGCGGATTTCCTAATTTGTATGCGAAATTGCAAAAAAAGTCACACCAGAGAAAGGACGATAGTAGAGCCTGAATGTTATCCAACTGTCCAAGAACAACCCTACTACACTCCACGCTACAGCCACCCTCAGATATTGCGTAACCCTAAGTCTCCTGGAACAACTAAGAAGTGTCCGTATCTAATCTCAATTGTGAGCCCCACCGAGCACTTTCACCAACGTGGACCACTAATTGGACCAGAGAGCGACCACTAAATCGACAACCAATTGGACCAGAAAGTGCCCAGTTCCGACCACTCCAACTTACTTGCTTCTGAAGACAAACTATGCCTTCTAGCGTGGTCTCGGCCCGGTGCTACACTCCCGGGCTCTCCCCGGATCTGCCTCCCGCTCCAAGATCTGGAATCAAGATGCGACATTCACACTACCAGCCGCCCCACCTGCCAGAGACAAGGGAGCCATAGAGGCACCCACACCGCAATAGTAAAACAAGCATCTAATCCCAGCGCCCCATCCAAGCGCCCTTCTAAGCATACAAGCCCTCTCGCTTCGTTCTAGCCGCCCACAAGTCCCAGCACTCCCATCTCGTCCCGGAGCCCAGGATGTCGTGCACGGTATAATGTCTCGTGTCTCCAATGTCTCCCATGCCCTACTATGAAATTCTCGGTGTATATGTTTTCTCGTCCTTTTCTTCCAACCACTTTCAATCCCGCCATCATCCATACCATCCCGTATCGCCGTCTCTAGGTAGATTACGTGCTCCCCCAGATTTACTCGTCGCACCACAATCCCCCCTGTCTGTACTCGGTGGTTGTTTACATCGTTATTCTCACTGGTGTTTGGGTGTATCGGAGATTGCTACGTGATCAATCCCCATTCAGCTTCTTAGGGTAGTACGTGGACTTCGTGCCCAGCAGAACCCCTCCTCAAACACGTCAAAATTCACTTGTCGACACCCAGTCTCACCACTGCGCTGCCAAACCTCAAGACACGTCTTGATCACAACAACACATCCCATCGACCATAATGCCCCCCAAGAAACCAGCCACCACATCCAATCTTTCTGCGAAAGACTTGGTTTTGGCTAAGATGCCACGATATCCCCAATGGCCTGCGTTCATCATGCCTGATGACCTTATACCTGCGGGTGTTTTGAAGGCCAAAAAGAAACTGACCAACTTCTGCGTGATATTCATTCCTGATGGGGACTTCTACTGGATGACGGAAAAGTCGTTAGAGCCCTTGAGTCAGGCCAAGTTGGAAGCCCAGCTCGAGAAGGTCCCTGAGCTGTTCAAAAAGAACCCCAAGAAAAAGAAAAACGGCAAGCCCTCCAACGTAAATGAAGCGTTCGTTGCCACCGATGGGCTTGATTTTGATACCTTCATCAGCAACATTTTCAATGAAGACGAGGATGAAGAAGAAGAAGAAGATGATGATGAAGAAGAAGAAGGAGAAGAAGAGGAAGAGGATACGTCCATAAAGGAAGAAGGAGAGGACGAAGAAGGAGAAGAGGAAGATGAAGAGGAGGAAGAGGAAGAGGAGGAGAACGGCGAACCCACCACTGAAGCGGAAGAGTCAAGTCAATCCAAACACAGAATACGTGCACGCAAAACCTCTACAAGTTCCACTCCACAGCGTAATGGAAAACGAGTTAAAAACGAGGAAGAGGAACAGCCCATTAAGAAGACCAAATTACAGAATAACAAAGACAAGAAGACCAATAAAAATGGCAACGGCACGGCAACAACAACAACTACCCCTCCAGAATCGACAGGCCCCCGCCACAAGGCGAAGCACGAGTCCAAACCATTGACCGAAGAGGAGAAACAGCACCAATTATGGCTTTGCAGAATCAAGCTCCAAAGATCATTAATACAGCGGAACCAGCCAGTCACTCCGAAGGATACCAATGGGCTCAAGCCACCAACTGCGGACGAGTTGTCGGTAGCACGATTAATTCTCTACCGTTTGGGAGATTTTCCTGTGAGTGTGGACCTCTTGAAGAAGACCAAGATTCACAAGGTGTTGAAATGTATTTTGAAAGACGAGGCATTGGCATATCCCGACAGTTTCAAGTTGCACGAGCGGTGTCAGGAGTTGTTGGTCAAGTGGGACGGTATTGTACAAAGCTTAAAATTAGAAAAGGCACGAGCTAGTCCCGAGAATGCTAAGGGCGGACTGGAAAGCAAGCTTTCCAGCGGGCATGCCACCCAGGAGGAATCGGAAATCTCGGCACTCAACCACTCCATAACCGAGAAGAAGGAGCCCGAGGACGAGGTGACGAACCCCGTGCCTTTGAAGGCCGATGTGGCCTCGGTATAATCTATGTCATATATGTACTATTAGCTAATCGATTAATCACACTTCTGGTCACGCGAGCTTGTACACGTGATTCCCCGCAGCCCTTGCATTGGCAACCGCATCGCCCCGTCGTGTGCTCACCGGCGACATCCAGCCCGCGCGCATGTCGCGCGGTCCGATTGCTCGTACGCCGTGCCACAATGTTCAGGCAGCCACATAGAGGGGGGCGTAGAACTCGCCAATTTTACGGTAAAAATACCCGGAAAAGCACCTGATACCACGAAAAACATAGCAGCTGTATCTAATCTCAAAATGGCAGCCATAAAGCCAGTCCATGCCCTTCATACTGTGCACTGTGGGTGGCGTGAGCCCTAGAGCCATACTGTGGTTTACGCGTGATCCCCCAGCGAGCCACCCACATCACCGAGAATTGGGTTACGTAAGCCAACGAAGCGCGACATTTTTTGGCGTTGATTTTCCAAAATTTTTTCTTCAACCTCCTGCTGTTCTGAAAAAGATTTCTTCCTCTTTTCATTCTTCTTTTCTTTAGAAAACTTATCGATAAAAAATGGCTGACGAAGACGTAAGTGAAACACCGATCCGATGCCCGTGAAGGTGCAGTGAGCAAACGGTCCAGGCATTCGCCAACGTGAACTCCCTGCTTCCAACCAGCCAGAGCCAAACTAACATCTAGCACACCTTTGAGACCGCCGATGCCGGTGCCGCTTTGACCTTCCCAATCCAATGTTCTGCCTTGAGAAAGAACGGTCACGTTGTCATCAAGTCCAGACCATGTAAGATTGTTGACATGTCCACCTCCAAGACCGGTAAGCACGGTCACGCCAAGGTCCACTTGGTTGCCATTGACATCTTCACTGGTAAGAAGTTGGAAGATTTGTCTCCTTCCACCCACAATATGGAAGTTCCAAACGTCCGTAGACAAGAATACCAATTGTTGGACATTGACGATGGTTTCCTCTCCTTGATGACCCAAGACGGTGACACCAAGGACGATGTCAAGATCCCAGACGGTGAATTAGGTGACAAGATCCAATCCGAATTCGACGAAGGTAAGGACTTGTTGGTTACTATCATCTCTGCTATGGGTGAAGAAGCTGCCATCTCCTTCAAGGAAGCTCCAAAATTGTAAGCTAACCAACATTCTGATTACATTCAATGGTGACATGCTGCTAGAATTAATCATTTAATTCTCATAAATCTGGTATAGGTTTGTACAATTTATAAATATGTAAGAGCCTAAATGTAGCACGATGAGTGACGTAAGCAGGACTGGGGCCGATGGTGACCGATGCGGAACCCACAGGAGTTATGGGGGTATAATTGAAGAGGATAGGGAGATTGTATCTTGCTCTTAGCGGATGCTGAAGATGATGTGGTGGCATCTGGAATTGGAGGCCAGGAGAACAAGATGAATATTTGAAAAGGAATAAAAGCTCAATTTTGAGGCATGAAGTGAAAAATTACCGAATTGGAGATAGAGATGAGGAGTTTGACTCAGTAACTACGTGTAGACACCTGCGGAATAGGAGTAGTGAAAAATTCACGAATGGCCAAATACTGGCAACTGCTGATAAAAATAGTTGATGAATGGGTTCAGCAAGGAGATCGAGAAAGATATTGTAATGTTCAGAATGGCCAAGTATTGGAGACCAGTTGCGATGGGCCAAAAACGAAGACATCTAGAACGGAAATTGTTGTAATGTAGAATGGAAAAATACGGTAGTGTTCAGAACCGTCTCTAGTTGTTCATGGACCAAAGACTACTACTGTCAATGGCCAAATTGCAACTGTTCTTGACCAATAACAGGCCGACTCAGAACACTACCAGGATGGAAGTACCTGCGCTTACACTAGCCGGATCAAAAGGACTGGAATGAATCAGCAACTCCCATGTAGGCCTGCAACACTTGCCCAACAAGGAAATACTTCCACACCAAACGAGAACGGCGATCTGGGTCGGGGCCGCTCGCTCCACTCTTTACGGCAGCAAGGTGTTCTGCCACAGCGTCTGAACGCCGATCAAGTAGATGTCGAAGGAGGTGCAAAACGACACACAAACCGACTGATGTCAGCCTGCATGGCCCCGATTCCGCAGCAGCAACTGCGGTCCATTTCGAAGATTGCCCCACCACCATATACGAAGCCAACCCCAGACGATGCCAACCATATACGAAGCCAGCCCCATACCATGCCATGCGACGTCATACGACCCATTGCGACCATCGCTATACCCTGGCATCGTCCAGACGGCTGCGTCGAAGCCCCGGACGTTTGACACTGCCTGGTCAGCACTACCCAGCCTCAGATTGACAAGTCGATCGCGGGCATCGCAGCTACTTCCGTTCCGCTATGCGCACCGTTCGATATGCGCGGACTGCCAGTAGTGACAGGTGTGTGGAAATGGAAGATCTAGCCCAACGCCAGTGGCTGCCCCTGGCCCACCAGCTTATTAGCCCACCAGCTGCTGCCGCTTCCGCCACAGCCAACTAGCTCGCTCGCTCCACCCGTTCACGGGCTCGCCCTCGCCACGGGGCCACGGCTGGATTCCCCACCCGCAGATCGTGGCCTATCTCCTAAACTGCACAGGTTGGATCGCCGCTGCGAGCACTTTACCCAGACCGTTGCCATAGCCGGCATTTGTCATCCTGGCACCACGTATATAACCTGCTGTGTCGCTGCCCGACACTCTGCCAGTAATCCGCTACTTCAGCCTCCTCCTAGCGTCCGTCATCACCTGCTGTCTGGCCTAGCATAGCCGAGTGTTCGCACCGCTCCACTTCCGTCCTCCACTTCCGTCGTTCCGTCCCGTCATCCACCAGCCATCACGTGCTGCAAACCCCCCTGATCTTAACCGCCACCACCATTCCTCCACCACTCCAGCCAGCGGCACACCAGCCTCCTCCTCCCATGTCGCTGCCCTCTGTCACTCAGCAGCCGCTGACGCTTCCGCTGCACACGTTCGGGGGCCCCCCCACCTCCACGACGTCCTCCACCGTCTTCCAACAGCCGTCCTTTGTGGGCAACACTCCGTCCACGGTGTTGTTCTTCTTGGCTCTAGCCGTGGGTGTGTTCATCGCCACCCTCTTCATCTTCTTCACGGTCCGCTACTTCGTGCGTTCCAAGTACGGCCTCCATGTCTACCCACTCACCCACCGCAACTTCGTGGCCTCCAACTCGTTGCTCTCCAGCGTGTTGGCCAGCGGCAACAACAACGACACGGCGCCTGGCGGCTCAGGAGGCGCTGCCTCCGGCCGTGCGCCAGGCTTCTTGTCGTCCAACCCCACCAACGACGAGATCTACGAGCAGCTCGAGTTCATCCGTGAGTACGCCATCCGAAGAGGCCTGACGTGGAACGGACGCATGTACATGAGCCAGCGCACCCGGAGAAGACACAGGCGAAGAAGAAGAGCTCGTTTTGCCAAGATGAAGAAGCTCTCGGAAGAAGAGGTCGAGATCTTGTTCCCCAAGAAAACCTACCATGACTGGCTCAACGGTGGGAAAGAACGTGATCACGAGCAGAGAGACGGTGTGCTCCAGGAGGACGCCGCCGCAAAAGGCCTCGCGGTACCTGAGCCACTTGCTGAGGCTCCCGAGGAGATCACCACCGTTGTCTCCACCACCACCACCAAGAAAGAGAGAACCTCTCACGACATCACCTCGCTTGGCGAACACGCAGGAACCACAACTACTGCAACCACTAATACGACCACCACCACCACCACCACATCCGAGGCCATCGAGCTCGACGAGTTGCCCCCCGTGGACATCCCCGATCTCCTCGACTCGGCGTCCAAGCCCGAGTCTGTCAATGACGACCCCAGCGAAGAGCTCCACTTCACCTCCGGCACCTGTGCCATCTGCTTGGAGGTGCTCGAGGGCGAAGATATCGTCAGAGGCTTGATCTGCGGCCATGTGTTCCATGCCGAGTGCTTGGACCCCTGGCTCGTGAAAAGAAGAGCTTGCTGCCCCATGTGCAAGCGGGATTATTTATACAAGAACTCTGCTACTGCCACTACCGGCACTAGCAACGGGGAATTAACCAATAATGACACTACCAATAATGACAGCACTAATGACGAGAACACCAACAACGGCAGTTCCCCCACCCCCGATGCCACTCCCAACGGCGAAGCCCCCGCTGCTAACGCCAATGGTGACGCTAGTTCTACCAACAACAACAACACCAACACAAATGCAAATGAAGAAGACGAAGATCGACTCAGCGTTGACCTCGAGGCCTTGCGCTCCGATCCTGCACTCCGTGCCCTCATCCAAGAGTTGATCCCAATAGATGAGCGGGTGCAGTTGATTTTGAGAGACTCCCAGTACGCACACTTGAATATCGAGGAGCGGGCCACCGAAACTTCCAACCGAAAGTATGGCACAGTCAAGGCCATCTGGTGGAGGCTCATGGGCATCAGCAAGAACGATTTGTTCAATTGGTGTGTGATGAGGATTTATCTCGAGAACCGAGACTCTGTTGTTGCGGCTGCTCAGGCTGCTAGATCCGAAACGCCAGAAGGCGAGACAGCAGCTACTGCTGAGACTCCAGAGGCTGAACAAACTACTGCTGAGACTCCAGAGGCCCCAGAGACCGCAGAAGCCACAGAAACCACTCCAGACTCCGAGACTGCCCAAGCAGCACCTGGAACCGAGCCCCTCGAGGCCCTTTCCGAGCCCGCAGACAGAAACTCCGACGCACAACCCACCGATGCCCAGCGGAGCATTGTCGAGCAACGTGTATAGGATAGGACAATATTAGGACTATCAAGGACCGATAAGTAGAACTATTGTGCGAGAAGAGCCATGAAAAGTGAAAACTTTTCAGCAGTGATTATTGCAGAGCGACCAATCTACTACCAAACAAATTGTTTTAGATATTCTCATCAAGCTTGTATTTGGACGGCGCAAACTAAACCGATTTCGTTATTTCAAGCATATTGGCAATTTGTGACCCTTTCATTGATATGGTATCTACCAAGATCGATCTTATTGAACATTCTCTACCTGTAGTAGTTGAGGATCTTACTCATTTATATGTCTATTAATTGGTCTCCCAGTGATTGTCCATTGTTATTCATTATAAATTCCCTAGTATACACATTTACAAGTTTTGTATTATAGTAACCAATGTATTTCGAATATCTATTTTCTCAACTATGGCTCCTTCCATACTGCAATTGTCTTGCTTACGCTATCATAAGGTGATATCTCAGTTGTTGAGTTGCCAGCTGTGGTTCTGCCAAACTGGAAATCACATCCTACGCTACACTATTGTAAGTGGTCCTCAACTCACTCCAGTCCATTTTTCGCACCCAATGATAGACCTCGTGGCCCTCGCTAGACACGCACCAGTCGCCGCTAGCCATAGATCCGCCCTCGCTAGAGCGCGCTCGCTGCCCGCTATTTTTCGCCCTAGCCTCCCTAGCCCACCGACATCTCCCCCCACCCATTCCACACGATCTGCGCCGCGCACCCCCTACTCTCTTCGCAAGAAAAATTTTCAGATAGATCAACCACTTCAGACAACCGTACCACTACACCCGTCACTAACAATCAACATGGCTCCTCCAAAGAAAGGAAAGAAGATGGACATCGGAGACTTCTTAGCGGATGATTCGCTTGGAGGTACTTCGTGGGCCGATGAGGAGGTCGACATGACCTCCATCGGATTCTCCGCTGGGTCCTCTACCGCTGTGCCTGTCAATACTGCTCCATCTGGCTCCAGCGGCTTCGGCTCAGGAGGATTCGAAAGATCGGGTCAATTCGAAGAAAGAAGAGAGAGAAAGGAGTACCCAATGCCCGATGCTCCTCCATACCGTGCCAGAGTCGCCAACTTGCCATGGGAAGTGGATGAGGATGCTGTCGCCAGATTCTTCGAAAACCGCATGCAAATCACGGGCGCTGTGCAAGAAGTCAAGTTGCCACTCGATCGTGAAAGTGGTAGACCAAGAGGTACTGCCTTTGTCACCTTTTCCGAGCGTTCTGTGTTGGAAGAGGCGCTTAACATGACCATGTCCGACTTCAACGGAAGAAAGGTGTTCGTCAACGTAGCTGCTCCTCAAAACACTGCCTTTGACGGTGACTGGAGATCCAGCAGAAGCGGACCATTGGATGGCGGAAGAGAAGAGCCAGAATTGGACTGGGGCGCTGCCAGAGGCCAGGCATTGCCACCAAGAGAGAGAAGCAACAGAGGCTTCGAAAGAGCCGACAGAGGCGAAAGACCCCCAAGACCAGAGGAACCAGACTTGGACTGGGGTGCTGCTAGATCCACCAGAGCACAATTACCACCAAGAGAAAGACGCGAAAGACCAGAAGGTGAAGGATTCGAGAGAACCGAAAGACCAAAGAGAGACGAGCCAGAGTTGGACTGGGGCTCTGCTAGAGGCCAGACCTTGCCTCCAAGAGAAAGAAGCAACAGAGGAGGATTTGAAAGAGGCGAAAGACCTGAAAGAACCGAAAGACCAAAGAGAGAAGAGCCTGAATTGGACTGGGGTTCTGCAAGAGGACAGACCTTGCCTCCAAGAGAAAGAAGCAACAGAGGAGGATTCGAAAGAGCCGAGAGACCAAAGAAGGACGAACCAGTCTTGGACTGGTCCAGAGGCCAAGCCTTGCCTCCTCGTGCCAAGCGTGTCGCCTCCACCACCAAGCCAGTGGAAAAGAAGGATGAACAACCAAAGCCTCAGAAGTCTGCATTCAGTGTGTTGGCCTTAGAAGGCGAGTCTGACGACGAAGCTGCCGAACAAGAACAAAAGCCAAAGGAAGAAACCAAGTTGGAGACTGCTGCTGCCAACTTGTCCATCCAAGACGACGCCCCCAAGGAAGACCAAGGCTGGGAAGTTGTTGGTAAATAAATACATTAGCATTGATGGTACTATTGGAGGATGAGAAGAGCCGATTAGTGGCCGGCGCCAGTGCCTCCATGATTTGTAACATTTAGAAGCATATCAGCTTATCCCTATATAGATATTTTCTTCGAACCTGTGTTTAATTTATGCCTTTATACGTCTTCATGTAGGAGTGCAACTTGGCGTGCAACTTGGTGTGGTTTGAAAAAATACTTACATGTTCACCATATTCAGCTTGGCTGAGGGCCAGCCAGTACTGGCTGGACTTCGTCTGGGTCTCTACTGGGGTCTGAGTACTGGCAATATTTCTTCAGCTCCGATATCACATCATGTGCACATCACGTGCACAATACCCAAAATTCTGTTTTATCAGACACAACCACCACTACCACCAACACCACCGTCAATGGCAGGCCATCCAGATACACGAGAGGGCATAGACAGCTACTACTTGATAGACTCGTCCCGTAAGTACTCCCGCGTTTCCCGTGACTCGTGTCGTTTCAGTCCATACTAACCTCAGACAACTACTCCGCTCCAACCCCATCACCACTAGACAACCTCCTTTCTCTCTATGGATTGGAGCCAATAGCCAGATCCTTGGCCAGAACAAAGCCCGATGGCTCCAAGGGAGTCAAGTTGAGAAAGTCATATAAGAATCACATCCAAGATCTTCCAGGAAAGCACCAAATTCCTGGCCCCAAGACGCTCCCACCAGGGTTGTTAGACCCCATGGTGGCGCAAGCACCAGATATCATCAAAGAGTTGGACCCTGAGTTGTTGCGAGAAGCGTTGAAGTTTGACAAGACGTCCATCAACGGGATTCCAGGGTTCAATACAGCAGACTTGGCCATCAACGACCAGCAGATGTTGATGAGAGGAGATGACATGTCGGAGAACGACGAGTACAAGAAGGGTAAGAGAAAGAAGAAACAATCAAACGGAGACGTCAAGAGACAGCACATTTAAGGTTGAAAGGAGCAGCGATATTACTGTCCCTAATTTTTATCTACAGTTGTCTCATTTGTAGCACAAGTTGCTCAATATTCTGTCTTTTGGGGTATCGACAGATTTCATAGAAAGGTGCCGGTTAACGTCTCCCCTCGACAAGCAAAAGTACTAGGTAATCCCAAAACTCCGATAAAATACGCAGTCACGGACGCTGGTACCCGAGGAAGACTGAAAGCGATTCTGGTATATGCCTACCACGGGAAGCTCGTATTTGGTATACCAAAACTATCATCATTCTGGCATCATGGTAAACTGATGTACTCATGAATTTGAAGACTTCAGAATTCCGAGGCTCAGGAGAAGAAGGAATTGAAAGAGGCCAAGGCCAAGATCCCACCTATCACACAACCTGGTGTGTATTGCTTAATTCTCATTAGAGCTTGCACCCTCTCGAAGATCATATTATCACAGATCTCGCTAGTCATTACATATTTCTCATAAATATTGCTCGTGGCTATAATACATATATACATATACATTGTAACAGATCCTGAGACAAGAAGCGTTCTCACTTTCCAAGGAGAAGTACTCTCTCGTCAGTAGCAGAACTGTCATTTGTTTTGGACCGTGAAACGTAATATCGTTTGTGGTTCATAGTTGTAACTCTTCGAAGTTCATTCGACTACGCTCATGACTTCGTTTGTGGTCCGCAGTTGTAGCTCGTCGACTGGTGTGAATCTGACATATCTTTTCAATGGTTTCAAGGGTTTCATCAATTTCTTGGACAGCTTCTTCTTGACAGAAAACTTATTCTTCAAGAGCTTGCCTGAATGACTTAACAAGGTCTTAATCACCATTTTTTGTAACAAAGTAGATACTTCCAAGAACGACAAAACCTTCTTTTGAATGATGAACTCTGGTAAATGGATTGAAAAGTCTTGGACATTCAACAAGCGCTTGTAGCCCTTGTTGAGGCTGATAGAGATCAGGAGGGAAATAGGCTGAAGTTTGAACGAAACAAAACTGAAGTACTTCTTGGATCTTTCAATCATATTATTGATTTGGTCCTGATATTCATTGTCGACCAAGGACGAGGAAGAGTTCAGTGAAAAGTTCTTGGAAAATCTTCTCCGAGAAAGCGATCTCTTCGATTCACTTTTCTCGTCCTTGAGCTCTAAATTCTTATCGAACCTTACCTTTGACTCACTCTCAGAATCAAAGAGTCTGTCTTCAATTTCACCCTCGTACTCTTCTTTCTTGTTGATTCCATCGTTGGCTTCAAGGAAACCTCCATTCAAGCCTGTAGCGTTCAAACCATCGTCATCTTCGTCTTCGCTGTCTCCGTCATTTTCGCGGTTGACAACAGTTAACAAAGGACTTTCTTCAATATCGGTGTCGCTTCCAAATATGAACAACATCAACTTCTTTCCTGTAACTTCGTCAATCTTTAAGCTGAGGGCTTGAGATGAGATTTCGAAATTCTCAATTATCTTGATACCACCGACTGGCTTATTCATAGTCCAGTCTACAGTAATCAAGTTCCCGGGCTTAATCTTATCCACATTCATCGGTTCCAAAAACTCCTGGTACTTAGAATTTTTAATAAGATTGAACCCCTGGATCATCCCAATGTCAAGTTTGTTATCGTTGGACCCGTCCTCATTTACAATTCTTCGGTATGATCCCTTGGCCAACGCAATGTCTAGGATAGGCGTCCTATCATCTTCCAACATATGGAGAATGATCTCGTCTGCTTTGAAAAACCAGTTGGCCTTGGGTTTGGATGATGATTGATCGTTGTAGAAGTCACCTGTCAAGATGCTGTGCATCATCAAATATATCTCGGTGACAACTTCTCCCTTTTCCATGTTCAAGAGGAGGAAGTTGTTCAACTCTTCATTGGTCAATGTGTTTTGCCGGAAGCCATAATTCAACATCAACATCTTCAAGATGTTGTAGTAGTTATGGAGCTCCTTCAATCTGGAGTGAATAGAAGTGAGGTCTTGGAAGTCAATTGAAAATTTGAGCTTTTCAAGCTTTTCACTGATTTCTTTGCTCATGGGCTCGGTGTAGAAGAGGAGGCTCAAGACGATGATGTAAAGCGTGAAATATTGCTTGGACGTGGATGAAATGATAAGCTTGGGGAAATCAACAAAGAGCTTATCAACAGGCCCGATTTTGTCACTGGCACTAACGTCACTGGCATTTTCACTATCATCATCTTCACCTTCATCTTCATCTCCTTCGCCCTCACCTATTCTTGCACCCAATGGTTTGATCTGCTCGTACATAATCATAAGTGACGTTTTTTCAACCAACAATTTGTCTTCTCCGGCCCATAATCCATTCTTGCAGATTTCAATCCCAAGCCATGGTGGCCAGTTCGAGCGAGCTCCATAGGTGTTTCTGCTCAAAATGCCGAGATTGGAGCCCACCACGTCTTCTTTCTGTAAAACAAAAATGTTGGCATGCTTCATCATGATTCCGAATCTGGTAGCAAATTCTTTGGAGTTGTCAAGAGTGCCTTCGCTATTCTTGTTCACCACAGAAACAATCTTCGAGTCGATCTTTGGAGTGGAAATAAGCACCACGGAATCAGGCTCATCGTCGCTTTGTAATTGGATCTGTGGGGAGATTATTTCAATCCGATAATCCTCGGATATGCCCTGAAACTCGGGAACATCTCGGAGAATTTGGTCAAACCTCTCTAATCTCTCACTTGAAGAAAGCTTAGACTTTTGATTTTCTGGATTTTGTGAAGGGTAGGACGAATTGCTTTTGTAACCGGTAGACAAGCTTGGTACGTCTTGGTTTGAATTCTTCTCCATGATTTCTTCAATTGCTGCGATGGATTCGTATGAAAGGTATTGCCTAAGAAATTTCTTGAGTTGTACAAAATGAATATACTTGAGGAGATAATTTCTGTTCTTGAAGTTCCACTTGAGTAGCATATTGATGAGGATGAATTTGTTATTGAAATGTTCCTTTGAATCCATTCCTGAGGTGGACGATTCAGAATGAGCAGATGCCCAAGATTCAGAGGAAGCACTATCAAAGCCATCATCATCAAATTCAACATCCCGGCTTTGCTGTGGCCTTTCAACCAGAACACTGGTTGATCCACCAGATTGTACCACAGGAGCTTCCAAAGTTCCAACAAATTGCTGAGCTGAGCTCTCATTCTTTTCCAACTCGCTAATATTGCCTGAGGCTTCCTTACCGGAAATAGCCAATGCATTGGACGAATTGAAAGGTTCGCTTCCATGCTCACCCTGCTTGTTTTCAGACTTTTGAGCTATGCTTGTTTTCTTTGATTTTTGGCTCTTAGGTTTAGAAGATTGATTTTGAAGCTTTACCAACTCATTTTGAAGAAAGTCAACTCTCTTCTGTAATGCACCCATAGGAGCACCCTTACGTTGGTTCTTACTAATCTGCTCCTTCAATTCTTGCAATCTTTCTTCCAAGGATTCGATCTGGGGTTGGAACACATTATTAGAGTTCAAGGAACACTTGTGCGTGTCCTCGTCACCAAATGAATCATCTTGCTTGTCGTCAGATGAGGTGTCTCTGACATAGGAAAACCTTTTGGCATACATCAAAGGATAAATGCTAAAAGTCCTTGGACAATTTCTCAACGATAAGGAAAATGCTTCCTCAAAATCTTGTATGTCGAACCATCTCTTGTCATTATCAAAAATCTTGTAGTTATTCCTCTCGTCATCGTCCTTCAATTGGTCGAACGAGTTATTGTTGTAGATATCTTGCTTGAAAACTGCGTGTATAACCCTTAGATCGATCTTTGAAAGATGTACTTCTCCAACATTAAAGTTCATTTTCATGGCCTTTTGATTTCGAGACAATTCTTCGTGAACCTGGATGACGGACTCCTTTCTTTGATGCAAGTCGACTGAGAACTGATCAATCATTGCTCTGATTCCCACAAATTCAATTCTGTCGCCATCCTTAGAAATCGATTCGTCCTGATAAATATGAGACAAGAACAACAATCTAAAATTAAACTCGAACTTGTTGGTGTACAATAACTGGGAAAATTTCAGAGCTTTCTGAGTTTCCCCGAACATCTTCCCTCTTCTTATTGGTAAGGACATGTTCCCTGAGAATAATTTCCACCATCTGAAGAATTGAAGGAATGTCTTGGGGCTGAGGTGGATCGAGTTGTAACTGGATTCTCTGTTTGCATTGAAAGAAATGGCCATATGAATAAATTCACTCCTGAATCCTTTATAAGAATCGTGGTCTTTTTTGGTGAAATCTGGATTAAATAACTTCACGTCATAATGAGGCTTGCATTCGGACGTTCTTTGGCCATCTTTATTTTTTCTCTGAAGCAAAAACCCTACTCTGAAATGTACTCCTCCACTTAAATTGACAACGTTCTTTTCTAGTACGTTCGAGCTAAATTTAGACAGAGCTGCCTCCATGTTGTGATCCTGAAGATAATAGCCGAAACAGGAGGTGATAAATGCCTTGGAGTCTGGGAAATAGATAGCTTTGGAACTTTCACGCGTCCATGAAATTAATGGCGCTGCAAGGTAGTTGGGAATGTACCACGACAAGTTTTCGGACTCGATGTCGAAGAACAGCCTCGAATCATCATGCTCATTGATCTTCCACACAACATCATCCTTGAATGATAGAACGAATCCTGAGGATGTATCAAATAAATCATAGGGGTCACTGGAGCCTTTGAAAGCAACTTCCAAGCTCTTTTTGATTCTGATCTGGCACTTTCCATGCATGATTAATTTCATCTTATCCCAGAACCCAAGCTTGACTGATGGGTCCACAGGAGGCTTGGAAAATTGATCGAAATTGAGCATAGCTTGCTGAATACCAAACTGAAGCGATTGACCCCATACAAACCGAGCTGGTAGGTCGGAGTCGAAGTCACACTTGAGTTCGGTGAAAAGCTTGACAGTAGACAAAGATTTTGCTATGGTAACTGCATAGAATTTATCCTCTTCACTATTCTTGACATTTAACGACAATGGAACATGATTGTTTCTTACATGCTCTTTATCTTTGATGAGTTCTTCGGTAATGATCAAATGGCCCTTCAACGAAAGACAGGGTCTCTTAGAACTGACATTTTCAGGAACGTACAAAATAGGCAATGGATAGTCCCTAAGATGCATCCTCAATTCGTCCAACTTAAGATCCATGTACATCGGCACATTCAAGGAGTACTTCATATCCTTCGGCATACCTTGACCCAAGTCATGGAGAAATTGTGGAAGGTGGTCCCACTCAAATTGTGGTTTGCGAATTCTCAAATCCAACCGCTTCATCATGATGAACAAAAGTGGTGCGCAACTTGGGTACGTAACTATGCCCTCGTTGTACAGCTTGGCAAGAGTGGCTTCGTTTCCAAATAAATGCTTCTTGTTTTCAATCACTTCCTTCTTCAACTCTGCCTTATAAATCTTGACTTTTCTGATCCAAGACATCGAGAAGTTGTGGTACAAGTTTTCTCTCTCTTGGGTCATTGGATGATTGGCCTTGGCCGCTTTCGATTCGAATAAACTCTCCTGTTCGATACGCTTTCTTTGTTCAATTAACCCCAACTGGTAAATCATGTTGAGTTCACTTTCAAATGGATCGTCCTCCATGCTGAATGCAAGCTTATTGGATCTGATCCGAAGCTTGGGCATTTTCACGGTTTTTGATTCCTTGGGTTGAATCACCTTGTGACGGTTGTTGGCTTCGAGCAAAAGACATTGGACAATATATTTCATGACCTTTATGGTGGCAGAAAGGTTGTCGAAAAGTCTATGGGCAACAAATCCATGAGGTTGAATTATCCGGATGGAATCAGTGTGAATGTCAATCTTTTCTGCCGAATTTGGATCGTTCACAACCACCTTGAGATTATCAGAGCACAAAATACGACACCAACGGTTTTTAACCAATGGGGATTCCGTCAAACCTCTCAAGAATTCGTTGTTGACCGTTACGATTCCATCTTCAAAGGTGATGAAAGATTTTAGGATCTGGAACTTGGTCTTGAAATCATCTCCCAAGTGCGCCAAAATAGAAATGTCATGAATAGTAAATTCGACAGTGATGAAATCCTTCAATTTCTTCTCGTAAGTTGGGTTGGGCGATAATGGCTGGGTCAGATACTTCTTCAAGTCACGCTTGAACTTCCCAAGCATTTCTTTAATGGGAACGAACAAAAATTCCCTCATAAGGTAGAAGGCCCCGATCAACACAAATGCTTTGTATCTATCATAACTGACCCTGAACTGGTCCATGCTCATGTCGACCTTCAACTGGTTCTGATGCAGTTCATTCACAATGGCCTGGATGTTGAATGTGATAGATGGCAAGCTCAAAAATGTAGCCAATTTTGACTCCTTTCCCTGTAAGTTAAGGTACATAGAAGTATTCAAATTACCTATCTTCGATTGGACACCCCAGTAATGTGATTCATTGAATGAAGGGGTCAATGTCTCCAGCGATGCCGTGGAGGTAGTTAAAACGGGAACAATGTCATCGAAGTTGGGCTCATGGAATTCTGACATGTCGTTGTTGTTAAGAGTCAATGAAAACTCATCCAAGCTGAATTTGACGTATCTCAAGCCATGGTGGTCGCGAGTTAGATCGTCATTAAAACCCTCGCCCATTTTGGTGATGAACTCACGAGGAATTAATACCGACCTCGACCCCAATAAGATATTGACCGATCTCAAATCCATCTGGCATTCCAAAATCCAAGCAGGGAGATACTTGAAGATCTTCTCTTCCAAAGTCAGCTTTATGGGAGGATAAATTGGCCTATTTTGGAATAACGACTGTCTGACCCGAACGATCTCTTTATTCAAGAAGTCGTTGATGACTCCTATACTCAAGTCTTTTTCGGCCATTCCCACGATATCCTTAAGGAAATTGTGGATTCCTCTAAGAATATCCAACTTGGTCAAGTCGATCACCGCCTCCTCGATTTCAGCCTTACACTTGAACTTGAGGTTTTTGAGGATTTCGAACTTGAAGTCTGCCTGCTGAACCTTGACAATGTTTTGGTTGATTAGTTCTTCGCTTCTGGTGGCTGTCGATTTGAGTGCTTTCTCGAGATAACGAATAGAAGGACTGAGAATCTGACAGTTTGAGTCGTAATTTCTGGAGTCCGTGGTGTGGAGATGGAAGTCGAGCAAGGAATATGAGAAGTTGAGGATCTGGACTTTTTGGTTGGGGGTATCGTAGTGTCTGATAATAATTCTGGGTTGCTCCACGATGAATTTGAGGTCCAATCTTGGGTAATAGTCATTAAGGAGCTTGAGGATATATTCCCTAATTACCGTTCCTTGTGATACAGGTGGGCCAGGCTCTGGAATATTGATGCTTTTAGGAGGAACCGTAGATTCTTGTGGTTCATTGGCACCGTCGTCCGAACCCTCGATCATGGTGGCATCCTGGCTCTCATTCTCGTCGTCTTCGACAGGTTTAGGTGTTTTTCTGGATATTTTCTTCACGCTTCTCAATTTCATGAACTTCTTGAACAACACCAAATTGTAGAAAAGCTCGCTTACTTGGTGGGTGTCCAAGTCCAAAATGGGGCTCGAAGCAGATGCAAACAACTCTAACACGCAGTTCTTGAAACCGTCGCCTCGGACCAAATGGTCGAAGATATTTGTCTTGTATGTGAAGGACCAGTTGGGCACATTGAGCACTTCGTCGGAGTTTTTGGCGATATGGCCATTGACATCCACAAGCTTGGAGAAGTGTAACCGGAGCAATTGTACCGACGAGACGTAATGGAAGGGGCTGTCGATCAATGGGTCGAAAACAGCCTCGAAGCCAGCAGCGTCCTTTTGCAATTTCGAGATGTTGAAAAACGACGATTTGATCGATAAATCTAACGAGGTCTTGGGGGTATCGGAGCCAAAATACTGGGAGAAGTCCTGGTTGTCGACGATGGTGGCGAAAGGGATTTCCACCAAGTTGATGTTCTCGAGGTGGATGGAGATTTCCGACACTGTTCTGTGAAGTTTGCTGTGGAAACGCAATAGGCCAGCTATGTGTTTCTTGGAGAAATCTCTGGAGGGAGGTTGTGGATTTTGGGTTTGTTGTTCCGGTTCTTCATACTGATACTCTTTGGCTTGCTGTGGCTGGTTTTCATGCTGGTTTTGGACCTTTTGGACCAGTTTTTCATGCTGATGCTCTTGATTTTCTGTGGCATGTTTCTCCTCCATGGCCTCGTACAAGTCGATAAGGAAGTACTTGATCACGCTGAACGCCAGCACCGTCAAGTCGTTCATGAAGATTCGCAGCTTCAAATCGTCGATGACTCCCGAGACGGTGTCGAGCTGTAGTTCCACTTGAACCTTGAAATTGACGAGCTCCACCGGAGTGCAGCTGCCAATGGCATGCGAGGTGTTGTTCAACACGATTGTGGTATCGTAGCGGGCCTTGTGGGGTTCCCACTTGGTGGAAGTCGACCCCAAGGTGAATTTTGCGTACTCCACAGAGACATGGTGGTCTTTAGCGAGCTCCACCGACGAGTTTCGAAGCTCGACGTCCACGAATGGGCAGTGGCAGGCGATATACCTGACAATGGCTCGAGGAATGGCTCTTCGAGGGAACACTTCGAATTTTGCCAGTGGTGGCTCATGATGAGAGGCCCGCTTCTTGCGGCCACGGACTCGGCTACGACCGGAATTTCCACGAGAAAAGGTCACCACCAAGTCGTCAAGGATGATCTTGCGGGTATTGCCCCAAAGACGGAACCGGAGCGACCCCAACAGCACGTTGACGGTGCTGGAGGTGTAGGAGATGCCATTGAACAGAAAGCCGTTGTTGATGGTGAATGACGAGAGATGGAGCCCCGTCACGAGATACACGGCGTACCAGAACGCAATCCACGACAATATCACCACCGCAAGGTAGTAGCCTATGGTGTTGGTGAAGGACATGGTTGTGGGTGCAATTGGTGCAGGTGAAGGACAAACAACGAGCGAACGACGGGCTTATGAGAGCTTCGGGACGGACGGGACGATTGGCGGCAGGAACGCGATGCAGACAGCAATGCGGGAGGTGGGATTGTTTGTTTCGTGGGGCCGTTGTTGGGGATGAGACGAAATTGCTGCGGTGGAGGCTGGCTGGGTGCGGGACGAGGGGGACCAGAAGGGCAGCAGCGGGCCTGAATGGGGACTGGGGCGAGGATGTGGTGGAGGGGGGTGGAGAGGGGGAGGAGGCGTGGCTGGGGAGTGTGTGCTGGCGTGGCCGGGGAGTGGTGGTGGTGGTGGTGTTGATAGACGGTACCGGTGGTGGTGATGGGCCTGGTTACGTAAGCCGATGTTGACAGTGCGCCCAGTACGGGCTTCCATGGGTGGACCCCGCAGGATCGAGTTTGTGGCGCATGAAGCGCCGGAGCAAGATTGCGGGACCCGCATTGGGATAAATGGGTCACGTGTTGCTCACGCTTCGGCGACTAGGGCTCAGCCCTCGTCCGGTGCGGGCACGCTGCACCCATCACTTCCTGGCTCCTGTGTGCGGCCGCACTCATCTCGCACGTCGTGTATCGCCCAGGACGCTCACATGACCGTGCGGCGCGCGCCCGACTTCCCGATCGAGGCCCGCTCCCATGCTCAGGCCCCAGGGTGGTGAAAATTTTTAGTTACTACTTCCAAGTCTTTTTGTTTTAGCTTACAACACATCATCAAAAGTATGTACAATCATCAGACGTCGACACAGTGGAAGAGTCCTGGCTATCCCATCAGATCATCTGTGGCTGGCAACTGCATTCCCACCATGAATTGGTGCTGACTCCTCAGCTCCTAGTCCAAAAACTGGCAGAGATGGCCAAGTTGGAAATTTTTGATAGCCATGGACATAATTGGTTGGTCCTCCTCCTCTGGCTCACTCCTCCACCACCGTGGCATAAATCCGAACATTACTAACCTTTAGTGGCTGCTTCTGTCCCACATCCAAAGATTGTTAAAAAGTACACCAAGAAGTTCAAGAGACACCACTCTGACAGATACCACCGTGTTGCTGAAAACTGGAGAAAGCAAAAGGGTATCGACTCTTGTGTCAGAAGAAGATTCAGAGGTACCATCCCACAACCAAACATCGGTTACGGTTCCAACAAGAAGACCAGACACTTGATGCCATCCGGCCACAAGGCTTACTTGGTCAAGAACGTCAAGGACTTGGACGCTCTCTTATTGCACACCAAGACCTACGCTGCTGAAATCGGTTCCGCCGTTTCTGCCAGAAACAGAGTTGAAATCGTTGCTAAAGCCAAGAAGTTGGGTTTGAAGGTTACCAACCCTAAGGGTAGAGTTGCTTTGGAAGCTTAAGTGATATAATTATCTAAATAATTTGGTGGTTATTCACACTTCATAATAAAACACAATGTACATTTACGTCTTGAAAGCTGTAGAAAGTGGTTATCACGAGTCTTTGATTATCGTACTCCTGGGGAAGTAATTTCTGATCCTCTTTGCATGGAGATTGTAGTAACACAACTCTACATTTTAAGTACTTGATTGTACGCAGTAATTTTAATCGCATCTCTAATTTATTACATCACAAGCTGGACTTTTTACTCTACTCAACCCAACTAATGGTACAGCCCTTTCTTCAATACTCACTTCACTCAACCCAAGTAGCGGAACTCAGCACGTACAGCTAAGTCCCTAGGTCTACAATTATCTGTGAAGATCGGAATATATTGGAACAAACTATCTAGTAATGCATAAAAGAACCTGCCTTTGATGGCCATCGGTGCGTTATCTTCTTCTTGACATGGACCCAGATACGGCTATTGTGCTAGTGTCTAAGTGATGATGTTTTTTGATTTTGTAGCCGAGCTCACACAAGCCATTTTCGTCGATCTTCAAATCGCTGCTGTTCTTCAATGGCTTGTGGTTGGCTTCGACAAGTGATTTCTTGGGTGAGGCGGTTTTGATTGAGGAATCGGACGAGCCAGGCTTTTCGGGTTTTGGTTCGGCTTCGGATTGTGCCTGTTGCTCGTCCCTCTTGATTTCTTCCTTCTCAGCCTTGGCCTCGTCCTGCTCCACGTCTGATTCTTCCACTACTGGCAACTCCTTAACGTTCTCCTTTGAGGGTTCTGAGACAATGTCCAACATCGAACGGGCCCTGTGAGGCTCACTATCTGAGTGCTCTGCACTGTGGCTATTTAAGAATTGGCCGTTTTCAAACTCGGAAGAACTGCCTGCTCTTGGGCTGTTTGGCGGATGGTTTTCCTCTCTCTTCAACCTCAACGGAGTCTGGCTCAATGATGAAGCAGAATGTATGGAGTGATTATCGCCATCATCGTGTGCGGCTCCCAAATCCAACATACTTCTAAACGGAGTGCTGATGCCATCGGACTCTTCTGCATGAGTGAAAGTTCCCCTTCTTGAGGGTGCCTGGGAGTTATTTAAGGAATTGGTGCCAGAGTAGGACAGAGTGTTCGTGTATGGGCTGTTTTGGCCAGTACCAGGCAAAACGAAAGGATTGACCAATTGATCAGGGTGTTCATAAAGACACATCTCCAAGGTCTGGAACCAAGGGTCATTGAATAACATTTCCAAATCGTATCTTCTGCTAATAGAGGGGTCACAGAGTTTCCAGGCAACACGAGAAGCACCTGTCGATTGGAATTGGCTGGCCCATTTAAACTCGGAACCAGGTCCCTTGGAATAGTCCTGGTTATTCTTGAACACTGGATGGTCACTGGAGAATCTATCGTGGTTGAACTTATAATCTCTGTAGGCATGGTCATTGACCGAAGCACTTTGAAATGGAACCCCACAATATATAATACAAAAGAGCAACATACCCAAGCCCCAGTGGTCCATCTTGAACATATCGTATGCACAAGCCTTTGCTTCGGTAGAGGACTTTTCTCTCAAGATCATCACTTCTGGAGGAGAGTAGGGAGGAGATCCCACGTAGGCGGACGATTTCTTGATGGCAGACGCAAAATCGCCAGGAGTCTCGTGTCCATAATCACTAACACCAAAATCGCACAACTTGGCCACTCCATTTGCATCTAGCAAAATGTTTTCTGGCTTCAAATCACGATGGACAATGTCCATATCGTGCAAGGCCTTCAAGCCATAGGTGATCTGCTTGAAAATACAGTATCTTTCGTTCAAAGGCGTACGTTTCCATCCAGACTTGACGATGGTGCTGAAAAGGTCACCACCAGAGCAGAACTCCAAAACGATACCCCATCCTCTGGTCATATTCAGCTGCGATTGAATGCGGACTATGCCCAACACCTCAGTGACGTGCCTGCAAGTGCTTCCCTTCTTTGAGAGAATAAATTCCTTGACCACACGCTTGTAGAACTCGTCCTCTGTTTCCTTCGACAACACCTTGAATTTTTTCAATGCATACACCTCTTTCTTGTGGTTGATTGCGTTCACAATGCGGACCTCAGACGATCCTCCGTCTCCCAACCGTTTGACGCTGGCATCGATCTCGAAGTCCTCGAGGAGATTGACATGCTCCTGGTGGTACTCTGCCGGGAGGTAGTCGTTGGGATCAGCGACTGGGTTGCTCAACACACGAGCCCCGTCCTCGGCTCCCGACATATAGAACGAGGTGTTCTTGGGGGTCTGCTGGCTGGGGTTCTTGTTGATGCCATACGGGTTGTAGACAATCTTGTCGCCGTGGGCTGAAGGCACCAGGGGACCGGTGGTGGGCGACGGAGGGGGTCTGTACTGGGCACGAGCCGCGTTCTTGTTGTTGATGGACTGGAGGTGAGCCACGGTTTCGGCCTTGGAGAGCTTCTTGACCTCCTTGGGCTGCTGGTGGGGTTGCTGGCCGGGCAAGAGATTCTTGAGGTGATGGTGGTGCTGTTCGCTGTTGGAACGAGCACGGGTGGTGGGGTTGGAGTTGTGTCTCTTCAAGCTAAGGAAGCTGGGGGTCCTCGAGACCGACTCGTGGTGGTTGTGGTGGGGACTGGAGGTGGTGTTGGAGGTGTTGTTGGAGTTGGAGGAGGCAGTGTTGTGGCGGAAGAGTTTGCCCAAGCCGTGGGACTCGGACGAATCGCCTGAGTGCTCGGAGGCCGGCGACGAGTCGCCCTTGAAGAGGTTCTTGAGATGGTGGTGGTGGTGCTTTTCACCGGAGAGCTTCATGGTAAGGACTCAGTTTGACACAGTTGACACACGTTTGACGCACGCTTGACAGGTTGGCCACTCAAAGGATGCTTGCAGTTATAAGGACGACGCCAGAATGTTCTGCTTGCGGATTTCTGGACGATTTCCGGACGGTTTCTGGACGGTTTCTGGAGGAATTCTGGACGATTCTGGGCGATGTCTGGACGATTTCTGCTTGGCCATACAACCTGGGTCAATGGGTGTTTCCAGAGTAGTGAAGTATGGGTGCTGATTTGTGGATGAAGTTCTGCAGTTTGTCTGGGTGTTGTCTGGATTTTGTCTTTTGTTCTGTGAGATGAGAAATCCGGTTAATAAGGCGATATCACCACGAGGGGCGTGACTACGGGGCAGAAGCGGGCCTGAAGGCACGAATGGCGGGGGTGCGAAGGCGAGGCCAGGCGTGGGGGTGCCAGGCTAGCCACTCAACACCCATACTTCACTACTCGGGACACCCACCAGACGTTGGCCAGACATTGGCCCTACAACAGACAGACATTGTGGGGCCAGAATGTCGGCGAGGTGCGACCACTGGTGGGTGCGATTGGCCCGCCGTGCACTTTCTTCCTGGTTAGCACAATCTACTCGACGCCACCGAGGGGATCTGGGCCAGATCTGGAAGCCTGCGTCAATTGTCAATTGTCAATTGGTGAGCAGGTTGCAGGTGCAGCAAGTGTCTGTCCGGACAGGCCGAGTGGCCCCACGCTCACGATTTGCAGGTTTGGCGGCTACGTCATAGAACCGCTGGTGGGGGCAGGTGGTGGTAGCTCCAGGACTAGGCCCGGAGTAGCAGAGGTTGTGGGAGCAAGGTGGGCGTGTGGGTGGCGCCTTATTGGTAGGGACCCACCCGGCCGGCCAGTGGGTCGCTTAGCCGGACCTGGTTCTGGGTGGTGGCGGGTTTTGGTGGCCCGTGGCCTCCACCTCCATGCAGGGCTGCTACCCCTGTTCTGCCGCATTGGGTTTACGAGCACAACCCGCTGATGGCATGGAAGGTCACGGGAAGAAGAATAGCCGTGGCTACGTCAACCACCGAGACGAGGGCGGGACTGTCGCCTGAATGGGTCGAGGCAGACGCTCTGTCATGGTGCTGCTGCTGCCCAGCGGCTGATTGCACCCTCCACCACCGATACCACCGCTACCCACGCCCTGTAGCAGTTGCTGTTCTTCCACATCTAGCCAAGGACTAACTATTTCCGCGGCCCCGACGCCTCATTCGACACAAAGGTGGGCCTGGTGGATGGACGTGGCCAGGGCATCCATGGTCATGTCCGTTGGTGACGGAAATGTCACTGGTGCCACTGCAACACTGATCGTATAAGTGGAAGCGATCACATGGGACATTCGGTGATGCGAGGGAAGTGGGTGTGGCCAGTAGGGAGGTCTGTCAGTGATAGCAATCGTGGGGTCAGACTTTCGGTGATAGCCAGTGTGTGGAGTAGACTGACGCAGCATAGAAAGTTGAGTGCTTGCTGCCATCTCTAGGAAATAAAGAGCCTCTGTATGCCAGTATAGGGCAATTGAGTCTGTCACAGAGTAGGAAGTTGAGTGTTTGTGCCATCACTAGAACGAGTTGCAAGAGCCATGTATCTGGCACTGTATGCTATTGTCTGCTATTGTCTGCCACTGTCTGCCACTGTCTGCCACTGTCTGCCACTGTCTGCCACTCTACCAACGTATTCTGATCTGGCTGTTCCTGATCAATTGTCCCTTAACTGCACTGTAACCGTACTTAAACGCTGGACACCTTTCGGGGCCTTTATTTATCAATCCCAGTCCCGTCTAACTACCGCATTATCCGCAACGCACGGAATCCGCCAACTACTACAAGAAGTGAAAAATCCACTAAAATGCTAGCGTGGCTCGAAATTGAAGAGTAAATATGACGCTTGCCTAGCTTAATATTAGAACGAACTATTATAATTGCACATCTGCTGTCGAATTAAAACTTATTATACCACCCCGGTAAAAAAAGCACACAACGTTACACCAGCTGGCGAATTTGACACTATCTATCTATTCTCACAGTAGCACTTCCTCCCTTTTTGTTTCACCATTTTGATCGAGACCCTATTGCTTTCTTGAGGTACTCCACTTTCAAATATGTTTAAAATGATGCCCGATTGCCATTAATGCAATATACTGATCTTAGTGACCAGAAATTTCCCGGAATGATTGGTAATAATAAATTTACGACGATGTTATTATATCTCAGGGAGTAATCGAGCTACGCATGTGTTGAAGACACATTGGTCAGACCCATCACTCCTCAGTTCCACTTGCCGGTCTCTAGTACTATACTGACAACCACTACCGTCTCAATCTGAAATTCGCTTATTTTACTGAGGCTTCGTGAATTGTAAATCAGCCCATTGAACTGCCCCACCCTAACTAGGGGTCAATTTAGTACTACTACCCTCAGTATCATTTAATTGCATTGTAGGTAGTTTGAGAATTACAGAGCCATTCTATACCTATTATCCAATTTGTAAGTGTCTTCCCCTGACACTCGTGTAGATCAGCTCATACAAACTGACTAGTCGCATTTACTGCTACACTTGGGTATGAGAACTGGTATTACTAAAAACAATTATTAAGACGGGTGATATTACAGGAGGGCTCGAAGAGCATGCACCGGCATCTAGACGCTCTCTTCGTCGGAAGTCTTGTGGTTTCTCTTGATCTTGAAGAATCTGATGCCACCACCGTTGTCTTCCTTGGTTTCAGCGGCTGGCGCAGATCTGGTGAACGAGGACTCGTCACCGGCTGGTCCAGCGCTGGTAGGCACTTCGTGGTCTCTGGTACCGTTGACGTTGGCCAAGTGCTTTCTGTAGGAGGCCACAATCTTGGCAGAGAAGGTGTTAGCCCACACAATGAGCAGGGTGACTACCGATGCCCACAAGATGGCCATGGACTTCAACCCGATGTGCGCATTGAGGTTGTCGTCGTTGAAGGCGTTTCTGGCCAACACCACCACAGCAGTCTGGAAGGCAGCAGTGGCAGCCACGAAAATCAATGCCAAGGTGATGGTAAACACAATGGTCTTGTGGGTGACCATAACAAAGCCGAGAAGGAACGACACGGAAGACAATCCCAACGCAATGAGGGTGAATGCGAAGGAAAAGCGTGACAAGTAGTAGTAGGTGCTTCTGTTGGTGATGAAGTCTTGAGGAACTCCCTGGCTGGTGTCGAAGTTGTCTCTTGGCGAGATTGGGTAGGCAGGACCGGACTGGCATTGGCTGAAGTCGTCGTACTCACACACACCCCAGAAGGTCCAGGCACCCTCTTGGGGAGCGCCCTGGATGCCAGAGGTGTTGGCACGGATCCAGTAGAAACGGTTGAGTGGGAAGTGCTTGCTGGAGCCTGACAAGACCGTGAAGAGCAAGAGGAGGATGGTGCCCGCCAAAAAGAACTGGTTTATGATACCGTTGATGAGCTTCATGGTGGTGACGAGTAATAAGCTGTTGGCGGTACTTGACGAACTGTAAAAAAACAAATTGTAAAAGTGAGGGAACTGGAGCAGGTTATATTTTAAGAATAGGCTACAGGATGTTTTTTTGGGGTGCTTATTTCATTGTCATTACCTATTTTGATTGCTTCCCAATTGAGAATTAATGGCTGAGACACGCTACAAACCTACATTGAGGGTCACCCGAGTGCATATGTCTATTGAGGGCATGATGGTGACGGGGGACTTGACACGATGAGTGGGAAGGTTGCTCGTATGTTTATGTTTGTCCAGGGAGGGCTCGGGGCACCTGCACACGGCATGGTTGCTTACCGGTTAGGCATGAGGTAAACACCAGTCATGCGCACCTGGCCTAAACAGGAAGGTGGGCGTGGGGAGCGGCTGAAATAGGCCGCAACCCACCCGTTTCGGGCGACAGGTGACTCCGATCACGTGGTGCGTGCCACCACACCAATCCCCAGGCCACGGCATTGAAGTATGGGTGCTTGCAGTGGTAGAGGCTTCTGCCCACTACAGACGCCGCCATCGTAGTCGCTGAGACTCCCTGTATTCCAACCCGTTTCACCTGCGCCTCCAGTTGCTGTCGCCAGTTGGCGACCGAGTGACACGAGTCACGTGGCGCGCGCCCGCCCGCCACCACGATTGCTGTTTCGGTGCATCGTGCCCGGGCTCCTATGCTATTCCAAGATCAATTTCAGCTAACGAGATTCCTAACTGTCGTCGTCGTGTCCCCATTCGGTACACCACCCGTACCATGTGCGATTCAAGCACTTTTTGGGAGGCCCTGGATCCTCGGGATCAGGTTCCGCCGTGCTTGTAGTTGTGCTGGTGGTGGCCTTTTTGGTGCCAGTAGACCCAGCCGTAGATCCAGGGGTTTTGGTGGAAGACACAGCGGGTTGTTTGTGGCTCGATGTGGAACGATGGGGCCGTGGTTTCAACGGATTGGGCAAGAACGGCTCGTCGTCCTCGTCGTCGTCGTGGCTGGTGAACCGCCAATTGAAGCAATCTCTGCATGGAGGTTGTTCTTCGCAGGGGGCAGTCTCGTTATACTTGAGAATTATTTCATCAATCACCGTATGGATCCGATGGTTCAAAAGATTCACTCGCCAGCCCTTGTCGGTTACCACGTCGTAAACGCACTGCTTACCAGTATGGCACGCCGTTTCCATGGCGTACCCCGCAACGTTGCACAGACTGGACGCCCCGTTGCATACTCCCATATAGATGGGGTCAGCCGTATTGCCAAAGTGCCAAATATTTTCGCGATGCTTGGGCAACCCAGGTGGCTGGGGCAAGTGTAGTCTCTTGGTGGCCAACATCTCTCCTGGAGCCTCATAGGCCACCACGGGAAGGCCATAGGTGCGTCCTAATAATGACGCCAATGCACCGCCCAAAGAGTGACCAGTCACCCAGATGGTGTGGTTCTCGGGCGGATACAATGCGGTGACGTTGCGATACAAGTCGAGGGTCGCCTGGTAGTACCTGTCCTGTCTCATCAACTCCTTTTCCAAGCAGTCCTGGTTGCAGGTGTAGGTCTTCTCGTAGCAGTCACACACGGTGGTCCACAAGTAGCTGATACGAGCGCAGCAGCATGAGAAGAGGAGATTATCGTTGACTTTGTCGTCAGGCACGGTTTCTTCGGGTCCTGACCCTGGCAATCCGGCTGCACTAGTGCCCTTAATGCCAATGACCACCGTCTTGTTGTCTTCGCTGACAAACACATGGCCCCGCATGCCAGCGTCCTCCCACCCGAAGTTGATGTCGGGGTGGTCCTCGTCGGGAATCCATCCTCCCACATCGATCCAGTCCAGACGACGCTTCTCGTCGTCGTCCTCGGGAAACCGCACATAGGCGTTGGATGAGATGGTAGCCAACGACACCACGGTGTCCTTATCCTTGACATCAGGGATCTCTACCTCCGTGTCCTCCTCCCACTCCAAGTGGATCTTGTTGAGCACTGCCGGCAGTCCCTTGACCCTCATGGCATACGCCAAGTACGTGTCAAGAAACCCTGGCGTGTGTCTCTCCTTCAACCGCATTGCCACACCCTTGTGCTGGGCCTTCTTGATCGAAAGCTTGATGTCAAACGGATTCTTTCCGTGGTGTACCTTGGGCCAGTCCATCTGGTTGTAAACCGACTCCAAATGCTGGGTATCTACGCCTTCGTCGTTCTTGTTGCTGGTTGCCAGAACCAACGCCTCGAAGTGTGATCTATGCTTCTCCAAGTACGCTGGAGTCACGTCCAACCGCCTGTGTATCCTGAATTTGTCGCCCATACCGTGGTGGAAGATGTGCTTCAATTGGAACGAATCCGGCGACTTTGGTAGCACTGGAACGTGTTGGAACTCAGCAGGCTCATCCTGAGAGACCAAGAAGGCAATGGAGGGAATTTGAACCACCCCAAGCCCAGAAGGCCCTAGAACCATCGCCATCGCCACAATTGTGAGGATGATTGTAGCCAATTTTTTAGGCCAGGACGTCCTCCAGCGAGGACTTGGACGTGGCAGGCTGTGTGACGGTAAGCGCACCTTCTCGTCCTTCATGGTGTATCTGGCAGCAGTAAGGACTGTTGGGTGCTAATGGTTGGCGCTTATCAGGGCGGTGGTCACTAATTACGCTATCGCGGCGGATCGGTCACGTGCACGGAGGTATAAATTGTTGGCTTAGAGACTGGGGCTCAAATACGGCTGCTAAAGGAAGGCAGGGTTTGCTAAGTACTGGTGGGGTATGTAATAGATCCAATTTTAGTGCAATTGCCATTTTTGTCTGATTGGTTGTAGAATCACAACGGAGAGAGAGTATTTGCCATTTTCGACAGATTATGCTGGAAGTGTAGAATTACGGAGGGATGGGGTCGAATATAAATATTGCAATTAACAAGATGTTCTTTAAAATGGTCGATAGTGTAAACTGTATAACGTGGATCAGTTTGCATACTTGGATTTCTAGCTGCTGTGGTATAGTAAGACCGTTTGATTGGTTAACTGTTCTCGTACCTTTTTCTGTCGTCGATCCAGAGCCAGGGAAAATAAACTGAATGGAATCTTCCAAGAACTTTTGCAATTGGTATAACTTGTACACTCTAAATAGTCAGGAATTTGGCAATCTAAAGTGTCCCGCATAATATAATATATCTGGATTATTGGGGCTATGATAGAACGACCGGACACGGGTAGAGTGGTCGCAGAATATTTGCTTCAACATGATAATATTTGAATCTCTCTCTCGTGCCCTCGTTTTGAGATAAGATCCCACATGTCTATCCGAAAGGTGTTGGTTTCGTACAAGTTTAGATTTGATTTCTTGCGATCTGCGAGGGTGCTAAGTCACATTATAGTGAAGCGGACACAGTAACAGTTCCAGTTTTGCTAGTATATTTCTTGCTCTACAGTTAAGAATACTTCTAAACTTCTTAATGCTGATAGCCTGCAGATGTCAATTTTTCTATCACTTCTCTATCACTTCCAGAGCCAAGCCCTATAAATACTTATATTGGTATTTATTAGGGAGAGTTTCGCAGCCAAGCTTCTGGAACATGGCTGCAAATAGGAGATACAGAAGACGAAGAAGCACTAAATGATGATTACAGTCTTCCGGTGGTTCTGGAACTATCAGAGCTGTTTTCCCCTCATCAAATAATTGGGGAGACTAATATCGCCAAATTCGATTCTCCTTCCTTCCAAAGCGAAAATGGGGTAACAACGATGTAAATAGACACCTCCTAAAACCCATTTTTTAGTTGACCTTCCCATCACCATGGATAGAGAGCAACCGTTAAGACCAGGATGAAGATCATCATCATTGTATCCATTGTCAGCATCGTCACAATTGTCAGTGACATCGTTAATTTCAATGTCGCCGTCAGATATGCAAACTCAAAGGGCAGCTTCTGTAATCCGCTTCCTCTTGCTGGATACATCATGAAATAATGATATATCAGGAGTCCTTCAAGCCAGAAATAGAACGGGCACCCCAGAAATCAGACGACTGAAACTGAGATCAGGCCGAAATGAAGCTAGATCTCAGCAACAAAGCTATTTGTACGAGGGATAGCACTATTTGAGTAGTTGGCTCAAAGTAAGCGTGTGGATGGATTTTTCCAGAGTACTGTAAGTACGGAGAATTACTTCAATTTCCCCCACTTTGATGCAGTATGGTCTTGAGTGAGAAGTCTTCTCTCGCCGACCCGTTTAATGTTCTATAATCTAGGAGATGTCTAGTCTAGGAATTTAACTAAGGAGCCATCGCCAGCCGGCTCCAAAAGGTGGTGTCTCAGGGACACCACACGGATGTCCCGTACCACGGATGGAGGTTGGCCAGTAGCCGCAAGCTCGGCGTCGTAGCTGTGGCGGAGGATCTTGGCGAGCTTGGGCAATACTTCCGCAAGCACCTCCGGACCAAGCACCCGGTTGTTGTTGTAGAAGGCATTGGCCACGAGTGCCGTGAACAAGTCACCGCATCCGTTGAAGCTGCAGTCGATCTGGGGCACGGGGAAGTAGAAGATGGACGGTTTGTCCTTGGAGCCAGCCGCAAACCCAACCGAGTACATCTCACCGTCGATGACCACCGACGAGATCACCACATAGGGAATGTGGTACTGGCGGTGAAACTCGACGAGCGCAGATCGTACGTCCGACCAGTCACTGAGCTTGGTGTCACTAAGCACCTCGAACTCGAACTGGTTGGGGGTGATCAACGACACATGTCCGGAGCCAAAGTACTTTTTGTACATGGGAACCACGTCTTCAGGTACGTAGAGGCGTCCGTTGTCGCCTAGTACTGGGTCCACGATCCATGCGGGGTGCTTGGCCCCTTGCTGAGCGTACACCGGAATCAAGTGGTCGTAGATTACCTGCATGGCGCCAGCGCTGGGAGTGTAGCCCGTTAAAATCAAGCTGTACACCTCGTTGAAGTTACCAATCTCCTTCAACCCCTGAAGAAGCTCATCCACCAAGTGGGGGGAGCTGGCGCTGCCAGCAAACCGTCCATAGCCAGGATGGTTGGAGAAGTTGGTGGTGTTGACGCCGTCCACGTCCCATCCACAGTACTGGAGTGGAAACACAGTAGCCCTGTTGCCCACGTAGCCATGCGCCACGTGTGACAGGATCGAGAGGATGCTCTTATTGGTCATGGTGGTTGGTGGCGACTGATCTGGTGAGGATGGATTGGTTCCTGCGACACTGGGTTGGACGACATCGCGACACGGTAGGTAGAGCATGGATCGAATTTATTAATATGTAATATAACGAGAAGGGATGGCCAGTTGGGGTGAAATGGTCAAGAAGCAGAGTAATTGTGTCCATTTAATTGGATAGAGAACTTGGAATCAGAAAATCAAGTATGTTGCAATCTCCCACCGACTTTTCAGCATTTAAGGATTGGCAATATTAATTACATTAGCCAGTTCAGTAGATAAAGCTGTGGCTCAATATCAGGAAATTGTAATGATCTTAATGATTTTGAATCGAACATACTCGCAAGTCTATATGTATCGTACTAGCCATGTCCCGAGTTTTTACTCGCTCTTTAAAGATAAAGAGGTAAAGTGCATTTAAATAATACAGCCGCTACAACTCTGGCACAAGAATGAGCCAGGGCTATCATAATTCTTAACTTCAGAGTTATTCTTTATTATTGTCATGTAAATTTTTTTATAAAATATAAACTCCATCCTTCAGAGTATTTTGCAATTTTCACGGCTGAATCCATGTCATTCCTCAGCATCAATTTACCTGATATCCATCAGAATAATCCAGCCCAAGCACCGTCGCGCTGCAATACCCCACCTAGCACGAGTTTCTTCCCAAGTACTGAAGATGGTGACACCTGCTATACGCGACATTCCCGCGACACCATGACACCGCGACACTGCGACACCAAGATACCTCCACCATTTACAACCGCCAGTTAACACGTAAGACTTTCTCCACCAACATGTCCCTCAAAGACAGTGCCACCCTCGACGTGGGATACCCCGTTTATGACACCAAGTTCGTCAACAACAAGACGCTATTGGTTGCTGGCGGTGGCGGCGAAGGCAACCACGGAATTCCCAACAAGATCACCGCGATCAAGTGCAGCTTCAAGGTAGCTGATTCCAAACGAAGACTCCAGCGGTTCCGGGAAATCACCTTGCCAGCCAATGAAGACTCACCTCAATGCTTGGATACCGCTCGTATCGCTGGCGACGATGACTCCGACGTGTCGGTATTCGTGGGGTGTAACCAGTCGTCACAATTGATCAAGTCCATGAACATCAACAACAACTTGAGAAAATACGTGTTTACCAAGGACGAGCACTTGCGGTTCGTAGATGCGGTCCAGCTCGAGGAGGAGATCACTGGAGACACCAATGACTACCCCAAGGTCGTCCGTTTGACTCCCAGCAACTCTGCTGGGGTGTTTATGACCTCGACCGTGCCCTCAGTGCTCTATGGCTTCAATCCCGAGACCTTGGAGTTGAACTTCAAGTACAAGCAAGAGGCCAAAGCCGAAGTCAAAGACTTCCACTTGAGTCCCCACGACAACGGCAGTACCGTTTGCTACATTACTGCCAACTCCATCTCCACCATCTCCACCACCGCTGGTACTGCCATTGCGTCCTCCACCAAGAATGCAGCCTTGACTAAGGAGCTCGAGAAGTACAATCTTTCCAAAATACGCTTTATTGACGACTCCAACGTTTTAATTGCTGCTAGTCTTCGTAAGTCCACCGGTGCTGTGCTCCTCCAATACTCTTTGAAGGACCAAAAGATCACCAAGCAATCTGTTGTCTCAAACAAATTCAACAACATAGTGGCAATGGATCTTGTTGCTTCCAAAGATTTGGTTGCCATAGCAGGAAACGACTTCTCACTCACGATTCTCAAACTCTCCAACTTCAAACAGTTGAGATCATTCAAAAAATTGCATCCATTTGCAATCACATCTGTTGCCTTCTCACCAAACGGTACCAAACTTGCTACCGGTAGTGCAGCACAAAAGCTTCATGTTTTCCGCATCCCACCAACCCTCGCCCAAGGCAAGTCCACCATCGGCACCTTATTCCAATACTTGATAACCATCTTATTGGTTGCTCTCTTGGGTATCGGTCTTCAGAAGGGGTACGAAAATGGCCAATTGGAGGTCTACTATGAGAAATCAAAAGTTTATGGAAAAATTGGTTACAAATTCGCTCAAGAATATGCAACTGAAGGATACAAGTTTGTAAAGCAAAAAATTGATGAAAGATCTTCTAAGGCAGAAAAATCTTCGAGTGAATACTTCACTGTGAGCTCTTGGTCGGACGACTCGTCTCCAGAAATTACTGGTGAGCATGATACATACATCACCAATTTTGAAGATCTGAGTTCTATCGAAAGCACAGAAGCATCTACAACTTCAACTTGGATTAGTGAGTACACTACCGCTTCCACCACCTCTGTGGTCCCAACCTCTGAATCTATTATAGTTTCAGCTGCCACTGTGCAAGACGAGGTATATATTTCTGAAGTCACGAAGAATATTGAGCATGAGACCAAAGATGAAGACTTGGATACTGAATCTTTCTTAAAGAATAAAGAGAACTATATTGAAACCACAGTTGTGGATGAACCAGTTCCAGCTGCTACCCCAGTGGCCGAGACTTCATCTATTGAGACTTCCGAAGTGGCAGATCCTGAACCTATTGCTGCTGTCCAAGATGAGGCAACTGCTTCCCAAGATATCGATTATGCTAGTTTTGAGGATGAAGCTCAAAGCAACAATTCATCGGCCATTGAAACTAGCGTGTCTTTTACTTACACTGAAGCCCAAGCGACAACTGAACCATCAAAAGTTGAGGTAGAGGACGTGGAAGAAATTTTGGAGACTCCTGAAGAGCTCGTTGAGGAACAAGAAGAAGTTCAAGAAGAACAGGAAGAACAGGAAGAACAGGAAGAACAGGAAGAACAGGAAGAAGAGGAAGAGAAAGAGGAAGAGGAAGCAGAATTAGAATCCGAGTCAGAATACGAAGTAGTATATGAAGATGCGATTGAAGAACTTGCGTCTGACGCTTCTGAATCCGAAAACGGGCAGGAAGTGATTGTGGAAGAACAACCATTAGAAGCTGTCGATGCAGAGGAAGTACTTGATGCTCAAGATGATGCAGAAGATGAAATCGATTCTCTGATCGAGGTTGAGGAAATTATTCCAGACAGTCAGACTGATCATCAAAGTGAAGAAGATCAATCCGAAGAGGAGGTCTCTGGTAATGATGATACCAATGTAGATATCCAAGAGGAAGAACATATCGAAGTTATTGAAGAAATTTCTGATGATGAATCTACAGAAAAAATTGTTAATCCAGAAGTTGTTGAAGAGCAAGGTTCTGAAAGTGAAGAGGAATTGGTAGAAGTGATTATTGAGGAAGAAGAAGACAAAAATGAAGAGACTGAAGCATACGAGGAGCCAACTGACAAGCCATTAGTAGTACAATCTACTTCTAATCTTGAAATTTCAACTGATACTACTTCTGAAGTTTTGGCAACAGATGCCCAGGTACAGGAAACTAGTGAAGTTGTAGTGTCAGTCCCTTCTGAATCATCTACGGAGAACTCTTCTGAAACTTTGGAAGAACTTACCCAATCCATTTCGGAAAATGCTGAAGCAGCCATCGAGTCTACATTGGAGGAGACCTCATCGCTGAGCCCAGAGCCAACTGAAACTAGCAAGCCGGTTATTGCTTCAACCGAAATAAGCACCGACACTGAAGTTGATCTTGAAAGTTTGACTGAATCATCGACTATTGAATTAGAAGAAGCTGTATCTTCGGACAGCTCTATTAGCGAACCGGTTTCAGTGACCATTACTACGTCAGTTGTCGTCACAGTCGAAACTACCAAAACACCCACCAGTTCTGAATCAACTGAGACCCTTAAGTCCTCTAAAAAGGTCCAATCTAAGAAACCAGTTTCTTCACAGCCTTCATCTGTGTCTGAGCCTTCTGTTACATCATCTGTCGTTGAGTCAACTGCTGTCACATCCTCTGTCCAGCCTTCTGTGTCCACCGAAACCAAGCCAAAGAAGACCAAGAAGGTTGCAAAAAAGAGCACCACCACTGCCAAAACCACCACAACCAAACCACCAAAGAAAAAGGTTGTTCGCAGAACCAAAACTGTGAAGGTGAAGAAACCAAAGACAAAATTGGAAAATGATGAGCTTTGATTCAATTGCCCCAGCGCAAGCCACCATACGGATACTACGATCTAATATAGACCAGTATGAATAGATAATAGACCAGTAGTTTACCGCGTGATTCGTATCATGTGACCTGACCTGCTCCAGGATCGCAACGCGTAGTTTAGGATGATGATCTACCAGGCCAGAGCCAGCCAGAGCCACTCTAATTGCCGTTACAGCCCTCGAGCTGCCACTATCTGTGTTTGCTAATTTTGCCTGGAGTTCACCAGCCATTTCAGGCCAAAGTCCCTAATAGCCATCACAAGGCCCAAACCAACCACCACACTTCTGCATTTGCCTCCATACAAGACGCTCCCATCACCGATGGCATCCCACTTTACTGCTCTCAGGAGCATCACAGACCCCTCAGACTGGAAAACCTCTCTGCTTCCTGAACTTGCGGAGTTGGACACCTTGCAGCGGTGCTATATATGTAAAGAGTTCTTCCGAGCTCCCGTGATAACTAGCTGCAACCATACCTTCTGCTCCCAGTGCATCCGTGAGTACCTAATCACCAACAACTCGTGTCCCTTGTGCAAGACAGAACTCTTCGAAAGCAATCTCAAAAGGCATATACTATTGGAAGAGATAGTAACTTGTTACTCGCGGTTGCGACCGCATATATTGCAGCAGCTAGAGAAGAAACCAGAGGAGCAGGCGGTGAAGGACTCCGGAGGATCTATTGAGGGCTCCAAGAGGTCCGAGGAGCCTTCTGATGTAATTGAGATCTCCGATGAGGAGGTTCCTTCCAAGAAAAGAAAGGTGGAACCCAACGAAACCGTCACCATCCCAGACAATGGTGACATCGTGGACTGTCCCATCTGTGGCGACCAGATGACAGCAGAGGTGTTGCAAACTAAGCATATCGATGACTGTTTGAACGGAAGAAAGCCTAAGCGCACGCCCAAGGCCAGACTGAGTGGCATTGCATCCTTTTTCAAGCCTGCTGCCAGTCGTGGGAGTCCGCCAGCGTCCACCAGTACTGTTTCAGCTCCATCGCCCCAGATATCGCTCGGAAATGCCAATTACTACTTTAACGAAGCTGCAAAACACAACCAAGAGAGCAGGAAGCTCCCCAAGCTCGATTTCCTGTCTCTCACCACCCCCAAGTTGAAGGAGAAGCTCTCAGCACTCAAGCTTCCGGTTCAAGGCACGCGAGTGCAGTTGGAGCTCCGCTACAACCAATACTACGTGTTGTTCAACGCCAATCTCGACAGCAACAGGCCCATTGCCGAGAAAGTGCTCCGACAGAAGCTCACCCAGTGGGAGGGGGCACATCTGGCGTTTTCCAGCAGTTCTGGCGATCTCTTCACCACCCGCACCTCGCTCAGTCACAAGTCGATTACCGATAAAAGCTTTCTGGTAAAACAGTGGAGACAAGCCTATGGCCACGAGTTTCGCGAGTTGATCAGAGCAGCCAAGGCCACGCTAGCAAAGGGGTCCCTGCCCCAAAATGGCCTCCCAGAGCCACCCCAACAGAAGGAATCGGCACAAGTGCCAGAAGCGAGTCCTGACGGTTCCAGCGGGCTCTTTGTGCCCGCTGATTAGCCCAAACCACCAGCCTAACTCCTACCAGCCACCATCCTAACTCCTGGCCCAAACCACCAACTAACTCCTGGCCCAAACCCCGTCGATACCCACGGCGCATTGCATTACCCAAATAGTATAGACGTTCCTGTGCATTGACCACCTCCGGATATGGAACCACTCATTAAATATCCGTACTCAACACTCACCGTAGACTACCACTCCGACACTATCTTCGCCTACCGGCCCTATCCCCTCTTCCTTACCCCCCTCTTGCTTCCCCCCCTCCTCCCCCCTCCTCATCCTTCTCTCGCTAATCTCCGACTGCCTTTTTCGTTCCTCCCGCCGTTGCACCCATAAGTTCCGCGCGATATATAACCAGTTCCAGCCCAGAATCATCCCCACCCACCACTCCGGCTTCAACATCACTGGTGCCTTTTTCAACAAAAGCGCAATGCCTGATGAATCGCTCTACCTAACTACCTACGAAACGGCGCTAGCCGTAGTGGCCACCGCCATGAAAAAGGCCAGACTCCGTCTCGACACATTGGTGCTAAACTCGCTCATGGCTGGCATACTCTTCAGCACGGGCGGTATGCTTCACGTCAACGTCCAGGCAGGAGCTCCAGAGCTTCTCCAGCTGAATCCCGCCTTAGTGCAGTTGCTCCAGGGCTTGGTGTACCCCATCGGGTTGTTCTACGTGGTGGTGATGGGTGTGGACTTGTTTAACGCCAACGTGCTCTACTTCAGCGTGGGCTTGTGTCGAGGTGCCGTGTCGGTGCTAGACCTCTGTACCAGCTGGTTTGTCACCTGGTGGTTTAACTTGGTGGCCAACATCTTCGTTTGCTACATCATATGCAACTACTCCCATGTCACCCAGCACGAAAACTACGTCAGAGGCTCAGTGGAAATCCTTATGGCCAAAGCTGAGTACTCGTTCGTCGACACCATGTTGAAGTCCATGGCAGGTAACTTCTTCGCTGCGCTTGCCATCTACTTGCAGTTGATGGCCAAGCCGTTGCATGTCAAGTTTCTCATGATGACATTGCCAGTGTTCAGTTTCGTGTCCATGGGCTTTACCCACTCGGTGGCTGATATGTACATGGTGATTATTGGCCTCATTAACCATGCACCCATCTCGGTTGGCACAGTTGCCTGGAAGATCTTCCTTCCAGGAGTCATCGGAAACATCATTGGCGGATCGTTTTTTGGGGTGGCAGTGTGGTACTTACACTTGGTGGTGGTCGAAAGAGACCAGGCTGCTTTGAACTTGCCTGTGTACGAGGCAAGAGACGAGCAGCCAGATTTGAACATGGACTCTAGAGTTGTGAGGGTAAAATCGCATGACTATCCCGAGGAGTTCGACGAGAAGTCCAGGCTCGACGAAGTGCCGGATATGAACAACGCTTCCGGCGGCGAAAACCAATTTCTCAGAAGAATTTCTACCACTTTGTCCAGGGGAAGTACCCGAACTCTCAATAAGGTGGGAAGATCCCCCAAAAACGTTTTCCCAGTATACGGCATGGGTCCTCCTTTGGAAAAAGAAAACTCCGTAGCTGCAGGCCATTATACAACGGTTGATGACACTTACGACAATGATGCGTATTCGGCGTACACTGCGCGAGAAAACTTGGATACCACCTCTGCAGAGTTCATAGGAGATCAAATCAGGCGTGTGCTAACTCGAAGATCCAGCAAAGCTCGAGATTTTGAGGCAAGAATAGAACCCTCGCTGATGAGACGGCAGTCAAGTGCTTCTATCCAACCCCGGCCTTTCCGGAGTGCACTTACTACCACCAATGCCAATCATTCCTTCAAGAACTATCCAGATGTTGCCCCAAAAAGACCCACAAACTCCCATGCACCTGAAGCCCCACTAACATATTCCTCTATGACCAGACAGGGATCTGGTCTAGAACCAGTACTTAGTGGTCCTGAAAAATCTGCCTCAAGCTCAACTACAAATCAGGGATCAGAAACTCCTGTAAGTCAGGATGCATTAAAGGTAGAAGATTATCTGCCTTAGGAATACTCCATTGTAATATATTTATAGATTAATTGAATCACTTCATTTCAGTTGCAAAAGACAACATTAGGATTATTCCACTGTAATAAACTCACTTATTATTTCAACCACTTAATTCCAGTTGCAAAAAGATATATGAAAACGTAAGCGTTGTTCCAACTGCAAAAAAGAATTATTTGGACGAGACAGGAATCGAACCAGTGACCTTTTGCTTGCAAGGCAAACGCGCTACCAACTACGCCACACGCCCGTAATTCTAATAATTTTCAAAGTAATATTAACATATTTAAGCTGAAAAGAAGTCATGAAATTGCCTTTTTTCGCCTTTAAGACCTTTTATGGGAATATACTATCAATTAAGATGGTTTTCTTTCTAATTTGAGAGATTTCCATAATCTTTTCGGTGACTTTAGATTATTTTTCACTGAACTTGGTGTCAATTCTGAAGTAAATGCAAATATTATGACAATTATCTATTATTAGACTATTATAGTAATATCAATCAGCAATATTCCTATAAAAAGTTTTTAATTAATTTATGAATTTTCAATAATTCTTCGATTATGCTTTTGTTTGAATTTCGCAAAATATTTCTAGAATACTAGAAAATTATAAATTGATATCCTTATCGAAACTTCTATTTCTAACCCCATAACAATGAAAAAACGAATAGATCTGGATCAAGCTATCACTGATCATCCAAAAGATCAATTTCCGGTCTCTGTTTCATGCCGAGGAGCTGAAATGTACCGCGCATTTTTGACGCGAGTAAGCCCCACATTTGACGTGCCGAAAATACCTGTCAACCTAGTAGTAGAAAGTATAAACGAGGACATTTCAATCCGATCGTGCCTTTACATAGTTAGAATGATCTCGTACATTTATTGAATGGTTACATAGTTATTTTAGGTGATTTAGGGGATCAACCGTACCTGGATCAGCTCATTTGAGCTCACAGGTTCTTTTATGGGTATTAGCAAACCATCTACACTGTGGGCACCCCTTCCAGTCACAGTGCAAGGTCATTTCGCAGGTGGCACCTCCACAACGTCTTTTTTGCAAATTGACAGCAGCTTCGAAGATACCGTCACGCTTCTGCATGATCGCTTCTTCTTCATCTCCAGTGTCCTCTTGAGCGAGTTCATTGAGCCAGTTGGTCACATTCACAAAGGACTTCAACAGAATCAGATCTACTTCGTTGTTGTCCTGATCCAAAGATTTGACCAACAAGGTGTTATCGTTGTGCCCCACGTCAATATACTCATAGGTGTCGTTGGACTGCTTATCGGCCCAATCAACATATTGAACGTAGAGGTGTTGGTCTAATACTTGTGCTAAACTCATTTTTGTTTGAATTCTGATGGATAAATGGATTGGGCCCATCCATATTTATACCTTTGACCTGGTACTCCAGAGAGCGTGAATTATAATGATAGGTTCATGGCGGGTTCCAGCTTGCTGGCATGCACTTCAATGCCTTAATTTAAGGTTTAAGACAGCTTGCTTCGCTCCATACAGTGAAGTTTCAATAGTTCCAATTTCCATAGGACAAATCACCCGACAGGACAAGGTCTAGAACCAGCGGACGCAATTCAAGTATACGTATTATTTGCTCTAGATATGGCATGAAATTTCGTCCATTGTTATGGAGGTTTGGCTCGATAAGCTCTTTTTCCGATTCGAGACAACCGCGATTATCCTCTACAGTTACATTGATAAAAGCCTCGGATTACACACATCTTTCGTCGGGCAAAGCTGACACCTCCAAAGTCTACTACCTTCCCATTCTCTGGCCTATAGTCAAGAGCCAATGCAATTGAGTCGTGAACTAGCAGGAAGGAAGGTTTAAACGCTCGGAAAGTTAGCCCTACAGGTGCTGGCAGCTGACAGTTGACGGGGTATCAAAGACAACCAGGCTTAAGGAGCGATTGCAGATTGTGTGGGGACTTTAAAATTGCTTCTCTACAGCTCGTAACCGCGATAGAGCTCACTCCTTTGAAAGCTTATTAAGCTTGGTATCGTCTTGTCCACGAAAAGGTCGGTTCTTCACTATACAGGACTCGTAATTGCACCCACTTCTATTCCTACTACATTAAAGGCACAACTGACTCGAGCACGATAAGAGCGGATGTGCCGCTACTTCTGCTTTCCGGCTGCTTGTTTTCTTCATTCTTTTAGATGGAACGCAAGTGCAAACTCGTTCTTGCATGAGTTAATTCACCATTGATTAACTAATGGTCCGCTTCTAGACAGCCAGACCTACCCCATTTCGCCCCTCTTGGTATCCGCAGCCTTTTGCACTGCTACATGTAGAAACATTTTTTTGAATCTCGTGGATGCCTTACTCACTATGGTTCTCCCCATTTCCATCTCGCGCATCGCATCTCATTTTTCACACCAAAATTTTTATTAATCACCATCATCGCTATGTCTTCCACAGCAGCAGCCTCAGAGGCCTACATAGATGCATCCGCTTCCTGGGAGTCGTTCAACCTTGATCCAAGATTGCTTCAGGCCTTGGACCAAGTTGGATTCGAAAAACCCACCCTAATTCAGTCAAATGCCATCCCTCTTGCGTTGGAGGAGAAGAGAGACATTATCGCCAAAGCTTCCACAGGTTCAGGTAAAACCGGTGCATACAGTATTCCTATAGTCCAGAACTTGTTAGCAGAAAGTGATGGCTCCAGTCACCACATCAAGAGTATCATTTTGGTCCCCACCAGAGAATTGTCCACACAAGTGTTTAAGTTCATCGAGAAATTGTTACTTTACAGCAACAACTCAATCCAAGTGGTTAACTTATCTTCCAACATGAACGACCAGGTATTGAAGTCTCTCCTCATCAACAAGCCAGAAATTATTGTCAGTACTCCAAACAAATTGATTCAAGTTTTGGAAGCTCAAGCAGAAGAATCGGAAAAATTGATCGACTTGTCCACTGTCAGAAACTTGACTATCGATGAAGTTGATTTGATCCTTTCGTATGGTTATTTTGAGGATTTGCAGAAGTTGGAAACCTATTTACCAATCAAGAAAAATCTCCAGACCTTTTTAATGTCTGCCACCATAAATGATGAATTAAATGAATTGAAAACAAAATTTTGCACCAAACCAGCTATTTTGAAGCTCAACGATGAAAATGTGTACCATAACAATTTGATGCAATACTACGTCAAGACCACTGAATTTGATAAGTTCTTGTTGGCATACGTTATCTTCAAGTTGAATTTGATCAAGGGTAAGACTCTTGTTTTTGTTAACAACATCGAAAGAGGATACAGATTGAAATTGTTCATGGAACAATTCGGCATAAGGAGTTGTATCTTGAACAGTGAACTTCCTATCAATTCAAGATTGCACATTATTGATGAATTCAATAAGAACGTCTACAACTTATTGATCGCTACTGACGAAACTGTCGAGGAAGCAGATGTCGAGGAAGAGGAAGAGGAGGAAGGTGAGCAAAAAGAACAGAAGGATTCCAAGAAATCCAAATCCAAATCTAAAAAGAATAAGAACAATGACTACGGTGTCACTAGGGGCTCAGACTTCCAAAATGTTGCTTGTGTCTTGAATTTTGACTTGCCCGTCAGTTCCAAGGCTTACATTCACAGAATCGGAAGAACTGCCAGAGCTGGAAAATCAGGTATGGCTTTGTCATTTGTCATCCCAACCAAAGAGTTTGGAAAACATAAAGTTGCATCATTAAAAACTGCCAAGAGAGACGAAAAGGTGTTGCGTAGAGTTTTGAAGCAACAGTTGCGTAATGGTTTCGAAATCAAGCCCTATCAATTTGACATGAAGCAAGTCGAGGGTTTCAGATATAGATCGGAAGATGCCTTCAGAGCTGTTAGTCAGACTGCCATCAAGGAAGCAAGAATCAAGGAGTTGAAGAACGAGTTGGTGAACTCAGATAAATTGAAAAGATTTTTCGAAGAGAACCCTCAGGACTTGGCAACTTTGAGGCACGACAAAGAATTGCGTCCAACCAGAATTCAATCTCATTTGAAGAGAGTCCCAGAATACTTATTGCCAGAAAGTGCTAGACAAGACGTGAAGAATATTGGATTTGTTCCATTTCACAAGAACAAGGGCAGAGGCAAAGGTAAGAAGAAGCCTACTCGTAGCAAGGCTGATCCATTGAAGTCATTCAAGCATAGAAAGTAAAACACCTTGGAAGCATTAGTGCTCACGTGTGCTCCCGTGTATTTGATGCTAGCATTAATTAGCTTGCTCCTAGCGAGTAGTGAATGTTATAGATTTAATATTGTACAATAAATAGCAGGCAACGCGAACGATTGGTGAAGTAGAAAATATTTCTTGGGAGTAACTTTTGCTTGGCCCAACTGGTTGAAATAAATACTCTGTTATTTCGCTGAAAGAACAGTAATACTAATATTCTACGGGTGATCGCAGTCAAAATCGGCAACTATGTAATGGAATGGAATTGATTCATCTATTAAATATTATACATCACGCCAAGCGACTCAAAATTATGTTCCAAATCAAGTTGGCCAAGCAGTTGCAGGGAAACATCATGGACTGTGGTATAAGCATGAATGAGGCCACCGAGAAGAAGGGCCAGAAACAGTAACTATACCTCAAAGATATCATGTACGCTATTCTAGTTTTCTTTGTGAGTTCACCATGATCCCATAAGCTGTTTAGTATGGTGAAGAAAAGTTGGAAGGTTGGTGCCCCGACCAATTGGTCCACGGCAATTCGGTAGAAGAGATTGTCGAATTGGAAAATCAACATGTCAATCCAGAGCACGGTGAAGTAGCCATTGATGCTTCCCCAAACAATGAACTTCAATATCCGATTGATTGACAACTTTTTCTTTTGATACTGGTTCAAAGTTTGTGCCAAGGCAGCCGTAGAGGCCCCCAACAATGTAGGGGCTAACAACGTGTACAAGGACCCGATGTGTTCATAGTTGTAGTATACGACCAACGAGATGACAGTTTCCACTAGCAATAATAAGAGTAACTTTCTCTTAATGCCGCTGGTTGCGGGGTTGTAATGGAGAACGGAAGAGGCGGAGTCCACTGGGTGGAGGGGGTTGGATTTTTCGAGGTCTTGGTAGATCTTTTCTTGTAGGTTATTTGTGGGGATTGCTGAAGGCATGCAGGCGAAATCGGATGACGGAACGAAAGTGGAGGATTATGAAATGAAGGATGATGTGAGCAAGGGAGGAGGAGGGGGTATGGGAGCAGTGTGTGGCGCTGGAAAACACGATATGACGGCCGCTATCTATTGCGGATGAGGTACGCCGCTTAGGAGTCAGGGTATGCTATCAAGGAATCCACGATGGTAGTTACGGCCACGGTTCACAACACGTATGAGACATAATCAGACATGAAAAATCGAGTGCCGCACATCGGGCGTGTCGCGCCCAAACAGCATGGCCGTGCGATCGCACTAATCTCAGCACGGAACGGGATGGGAGGAGCCAGGATGGTTCCAGGACCGAGTGGTTGCATGAAGCGTGATGATGGCGGGGTACAAAGGGCTCGGATGCATTACTTGATTGGGCGTAGCTGCAGTGATGATAACCCTGGAGGTTTCCATGCATGTATGTGTTTATGAAACCGGCTGAAATCTGATAATAGATGAAACTCATTGGTGTGTGGTGTGTGTGTGTGATGGAACATGGCATTGCCTCCAGGCGTGATCAGGTGGGGGGCAAGCACTATCAGAGGTCTTCGGAAACAGATTTCCGGGATCCGATGATCGGTGATGTGATGGCGCACGGAGTGGGGCCACGCCACCGCAACCCCGAAATACGGTTCTGGGGCAAACCAGTGCAGCAGGGTGATATCCTGTTGATATGGTAGCACCAGGGCGATGGTCTGCAAGCGATAGCTCGGTTGGCCACGGCGATCGACCATCACCGAGTCGGTCACGGGAAAGAGCGTGCAGCGGCCAGGGCTGCGAACAAGGGTCTAAATTGCAATGTCATATGACGTACCCCCGTAGTGAGCGTGGTGTCTATTTACCAAAGCAGCATGATGGCTTCTAATTATAGGGTGACAGCACCTGAGCCCCGCTGCATGGATCGGGTCGTGGGGTTGGAGTGGTGGTGACAACCTGGGGCAGATCCCCAGGTTAAGGTTGGAGGGAGCCAGCGCCCCACTCCAGCCCCTATCCATATGGTGGCGTGCTGCCCCTGGCCTTCAAAGTGGGGGCTACGCCCCCAATTTCCGACCTCCTCAATGGCACCCACTAGTCTAAATTGCGAACGCTGAGGTTAATTAGATGCATGTAACGTTCGATGCCGCTCGCAACCAGCAATTTCTTTTTTTTTTCGCATCCTAATATCCCGGTGCATGCTTTGACAGTGGTACTCCACATTTGAAGTGACTCTTGGCAGGTCAGGTAGTAACGTCATCAGGCACAGTTATTATTAGAGTGGCAATCAATATCATCAACAGTTATGACTGGCCGCTGGTGCCAACCAACTATAAATACGGCCCAGTCCACCTCGTTACAATTTTTCTCATCATCATTCAAACATGCAATTAACTTCCACTTTATCCTTCTTCACCTTAGCTGCCCTCGCTACTGCCGCTCCAGTCTTCAACCTTGTGACTATCCGTTCGGGTTCTTCCTACCAGTACGCCTCCATCACCGTCAACGGTAACACCTTGCACGTTGGTGGCCAGGGCGATGAAGTCACCTTCGAATTGAATGACGACTCTACCTTGGTTGACACCAAGACCAACCTCAACATCAAGGTTGACAACAACGTCTTTGGTGAGACTCCTCACAAGATCGACGGCTCCAAGGGCTTCAGCATCAAGGACGGCTACTTGTCCTACGGCGACAGCGGTATCTACGCCTGCCCTAACGGCAAGGGTAACGTCGAGTTGACCACCTCTTGTTCCGACAAGGCTGGATCTCCTATTGCTCTTAAGGTCACCAACCAGCACGAGAGTGACAGTGGCAAGACTTCTGCTGCTCCATCCAAGACCGAGGCCGCCACCACCACTCCTGCTCCAAAGCCAGCCCCAACCACCTTGGTCACCAAGACTGCCACCACCACCGCTGCTGCTCCAAAGCCAGCCCCAGCATCTAAGGACAACTCCAAGTTCTCCATCATTGCCATCCACTCCGGCACCCAATTCCAAAACGCCCCTATCAAGAAGGTCCCAGAACACCTCCACGTCTTCTCAGTTGGTGGCAATGACGGTTCCGACCTTTCCTTGACCTTGAAGCAAGATGGAACTTTGGTCGACCAAGACGGAAGAGGCATCTACGTTGACCCAAACACCGGTGAATTCGGTAACGTTGACCCATGGGGCCAAGAAAAGCCATCCTCCGGTTTCGCCATCACTGACGGTCACTTGACTTACCAAGGCAAGGACAACTGGAAGGCCTGTCCATCTGGCGACAACAAGTTCTCCTTGGCCAACAACGACTGTACTGGCGGTACTGGCATTGCTTTGTCCGTTGTCAACCAATCTTAAACGTCATTAGCGATCTTTGATCCATTTATTTCTTCATCCGTTTCTTAGGCATTAGCCGCTTTCCTACTGCATCTTCATTCCTTTAGCATCTCATCATACCAATAAATGTTTCCTTTCTAAAATGCGTAGTAGTACTTTCATGAGTTTTCTGCACAAATATTTACTATTTGAAGGAGTTGAACCACAGGCTGCACTTGCCATGGTCCTATGTTTTCAAATCTAGGCAATGTGCATCAGAGGTAAATTTACCTGAACAAAGTGTGGCAGTCCAGATTTAGGGATTAAAAAGTCCAAGATAATATAAAATAAAAAACAAAAAAAATTAAAACTATAGTAGAGCTTGCTTCAGATAATACTAAACAGTGATAAATATAACTTTCAAAAGGACAGATCGCAAACGAATGAAAATTAATGAAAAATTAACAGATCGTTAAACGAAGACACCGTCTACCTCTAGAAATTAACCATAAACTGCTGCAAATCTGAAAGTAATGTTTATGTACTTTAGATCAACCAGCGAGCCTAATGGTCTCACATAATAATCTTCCCAGAACTTTGTACCTCACTCATGTGCTCCTACACCTTCAACTGTTTGCGTTTCGCAGCAATTTGGTAGCACCTTGAGTGCGCCGCACATGGAATTTCTAAGAACCAGTGAACGAACAATTTATCATCAACTACCAGAACTCATCCTCTCAAGCATCATGGTCGTACACAACCCCAACAACTGGTAAGTTTTGATGTCCTTCCACTCTCATATTGCTCCCTACTAACCCCAGGCACTGGATAGATAAGAACTGTCTTCCATGGTCCAAAGAGTACTTCAAGAACGAGATCACTAACACCACCTACGAAGACGAGGAAATCAAGGTGGTTCTCACTGAAATCGACTCAGTCACCGGTGACTGTGATGTCACCCAGAGAAAGGGCAAGGTTTTGTGCATCTATGACATGAAGTTGCAGTTCACCTTAAGTGCAGACACCAAGAACGACGAGGAAACCTCCAAGATCACCATTACCATTCCAGAGTTCTTCCATGACCAGGACGATGACGAGTATGTGTTTGAAATTTCTGACTCCCAGCACAAGACTGTGATCAGAAAGGCCTTCGTTCCGGTGTTGAAGGCCAAGCTTGTCAAGTTCCAAGGCGACTTGATCAGCGCCCACGAAAAGGACGTCCAGCACTCCACTTGAGTGAAAGCATTCACAGCTCACTAAGCTGCTGCAACTACAGTTTGGGGTTCTTTTGCTACCATACTTGCGCCAGAAGCTCATACATGCCGGACCATCAGTAAATAGACCAGATAGATGATCGTAGCACGTATACATTAGCGAGATGTAGGTGGGCTTGGCATGCCCAATGAAACGATAGAACGGGCAGTATTTGGTCTTCCAAACGAAGGTTGACTTCACTCTGACTGTCAGTGGTTTGAACTTTGCACAAATATTGGACCATTTACCAAGCAGAGGTATAATTACGAAGCCTTCAAAGCTATTAACAAGTTCGTGATCTTCAGCTATATACAGTCTATCCAGATACTAACTTGAATCGGCCTACTCAAAGCCCTCAGGCACACCCTTTGCGTGTCTCATACCCTCTCTTGCACCGTAGTACAACTCAATGGGATAACCTCCCTGTTTTTCTGGACCAAGAGAAAGCCAAGGAACCTGTCCCTGCTCAATCTGCTTCAACAACTTGTAAGTCTCAACCGTGCTATATGGTACACCGTTGTTGGGATCGAAATATTTAACCTCAGTGCCTGCAAGCAAACAGCTCTTTCTGTTACCATTTGGCAAGTAGATTCCTGCTGGGGCTTCTGTTTTCAAAACAATATTCTGAGACTCTCCATCGCTGTCTTCCTTAACATCTTCAATGATCTCTTGTGCTACTCCTAATCTGGGCAACTTCTTGAGATCGTCGAATATCGCATCATCTTCCGTGAGTTCTGATACTGGCTCAAACAACTCATCCTTTTCTTCCTTGACAACAGCATACGGGTTAATTACCTTTCCTATCCTCAATATCGTCTTCAAATCTTTGAATCTTCTTGAAGCCGGCAATAATGATTCGGGACCAAACATATATGACTTGATACCAGTGGTATCCAATCTTTTGTCAACATCAAAATCGAATAAATACACCATATTCCTAGTCACCTTTTGTTCTGGGCCTTCAAAGGTCCGATTCGATGTTCTTATGCCATGGTCCTTAGAATCTGGCTGTTCGGAAGGCGAACCTTTGATGTCATCTGCAAAGCGAACCTCTTTTTCGGTCGTATCAGGCTTTAAATTACTTTTCGTGTCTTCAAAATCAACCTTGGAATGTACAGAATTATCATCCTGCTCTTGTTTGACTACCACAGAGTTTTCGCTTTCAGCAATCTTTATTTCGGAAGATCCTTCTTTAGAAACTGTCCGTGGAGCATATTCCTCACTATTTGGAGTCTCTGCATTTTGTTGAGTCTCATTATTGATTCCATTGACGGTGCTAACGTTGTTGGATTGGGTTGAAGGAAGGTCTTCCAGCACAGGCGGAGTTGTGTCAATCTTTATGTCATTCAGGCTACCCTCCGGATCCTGAGTAGTCTTTTCATCATTTTCATTTGGAGATGGAGCGGAAGAAGTATTACCTCTAGCTTCTGCCTCCGATCTGTTTATCGGAACAGGCTCCACCTTCTCTTCAGTACCTTCACTTTTGATACTTGGGCTCAGTTGTGAGGCATTGACCCCATTCACGTTTTCAAGTGAACCATTAGAGCCTGGATTTGGTGTAGTTGATCCAGTATCTCCATCTACTAATCCCATCCCGGACTGCTTATTTCCTTCTGCAGTCAGGCTTTCGGTTGGGCCGTCTCCCGACCCTTCCGCCAACTCCCTCTCCTTTTCCTCTAATCGTTGCCTTTCCAATTCCTGTTTCATTAAAGGAATTTCAGGATCTACCGAGCCGGGGTATCTTGTGGTATCTTCTTCCTGATTTTTTCTCCTACGACCTGGTCTCTTCTTCGATTTGTTAAAATCGTAGATTCTTCTTGCTTCACGAATCTCGTCGTCAGGTCCCACATAATCTTCTCTGCTCACCAACCTTACCACATTGGTAAGTCTCTTTCTTTTCAGCAAAAGCAGCTGTCTCTGCTTTTCTTTCTTTACCACCTCTTGCTCTTGAAATTCTTGTAACGAAAGCACATTAGCCTTTTCAGTTTCCACTGCCTCGGCCAACTTTTCTTCTTGTGTCAAATCTTTATGCTTGATTCTCACGATTGGTGTCAATTGTGCTCTTCTCTTTTCGTTGGCTTGTAACTTTTCCACCAACGCTTGCTTGTTTTCGACCACAGCTGCTCTAGATGAAGATCTTCGCACAGACAAAAGCAAGGAGTCTGAGGCTATCACCTTGGGCTTAGATTTCTTGAGTACATTATCAATTTTTACTTTTTTGATGGCAGGTATCAATGCCAGTTTCTTTCTTTGGGCCTTTTTCTTGATTTTTTCTTGCTTTTCTAGTTCCTTTTCCCCTTCACTCTCGTCCGAGTCTGATACTGAGAGATCTGAGTCTGAAAGCACGTCGTCGCCTTCAGGCCCTTCGGTTATCTTCCTTTTCTTGGACAGTTCCTCTGATTCACCGTCTTCACCTTCTTCACCCTCGTCCTCCTCATCCTCATCCTCTTCATCTATGCCTCTGAGATTCTCATTGTCCACATCCTCGTCCTCAAACTCTTCGTCGTTCTCGTCTTCCTGGAACAAGAGGTTGACGTTCTCATCGTCTTCTGTTATGATCTGCGATACCCCAAGCTGGAGGTCATTGGACTGTTCTTCGAGCTCGATAAGCTGCTTGAGCCTGGAGCCCGCGTTGGCTCTTCGTGCACGCGTTGCCACCAAACTGTCTTCCATTGATGCGTCCCACAGAAAAGGTGTGATGTCAAAACTAGTTTGGCGTCTCACATTATCGTGGATGGAAAGGTGTGGTCACGTGCGCCACCATGAACAAATTTCACCACTCACAGTGTGTAAGGCTTGCTATCTACATATGAGACCGTTTATACAGAGAACTCCGGGTGCCGGGCTTCCCCAGCTCGTGAGACTCCTTTCCAGCACAAGAGCCTCCGCCAACGCTCCAAAATACACCTCTGCATCTGCTGAAGAGCTCGCACACTTCAATGCGTTAGCGTCTTCGTGGTGGAATGTAGACGGACCCCAGAGAATCTTGCACAAGATGAACCTCCTTAGAATGGACTTCATCTACTCCACAGTCAGAAAACACCTCCAATTGAACAAGCCAGAAACCCCATTGGAGGAAGAGATCTATGTCCCTCCATACAGCCTCGACTTACTCCCAAAACCAATCAGACTACGCATTGTTGAGGACCAGGAAATGAGAAGAGACGCTCTTCTCAACAAGTCCAAGCTTCGCGTATTGGACGTGGGGTGCGGTGGAGGGATCTTGTCCGAGTCGATGGCCAGATTGAGCTTCGTGGAGAGCGTGTTGGGTATTGACTTGTCCAGCGATGTGCTAGAGGCCGCCAAGTTGCACAAGGGCAAAGATCCTATATTGGGGGACGAAAAGCTCTCGTACCAGCTTACGGCTATTGAAGACCTTGATGCTTCTAAGAAATACGATATAGTCACTATGTTTGAAATGCTCGAACACGTTGATTACCCTGCTAAGGTGTTGAGCGAGGCATTGAAAAGAGTAGAGGTCGGAGGATGGGTATTCATATCTACCATCAACAGAGACTTCGTCAGCTGGTTCACCACCATCTTCATGGGCGAGCATATGTTGAGAATTGTTCCAGTGGGGACCCACACCCTCGAGAAGTACATCAATCAGCATGAAATACGGGAATGGATCGAAACCAACCAAGATGTCCGCGACTCGTTCAAGGTGGTCGATGCCAAGGGATGCGTATACTTGCCAGCCTACGGCTGGAAGTTCACCAACAGTCCAGATGTGGGCAATTACTTCATGGCCATTCAAAGAACTCTGTAAATAGATAATCAACACTAGCGAGCTAGTTGACCGGCGTAGCACTCCCTAGCATGGTAATTAATTAAACTCAATTTATTACATTGATTAAATCTTTATTTTTATAACCAAAGAATTGACCAGCTTCCATAATAACATTCTATATTATCTCTCCAGCTTGGCTGCCCTCGTGTGACCCGGCCACATCAATTGGCCACTTTGGCTGGTTCCTCTTCCTGTTCGTCGATAAACGTGGGCAACTTATCGGAGGCAGCAGACTCGTCGTTCAAGTAGCTGGGCATGCCAAGTCCGCTCTCGGCCATCTCGTTCTCAAAGTCGATTTCCTCTCCAAGGGCGTCCAATTCCGCGTCCAACTCACTCTCGCTGATGTCGTCAGGCACGTCGTAGCTGGTCAGGAGCGATTCCTGCAACTCGTTGGACTTTTCGATCAAGTCAAGCATCTCGTCCTGGAGCGCCTCGATCTTGTCGATGTCGATCTTGCCGTAGGTCTTCTTCAATTGCTTGTTGGCGGTCTTCATGGCATCGATGGTGATCATGGTGTTCTGTAAGTTGTCAGTGGTCATCGACGCCTGGGTCATATTCCACGACTGGTTTTCCAACTGGTCCTTCTGGGCCTCTATCTGCTTGCGCTGCCTCAACAACTTGAGCGCCTTCTGCTTCAACGCCGACTTGCCTGGTCCGTCTCGCATTCTGGCGAGTTTCTGTTGATAGGTGGAGAGTTCAGCGTTGATCTTGGAGAGCTTGACATCGAGTCCTCCCACCCGATCGTCGATGTTCTTGACGGCATCGTTCAACGATGGCTTGGGCGCTGTGCTTTTACTTCCAAAGATTCTGTTCATATCGACTGGGGGTAGTAATGGAAGATGGTGCGGTCATGTGGCTGGCCACTCCGATCTATAGCGGCAAATCTCCAAGCTGCGACAGGCGAGTGAGAACGGCTAGAAGAGACTAGTGCCAGAAATAAATATCCACAGTTAGGATGCCAGAAGTTGCAGAAGTACGTAGAAGAGATGAAGAAGAGGATATGAAGGGAGAATAGGAGGGTGAAATCAGCATCCCACCGGCTGTCGTGGTGGTGGCTGACGCCCTGGTTGCGACATTCTTGCGTATGGTACTAACAACAGGTTGCTCATGTGGTGGCATTGCTTCGTAGGAACATACTTGGGAGCAGAATCGTCCAAACCAACCTCAAAAACGATGCTCTTCTTTTCCCGTTGCTCAAAGGGTCTGCCACTCCAGAAGACGATTTGACCCGGTTGCAGGCCCAGTTGACCAACGCAGTAATCCGGTCGGTGGGCAGACACGGCAAGTACTTTTGGATCCGGATCCAGCCCGAGAACTCGTCCCAGACAGGTGTGTTGCTCATGCATTTTGGAATGACGGGGATGATCAAGTTGAAGGACATTTACTCCCACATGGTGTTCATGGAAAATGGAGGAGACAAGAAGGTTTTGGAGCAGTTGACCACCTCCAAGTACTTCGCGAAGGGAAGCGTGGGGACGAAGGGGGAGGTCAAGGAAGAGATCAAGGAAGAGGTCAAGGAGATCACTGAGGAGGTTTCCGCAGACGTCAAAGACGAGGAGTGGCCCCCAAGATTCTCAAAGATGGAGTTGGTGCTACAGAAAGAAGATGCCAAGATTGACCTAGCGTTCGTGGACCCCCGTCGCTTGGGCAGGGTCCGTTTCCTTACAGGAGACAACGTCCAGACGGACACAGACTTGCTTCTCCAGGAACCATTGAGCGCGTTGGGACCCGACTACTCGAAGCCAGGAGCCGAAAGGGTCAAAACCGAGACAGAAAATGGCCAGGTGCCCGAATTTGTGTTTGGAGACCCAGACCCCTACCACCATGGACGACCCCGGCTCGAGCTCGAGGAATTCAATCGGTTGGTGCTCTCTAAGAAGAAGCCCATCAAGAGCTTGTTGCTCGACCAGGGGTTCTTTGCGGGGGTGGGCAATTGGCTCAGTGACGAGATCTGCTATCATGCACGCCTACACCCGAGCGAGATACTCTCTCTGAAGATCGAGCCAGGTGACGAGGTCAGCGATGTCATCACCAAGTTATACCAGTCGCTTGTATTCGTGTGCGAAGAGTGTGTCCGAGTCGAAGGAGACACCCGGCAGTTTCCCACCAACTGGTTGATGCTCCACCGGTGGGGCAAGGCGCGGAAGAAGCAGCCCAAGGCGCGGACCAGTGACGGTTACGAGGTGGATCACGTAACGGTGGGCGGAAGAACCAGCTGTTTTGTGCCCGAGTTGCAGCAGCCCTTGGTTGCGGAGCCCACCAAAAAGAGGCGGAAAACGTGAGCGATAGTAGGAACGAAGTCGGAGTTCACCTGGCGGAGAACGAAACAACGCCAGAAGAGATAATCTGACAATACTTTCAGATCTACTATTGGCTCTGACAGTTAAAATTGATAGAATATGCCAGACCATCATGCCGTATACACAAGCAACACCAAAAAATGCTACAAGCTGTATAGACCCATAAGATATACCACAGAAAACAATAATTTCCCATGGAACCAACCATGAGTTTAACGATCGTCAGATATTGAAGTAGGATTAGACAGATCGAGACACGTACACTACAAATACAATAGGCATGGATCTTAGAACAAGAAGCCAAGATCCTCAGACACAGAGATAGACAGATCGACACACCACCAAACAACAATGGGCCATGTCAATGATCTTGGGATATTAATACTAGACAGTTTCCGATGGGTTGGCCCGGAACAATCTGCGGTTTGGCACTCAACAGGGCCCGTCACCTTTTCCGTGAGGCATTAATTACTCCGCAATTCAGCGGTGCCCCACAGAGATGGCTGCAGCGCCTGGAAAGGGGTTTTCGTTGGGGACACGGCACAAGTTGATCACGGAGCACTCGGAGAACTTCGGGGCATCGACAGCGAGCCGTCGCTTCAGCGTTCTGGATCCAGCCACCAGCTCATCTTCGTTTGCAGCTAGGGCAACCGGTGGATGTGGTAGGGAAATGCATGCATAAGTTCCGAGAATTCCCGTGACAGATGTCAGTGAGAGGCGTAGCCTCGCGACAAAAATGGGTGGGGGAAGGCCACCAGGCTAAAACCCTTGCTTCGATACTCTGGTGGGGGTAAAGCGGGTGCCCCAACCAAGACGTTGGGGACGGTGAGGAGATGGGTGGGATGACCACTGGAAAAGTCCGCGCGAGATGCCCCTCCTGCCCCTCCCAGCCCCACCCTCCGATGGTGTCAGAGCCTCCCCTCCTTGAGGAAAATGCCGGAACCACCGTGTCACGTGACCTGCCAGGCGCGGCTGCCGGTCCAGGCCCTGGGTTTCCAGCCACCAGCTGAGCCTGGTGCCAGTGGTGCCAGTGGTGCCAGACCACCCTCCCAGGGCCCCCAGAGTAGTGAAGTATGGGTGTTTCCCTACCCTATCCAGCCGGCTTCCCCGGCTCAGCCGCCAATTCTGGCTCAACATTTCAGAGGGGTACTCGGAGTTCTCGCTACGCCAGCCAGATGCGCCTAGTCCGCCGCCCCAATGGCCGAAATCGGAACGTTCCACACGCATTCCACCCGGATCCAACCTGGTCCCCACACCTACACGCGGTTTTGCGCAGCCCAATTCTTTGGTACCCCTCAGTGCATCGCTATACCCTTTATAAATAGTGTGCCTCGTCTGTCACTGGATCTCCACCAAAATTGCACACCATGTTGAGAACTGTCCAGAAAACCTCCTCGTGTCCCAGATGGGTGAGGATGACGTCCTCGTCCGCCCAGAAGCCTAACAGCTCCATCCACACCCACACCATCAAGACCCCCGTGGGTATCAAGGCTGCACTTGCATCCTTGAAGCCCAAGACCACCAGATTGTCGATAGAAGGTCCAATCGAGTGTGACTTGCAGGGATTCCAGCTCTTGAACTCGCCCATCTTCAACAAGGGTTCTGCCTTCAACAAGGAGGAAAGATCAGCCTTTGGGTTGAACGGACTCTTGCCTGCGCAAATCAACTCGTTGGACGAGCAGGTCGAAAGAGCCTACGCCCAGTTCTCGTACCTCAAGAGTCCGTTGGCCAAGAACGACTTCTGCACCTCCATGAGAATCCAGAACAAGGTGTTGTACTACGAGTTGGTCCGTCGTCACATCAGAGAAATGCTTCCCATCATCTACACCCCCACCGAAGGTGACGCTATTGCTGCATACTCCCACCGTTTCAGAAAGCCCGAGGGCTGTTTCTTGGACATCAACGACCCTGAGTCCATCGACCAGCGTTTGGCCGCCTACGGTGAAGACAAGGACATCGACTACATCGTGGTTTCCGATGGTGAGGGAATCTTGGGTATCGGTGACCAGGGTGTCGGTGGTATCAGAATCGCCATCGCCAAGCTTGGTCTCATGACCTTGTGTGCTGGTATCCACCCTGGCCGTACTTTACCTGTGGTCTTGGATGTTGGTACCGACAACCAGAAGTTGCTCAATGACGACTTATACATGGGTAACAAGTTCCCAAGAGTGAGGGGTGAACAATACTGGGATTTCATCGACAAGTTCATCAATGCTGTCAAACAAAGATTCCCAAATGCAGTTCTTCATTACGAAGATTTCGGTGTTTCCACCGGTAGAGATATGCTTTACAAGTACAGAGAAGCTTTGCCTTCCTTCAACGATGATATCCAAGGTACTGGTGCCGTTGTGATGGCCTCAATGACAGCAGCCTTGCAATTCTCTAATAGAAAATTGTTGGATTCTAAAGTGTTAATTTACGGTGCTGGATCGGCCGGTTTGGGTATTGCTGATCAAATCGTTAACCACATGGTTTCGCATGGATCCACCCCAGAAAAGGCCAGAGCATCCATCCACTGTATGGATCGTCGTGGTTTGATTTTGGAATCCTTCGAAGAATCCACTCCAGCCCAAAAACTTTACGCTGATAAGGATGGAGACTGGCAAGGCATTGACACCACCAGCTTGGTTGAAGTTATCGAAAAGGTCAAGCCAACTGTGTTGGTCGGCTGTTCTACCCAAGCCGGTGCATTCACCGAAGAAGTTGTCAAGACCATGTACAAGCACAACCCTCAACCAATTGTGTTCCCATTGTCCAACCCAACCAGGTTGCACGAAGCTATTCCTAGTGACATCATGAAGTGGACTGACAACAATGCATTGATTGCAACTGGTTCTCCATTCCAACCAGTTGATGGTTACGTGATTTCTGAAAACAACAACTGTTTCACCTTCCCTGGTATTGGGTTGGGTGCCGTTTTATCCAGATGTACCACAATTTCCGACACCATGGTGTCCGCTGCTGTGGACCAGCTCGCTGCTCTCTCGCCTAAGATGGAAAACCCAAAGAATGGTTTGTTGCCTAGATTGGAAGAAATCGATGAGGTTAGTGCCGAAGTTGCAACCGCATTCATTTTGCAATCATTGAAAGAAGGTACCGCTCGTGTTGAAAGTGAAGAAAGACCTAACGGTGGATTTGTGGAGGTTCCAAGAGATTTCAACAAGTGTCTCAAGTGGGTGCAATCCCAAATGTGGAAGCCTATTTACAGACCATTGGTCAAGGTCCAACACGTGCCTGAAATCCACACTTTCCAATACTAATCCTCCTACCTTCATTTCATCGTTTCATTATTACTACGTTTCAGCATATCACCCTTAATAGAGTCAGGGTACTATAGATTGTGTGAAAACACTCATAAATAATACGTGCTAGCACGCTAGCGGACATTCGAGTCCTTCGTAGGAAAACCCATCAATTTCTTGTTGCAAAATATTACCTGAATTATGCACTCTCATATCCAATTTTCAGGTAATATGTGCTCCGCTTCAGGCCCGTTATGTGGTGGTTAATTTTGTGAGGAAGATCTCGAGCCGCATTTGGACCAATAGAGACTGTCGTGAGTCCTCTGGTATGATTGCAAGATCTCCTTCAGTAAAAACGGGTTAAGGCAAAATCAGCCATACCAGGTGAAGCACCCCGATTGGTACGCCAAGGACCTCGGACATTGGCGCTACTCCCGCTGCTCCGATCGACAATTCACCGATGAAAGTGGTTGGGCAGTAGCGGTGTCGTGTCCTGCCCATTTCTCGACCAATAAACTTCAACAAAAGTTGGAGAATCCCAACTTTTCATCACCACCACAATGTCTGTCGAAGAATTAAAGGCCACCGTCGCCAAGTTGCAAGAGAGAATCCAACACTTGGAATCCAAAGCTGGAATTGTTCCAAATGTGCCAAAGTCCATTAGAATGGTGTTGATCGGCCCACCAGGTGCTGGTAAGGGTACCCAAGCTCCAAACTTGAAGGAGAAGTTCTGTGCCTGTCACTTGGCCACCGGTGACATGTTGAGAGCTCAAGTCACTGCCAAGACCCCCTTGGGTATTGAGGCCAAGAAGATCATGGACGCTGGTTTATTGGTGTCCGACGAGATCATGGTCAACATCATCAAGGACGAATTGGAAAACAACAAGGAATGTTCCCAAGGTTTCATCTTGGACGGTTTCCCACGTACCATTCCTCAAGCCGAGAAGTTGGACTCCATGTTGGCTGACAGAAAGACCCCATTGGAAAACGCCGTCGAATTGAAGATCGACGACGAATTGTTGGTCGCCAGAATCACCGGTAGATTGGTCCACCCAGCCTCTGGTAGATCTTACCACAAGTTGTTCAACCCACCAAAGAAGGAAATGACCGACGACATCACTGGCGAATCCTTGGTCCAAAGATCTGACGACAACGCCGAGGCCTTGACCAAGAGATTGGTCACCTACCACAAGCAAACCGAACCAATTGTTGAATACTACAGAAAGACCGGTATCTGGAGTGGTGTTGATGCTTCCCAAAAGCCTGGTAAGGTCTGGACCGACATCTTGAAGTGTTTAGGTCAAAAGTAAGTAGTCACCGTGCTCATTGCTAATCTTGTATTAAAAGAATATTTATGTACTTGTATATTGTTATGGAACCTGTAGATGACGTAGGATACATGTAAGCTGGTCATTATTCATTAATTACATATTATTTACTGGTCAAAGCTAAATTTTCTCTCTCTTGACCTTGGCATTCAAGTCACCATCAGGACCACGTTTCTTGTTGGCTTCATTAAAACATGCCACATGGATAATCTTACGACTATCTGGTCCTTCACCCGGAAGACGAATACAGTCAAACCAACACCATTCTCCAAGTTCATCGTTGTAGGAAGCCTTGATGTTTTCCTGACACACAAGACACTTGTTGTTCATGTTGGTGTCAGAGGGAGGCACCTGGACAAACGATGGTTTACCCGATCCATTGATGCCTAGGTCTTCCTTCTTAATGTTATCCAAGCCAATAGCACCGGTGTTCGTCGAGAATTCTAACAAGTCATCATCTCTGAAATTGACCCAGTCAAAGTCATCCAAGTACCAGTTTCTGGATTGAACTTTCGAGGCGCTGTTGGCTAATTTCTTGTTGATTCTGAAGTGCCAGTCAAGATGCAATCTTTTCTTAGTTGAGCCCTCGAGGTCATTGGCGAATCTCTTTGCACAGATTGAACATTTGGACGATTTGGCATCATACAACAATTCCAAGCTATCGGAAGAATTGTTAGTATTTAAGAAATCCTGGAAATTGACACTTATTTGCTTGCTAACGACCATAAGTTTATCAAACTTCAACTTTCCGTACACCAGTCTTGAAATGGAATTAGATAAATTGGAGTTTAATATTTCCTGTAGGGTGCTATTCGATGGAATTTGGTTTGTCGATGGAACAAACTTGGCTTTTGGCTGAACCAAGTTATACACTGGTCTTGAGCCAGGGACTGGGGCTTGTTCGACGTTCACCAAGCCGGAATTAACCAAGATTTGAAAGAGTTCTTCTGCCTTACTAGTAGTTGCTTGTTGGGGTTTGCCGGGAGTGGAAATGGGGGTGGCACGGGGAGTAGCACGGGGAGTGACGGCCGGGGTCGGGACAGGCGTGATGGCACTGTTGCCCAATTCTTGCTCCTTGATGGTTTTCAATTGTGATTGTACTGCTTGCAAGTCCTTTTGGGTCATGGCCTGGGTGCCCAACAATGCCTTTAATTGAGTCAAGGCCTTGAAACGATCATGAAGCTTTTGATTGGAGCTGTGAGCCATTTTGTTCTGGAAAATGGGAAGAAGTCTATCGATGTCGCCAATCAATTGTTTCACAGACAAGTCGTTAGAGGGACTATTGCTTTTCTGGCGAAGGTAGCCTGCTTTGTTCAAGAAGGTCTCGATCTTTTCGAGCTGCTCGCTGGGAAACAACGGGAAGTTGGTTCCCTTGGTTTTGGTGACTTTCCACGTTTCAAACAACGATATTAACTTGGTCTTACGGTTCTGCTCCGATGAGTACTGAAAGACATGGGAGTAAAGATGGAAGATGTCCTCCCCTACCAAGATATTGTACGAGTTCCCGGCATACTTGCACACGGAGTCAAGCAAGAACAATGCAAAGAGTTTGTGGTCAGGTATACACTTGTAGATTCTTTTTGTGATGGCGTCAATGATACCTTCAGCGGCCAGCGGGTTTTCGCGGGCGATGGTGGTGAGGTTATCGATGATGGGGCGGGAATTGAAGGTGAGCTCGGTCAAGCTCTGGGCATAGTCTTCCACTATTGACGACGATTGATCATCCATGGTGAGCAGGATAGTTACTGGTGAGACGCCCACTGGTGGTGATTTTGGTGAACGATGGCAGGATCTCTGCACGTGATCGCGGAACACGTGCGCAGGTATCATCTGCCGTTTCAGGCAACTCCCTCCAAGCGCGGTATGAGCCAAAAATTTTCAGGCCACTGGATAAAACTTTTTAGGAGTCATAGCACCACACCAACATGTCCCCAGCTGCCACCACCGACAAGAAACAATCGGGTACCGCCAGAGTGTTGGGATCCGCCTCCGCCGGGATCTGTGAGATCGCCGTCTTCCACCCCGTGGACACCATTTCCAAGAGATTGATGTCCAACCACGGCAAGATCAGTTCTCTCACCCAATTGAACACGGTCATCTTCCGTGAACATGCTGCCAAGCCGCTCGTCTCCAGGGCCTTCACCTTGTTCCCTGGTTTGGGATACGCTGCTTGCTACAAGATCTTGCAGAGAGTCTACAAGTACGGAGGGCAACCATTTGCCAACGAGTTCTTGACCAAGAACTTCCAGGACTGCTACGACTCTTGGTTCGGCCCCAAGACCGGTAAGGCTTTGATGTCTGCCACTGCTGGTTCGTTGATTGGAATTGGTGAGGTTGTGTTGTTGCCACTTGACGTGTTGAAGATCAAGCGTCAGACAAACCCCGAGTCGTTCCGTGGCAGAGGCTTCTTCAAGATCTTGGCCGACGAAGGGTTCGGTTTGTACCGTGGCTGGGGCTGGACTGCTGCCAGAAACGCTCCTGGTTCCTTTGCCTTGTTCGGAGGTAACTCGTTCGCCAAGGAGTACATCTTTGGGTTGAGCGACTACTCGTCTGCCACCTGGACCCAGAACTTCGTGACCTCCATTTTCGGTGCCTCTGCTTCGTTGATTGTGTCTGCGCCATTGGACGTCATCAAGACCAGAATCCAGAACAAGAACTTCGACAACCCCGAATCTGGTGTTACCATCTTGAAGAACATGGCCAAGAACGAGGGAATCGGCTCGTTCTTCAAGGGATTGACCCCCAAGTTGTTGACCACCGGTCCCAAGTTGGTTTTCTCCTTCGCTTTGGCCCAGTCGTTGATTCCGGCCTTTGATAACTTATTGAAATGATCCTGTATATAGTATAGAGTAGATAAATGAAGATATGTGACTACAACAGAACTAGACCTACAGCCATAGTAGGACAGTACGATACAGTGTTTTTAGAAAACATTCGAACCCTCGGCCCGGAACTTTTCGTAATACGGGAAACTCAATTTTCGTAATAGGGGCCGGATCTTTTCATACTAAGTTTAATTTTAAAACTGTACC